GCGATCGAAAGGTGGGCTTCGGACCCTTCCTGTGAGTTCACCTTGGCCAGCAAAGCTTCAACGTCAGGAAGATCCGCCTCAATGGCGATCATGGAACCCTTCTCACTACCCCAGCGGTCCTGGATCAGGCGTGCTCGGCCCGCAATCATTCTTACGGCATCTTTCAATGATACTGCGTTGGAAATACATAGAGCTGTAAGTTCTCCAAAGCTATGTCCAACAACAGAGGCAACCCTCAGCCCGCTACTAAGCCACGCCTTTGCACAGGCGTACTGCATTGCGAACAAAGTAGTTTGAAGTTGAACAATATCCGAAATTGGCGATCGTTGGAAGATAGCTGGAAAGATGCTTTCCTGGCCAAGGGACAGGATTGTAGCATCACATTGATCAAGATATTCTCTCAGGATCGCATTGCCCTTATAGACCTCTTGGTCCAAACCAACATATGTGGAAACCTGTCCACCAAAGCACAGGATAACGGGCTTGGGGTCTTGAACCTGAACATGGTGGACGCTCTGGCTGCCACTCTCGAAGGACTCTAGAACCTTGTGCAGCTCCTCCTTTGTACGGGCATTGAATATCAGCGCGTGGGGGAGGCGTCGATTTGACTGTCTGGAGACTTGGAATGAAAGATTTCCAAGGCTTAGGTTAGTTTCTTTTTCCTGGGCCCCTTGGACATACCTGCGCAATTGCTTCGCATAATTTAGAAGGCTTTGCTGATCAAATGCAGTGATCCAGAATGGGTAGCCGCCCTCGGGTAATATGGTAGATGGATCATTAGCTGCCTTTGGGGCCTGCGTGACAATCATGGAAGCATTCGATCCAGAAGCCCCATAGTTGTTGATAAGAGCAGCCTTGAACGGTGTGTCCCAGTTCCTGAGCTGAGTAGATACCTCGATTCTGTCTTCAGCCTTCGTATTCAGAGCGGGGTTGATGCTCGAAAAGCTAGCCTGTGGTGGGATAAATCCTTCATTGATCATGATCAAAGTCTTCACCAAAGATGCCACTCCTGAAGCACACTCTGTGTGGCCAATGAAGCCCTTCGTTGATCCTAATGATAAAATGTCGGACCGCATAGCACCACCAAAGACAGATCGAATGCCATTATATTCGGCCGGGTCTCCAACAGGTGTTCCTGTTCCGTGGGCCTCGACAAGAGAGATTTGTTTAGGCTCTAATCTAGCTTGACGCACAACATCCGTAAATAGCTGTGAGAGCGAGGTCGCATTTGGAACGGTGATCGCGGTGCAGTTTTGATTCTGGTAGACCTTTGTACTAGCGATGACACCAAGTACCTGGTCACCATCTGCGATAGCGGAGGAAAGTCGTTTCAAAAACACAGCGCCAACGCCTTCACCTCTGCAATATCCATCTGCCTTTGAGTCGAATGGCTTGCATTGTCCAGTTGGACTGAGGAAAGACGCCCCATCCAGGTTGTGATACCAATTCGGGCTCGTGATAATGTTGACACCTCCGGCAAGTGCCCCACTGCATTCACCATTGATTATTGAACGACATGCCTGGTGAATAGCAACACTGGAGGATGAGCAGGCTGTATCAAGTGTCAAACTGGGACCAGTCCATCCGAAATGATGGCTGATTTTGCCAGCAAGAAAGCTCTTGAGATTGCCGGTCGCTGAGTAGGCATTTGCAGGATAACACGCAATGTTCTCCTCGTAGTCGACATTACCAACCCCCATGAAGCATCCGATAGGTTGGTTTGTGGCGTCATTTCCAAAATAGCCAGATTGTTCGACAGCTTGATACGCCACTTGCAGCATTAGACGGTGTTGTGGGTCTGTGGACGAAATTTCCCGAGGGCTCTTCTTGAAAAATTTGTGGTCAAAAGTATCGTGATTGTCGATGAAGTTCCCGTACCATTTGTGTTTTCCAATATCTCGCCATGCAGTCTCCATGCCGAAACGATCATCAGGCACCTCTCTGTGCTGCGATTGGCCGCGTTTCAGGATCTCTCGAAATGCCTCATGATCCCCTGCCCCTGGTAACTGACATGCCATTCCAATGACAGCAATACGCTCATCAGGAAGGTCCGCCAATTCCACAGTTTGTGTTCTGCCGAGAAGGCTACCAGGAATCTGGGACGACGCGATGTTGATCTCGTGTACGTATATTAGGCGTGAACCAAGTTTTCGAGAAATAGTCGGCGGCATGCAACGCTCGGATCCGAAACATACCACTGCTGCATTTTCTGGGATGAAATTTGAATAGTAGGCAAGGCGGCAAGTCTCGTACCACTGAGATTGCTCCAACAGAATGGCCAGCAAAGCGATCTCGTGAAGCTTTCCTGAGGTGACATATTTCCCGTCGCCGCTGGATCGGCTTGCCAGTATCATATTGGAAATTTCGGGAAACTGCAGGTCTGGATAACGATCACAAAGGCTCATCAAAGAGGCGACCGGCTTTTCATGATTCTTCCAGTGAAATCGTCCCGAAAGTGCAATGGATGTGACATGTGCCCCATTTTTCTTCATCTGCTCGACGAAAGTTGGGCCCGTTTCACTCGATGTCGTAAACGTGGCCCGCTTTTGATCAACAATGACCGAAATATAAGCCTAGAGAACGAAGATTAGCAGTTGAAGCGGTGTTGTTGGCAATTACTCGGAACTCACGTCAGTGAATGAGTCAAGGGCAGAAGTAAATGATTCGCCAAGTTCAGAACCAACCGATGAAACCGAAAAGCTCATCGACTTCCTTTCCGGCTCGCGAGAGTCCTCCTCAGCATCAACAGTAGCACCAATTAACATGGCCAGTCTTATAGCGACGCCTCCGTTAGCTTGAATGTCGGCCATATTCGAGGAGCAAGCCACTGCAAAGGCACTCAAAGTACCAATGCAAAGACCGAGTGTCTCCATATCTTCAGGGAATGTTTTGGAAAAGTCATCCTCATTTCTTAGCCCCGGTATGCCTGACTGAATGAAATCGAGGTAGTCAATCAATTGGCATATGACAACAAGGGGCGAAAGCAGTATATTTGGCAAAGGAAATGCTGCCTCTGGAGCTTTCCCACTAGCTATCCATGAGTTCAGGTTATCGAGTAGGTGTCTGCTATCGGATTGTTGAGCTCGCAGCCCACTGGTTGAGAGCTTGTCCCAGAGATCTGGAAGGCTAGCAAGAACATCGGCGGCCCATTGCTGACTATGAAGTTGACTGTGAAGATTCTTGAAAGACACGGAGTTGAAAGACAAGTCTTGCGAGCCAAATACAAACGCCTTGGGCTTCAGCTCGACCTGTGGAGTTGATTCACTCATGATCGATGCTTGCAATGAGGCTACTTTCCTGAGCCGCGTTGAAGCCGACTGGTAGGAGTCTTCTTTGCAATGATAAAGAACTGGTCGAAATACCACTCAGAAATGAAACAGAATTTTGAACCTTGGAGTGTGTGAGAGATATGCTTATTATTGTGGTTGGCAGCAACTATATATGACCGTGGCATCTACTAGTAGGTTAATGCTTTCAAATTTGCAATTACACCGGAATTTCAAGCACGACGAGTTTATTTCCTCTAGTAGAGCACATATTCGAAGTTACTCCGGTCAGTTAGTGGCCCGCGCAAACTTGAAGGCCCCGTGGACCCGTATTCATCTTTCTCTCCATGTTCCTTTCGTCTCTTTGCATCGGACAATCTAATCGCACAATACGGAGTACGATGGTGATAGTAGATTCCGAAAGTAAGCGCTAATTCTCGGTCCATACGACGAACACGACAAACTTGCTAGTTGCCACCGGCTCCCTCGGACATAACAATCCTGAAGGCTTTGGTTGCAAAGTTGAATCCAATTATCCAAGTTATTCCGAGGAATGATTCCGAAGTCTTACACCAAATTCCACACTAGAGACCTTCGGGACGGCCCGATTGAGGTGGCGGGCCTTAACATCGTCGAACTGAGGCGTAAGCTTGGCCAACAAAAGTACGAAAGGATTCGTGCCCCACTACTAGTATACGTGGCCGTCTCAGTATGAATACACTGTGCACATCTTCTAAATTCAAGAGCGATCAGCCATATCTAATTGAATTTAGAAGAGTATATGCAAGATAAGTCTTTACAAAGGACTAAGACGTGTCGCGTAAGTTCAACCTCGTATCGCGCACAAGTACGAGGTACCATCCGAGAAATGAGTATATTGAGCACTAAAAAGCCATGACCCCATATGGGCCGCAATGAGGCCGTGCATGACGCGTACTAATGCGTGCATACTTATTGCTTCATATCCATCAGTCAATTCCTTGCATATTTCGCTTGCGAGAAACACGTGCTTCGGGTTTAGATTCTCGTCAGGAATAGCATTTACCTGAAACGGGCTGCAGGATCCCGTCAATGCTTCATCAAGTCTCCAGCCACATCATGCACCTCCATTGTATTATTGATTGCATGAAGACTTCCTGTTTCTGGGGTTATGTCGCGAGTGGAGTTGTATGGTTTCATGTTTCTCGTACAATAGGCATTGTTTTTTTTTGCGTTGAGCGTTAACCGTGCGAAATCGGCCTTACGCTAATATACACAGTGAACCATAGACGCCATTTGATAACGAAGTTTTCGAGCAAAATATCGGCTTAAGATGTAGTCCATTAGCCTTATTCTACGGGTATGTCCAGAACAGCTAGTAATAAATGCTTTGGACCGGAAATAGATAATTCATGGCGTTGACCAAGTGCTATCTACTAACATTCGCCTTGGAAATATCAATGAATATCTCAAAGTTTCCCTCAGCTACACAAAGAATCCCTCCAGAAGGCCAGGCTGTGAAGGCAAGTCAGAAATGACTAAACCGATATCTACAATTACATGCATACTGGGGCTTTAAGTTCATTACTACTAGTCTTTTTCAAAGTTTCCAAAAGTTCTTGAAGTTATGGGACAGTACAGTCCACGGGTCCGAGTCACGGTGTATTCTCTGGCAGTGAAGCCCACCACACCATAAGGAATGTCTCTTCTGAAATCAGTAAATAAGCGATATTATATAACATGGTTCTAAATTGCTTATCTTAGGCCCGCCTGTATTGCCAGTTCTCGAATCTGATACGCCACCAATGAAACATCATTGTACTTCAACGGGACCCGATGGTCCCCATCCCACTCAACCAACCTCCGACTTTCGGCGGAACTGAAGTCAGAAAATAGCTGCCTGTGAAGTGCCACATGGGGATCTCGGATTCCATGTACATGCACAGTGGGGATGCACAGAACATTCGGACACGGCCCTTCGTATTTCCCATCGGTGATCTGCGACACATCGGGCAAAGGGGCATGTAGATCAAGATGCGGGTCCAGGCAAACAAACGGCGCACGGCCCGCTATGAGAATGCCAAAGTCGTATTCCGAATCTCCGGATCGCCGTCCTAGTTGTTCTTGGCGAACCTGTTGACGGTAGAGTATACTGGCGCACATCTTCGCGCCCTGACTAAAGCCAAGCAGACCAACCCACGCTCCAGTGGCTCCCTTTGCATCGTCTTGGCGCTTGGCTTCTTCTAAAGAGTCGTCAAGTACTCGGATTGCATATTGAGGCCGAAGCTCCGGATGATCGGGGCTCCAACGGAGCCAACGTCGGAATGGGCCCCATTGACTGTATACCGACATGACATCTGGGCCCGCTTCGGATAGAAACGGCGCCTGTGCAAATACAAAGCGGAACTCGGACTTGAGTTGAGCAATGAGTCGGCGACACTGAGATTGGAAGACGGCGGCATTAGATCCTCCCCCATGAAGGCAGAGAATTCGGGGAAGGTGTAAAGTATCGTCAGCCGTCGTGGGATTTGTTTGCACCATCGTGAGAGGACTGTGTGAATGATGAAGGCAAAGGATAAAGAAGAGATCCACCTTCAACTTGAAGAAATGAATATCTTTTGACTGTATTCTATTGGGATTTATAGCCACGCAGAAACTTGAACTTGAAGAGCTCGAGTTCCAGATTGTTGTTCAAGGTTGTTTTGATACAAAGTACACTACATTACCTGCGGGCCAGATATATCGAGATCCAGAAGTGGAAAATGTACCCTTATTTGCTCCTTCACGCCGGTGGACCATGATAAGAATCCAGCCACGAAGCCACGGCGTACCATTTCTGCAACTTCAACTCTCTTCCGATGGCTGATTTTCCGATAAAGGATTATCCGACCTCATTCTCCCTCTTGATTTATTGTGTCGAAACCGGTCATTTCATTTACCAAATAAGACTACTTCATCAAATCAAGCAATCGTATTGGTCCCTTGAGGCCATGAGTTGTCGCAAAGGATATTAGAAACAACGCAATGGGCCATATATAACAGGTATTTATTGCACGAGACCCGACTGCTGTTTTGGAATCCTTGACACGATAAAGACGTGTTCCTGAATCATCCAATAAAATGCCTATCTCAACAGAATCATCCTTCTATCTCCCGGCTGTCGATATCAGCCCCTATCTGGAGGACCCCAACAGTGAAGGCGCTCGCAAGGTAATCGATGACGTGCGAGCTGCATGCCAGTCCACTGGTTTTTTCCAACTACTCGGACACGGAATCTCCCCCGCCCTGCAGCAATCTGTCTTCGCGGCAGCAGCTAGGTTCTTCGACCTTCCAAGAGAGGTCAAGTCACGTTGCAAGAGCGTTGGTTTCCGAGGATACGATCCTATGGCTTCACAGTCGTACGAAGAAGATGTACTACCAGACCTGAAGGAAGGCTTCATCTCTGGGACGGACATTCCCATTGACGATCCTCGAGTGGTGAGCCGGCGCTTCTTCATGGGACCCAACATTTGGCCGCCCAGTGAGCTGCTAGCTGAGGAAGACTTTCGGTACACTATTGAAGAATATTATGAGGCTATGTTAAAGTTGTGCTGGTTGGTGTTGGATCTTATTGCGGCTACATTGCCATATGGACCGCATGTATTCGATGAGTTCAAAGAGAACGACCCTGCATGCCCGCTTCGGCTGCTCCATTACCCGCCTACCCCCGAGATGGACCTGGCAAAGGGCCGCCAGCTAGGCAGCAGCGCACATACGGACTTCGGAGCCATTACGCTTCTTCTCCAAGATGAACATGCAGGTCTTGAGGTACAAGACCATGAAACGGGTGAATGGATCGGAGTTCCTCCGAACAAAGATGCCTACGTGGTCAACCTAGGGGATATGATTAGCAGAATCACCAGGGGAAATTACAGAAGCAGCACTCACCGTGTCATCAACAAGAATCCGACCGACCGCTACAGTGTAGTGTTTTTCTTTGACGGCAATGTGGACTATAAATTGAGGCCTCTAGATTGTGTTGGGAAGGATTCCGATGAAGAGGATGTTCTCACCGTGGAAGAGCACATGATGGAGCGTACAGCCACCACTTATAAGCACAAGGCAAAGTAATCAGATAGTTCACAGACAAAATGTCTCATCATACTGCTAGTATTCTCCGATGGATGTTATGATATTTCAGTTGGAGTTCAATAAACACGATATTTATTCACATCTAAATGAAACATGTAGCGACACATGTAACACTCACCAACCTTTTAGACAGTATATAATCGTTATTTAATTTAACAGGTAACCCATAATAGCCCTGTCACCAGTTCAAGTTATCATCATGGAGCAGAAGAGCTCTCCCTGACAAGTCCTATGGATGCGTTGGTACATGAAAGTTCTAACAAATCTATATAGCTTTGACTCGGGTCGTTGGCATTCTTGAGCTCTCGGAAGATCTGTAGAAGCTCTTGAAGTAGCGAATTAAAAGCCCCATCTGAGCCACGATTGCCGTAAAGGAACTCCGCACAGAGCAATAATGGAATGGGCATGAGGGGGTGAATCTGAAAACTCGTTAACCAGCCTCTCCGCGATAAATGAAATAGTTGTTGATGCATTCTGGTATACCTTGAAGAAATTGAACTCTGTTAATCCTTTTGCCAGTTTGACAATTTCTTGTGCGGCACTAAATGCTCGCCGTTGATATTCAAGCACCCAGGCTTCTTTGTCAACTGTCCACACAGCAGATTCAATTCCCTTATATAAATGAATTACACTCGCCTGTCCCATGATATGTGCGAAGGAGATCAGGGGATCGCATATTTGAGCCGGGGAGGGGTAGTACTGGGAAAGAATCTGAAGTCGGTTCGTAAGAACATTGTCAAGCCATTGGTGTTGGTCGATCCAGTTGGGAGCCAAATCGCCGTACACAAAGCGAACACTGTATTGCTGGGCATGGAATAAGCTACGGCCACATATTGTAGCGAGAACCACGCATTCATTGAACGGGGAGGCGTTTTGTGGCATAACATCCATGATTGCTTCCGAGAGGAAAGCTCCTAGCACCGGTTGGCCGCTCTGGAAGTCTGCATCCGCTGCCGGCAAACGGGTGCAGATCTAAAAATCAAATACTAGATCAGATGTGATCGAGTGGCTTTGACCTGGATATAATCGGAGCCTTACCACATGTTCGTTCAAAGTGATCGGCCAGTTATTACGCATACTTAGTAGATGATCCAAAAAATAGGCCATCCAGAACACTCGACGCTTCTCTTCTGTTTCAATCAGATCTGCCTCGGGAATTGAAGATTTTGTCGGACTATCGATCTCGTGTAGGCGCATCAATTGCACAAGACGAAAGGCACGTCCGGCACTCATCCACGCCGAGCGATGAAATGTTCGCATCGACTCATAGGTTGCTATCAATATCCATGCCTGAATCTCTGCTGTATCAACCCCGTTATTCGGATCACCTGATAGATAAGAGTGCTCTAGGGATCGTTTAGTTTCCTGGTAGAATGATTCTTGAAGGTGTCTGAATTGTGCTGAGAGCAGCGACGCCAGGGTCCACACGGCATATTGTAGACATCGACGAGATATCCTTTTCACGGGTTTTCGAGCCCAACTTAAATAGCGACGGTGATGAAGTATCTGGATAGATGGATGAACTCTGTCAAAGTATAGTTGATTTCTAAGACCGATCGTTATCAGCCATGAATTCCCAAGGACTCGGGGACATGTAGGTAACAAACAATTCTGCCTGCATGAATTCAGATATTGGTTCGACCCCAATAATGTCTTTGCTATAGATTCCGACCGATTGTATTGAATTGACATTCGTCGCATTCGTCACTGTATTCAGCAGGGACGTATCCGACTCTGAAACCGTTGTGTTATCCACAGGAAGTGGAGATGGATATGATTCGGAACGATTGGAAGGGCTAGTGACACTGCAGCCATCATCATGCTCGTCAGTGAGGGGGGTTGGTAGTGTATTGAATTCGGAGAAGCTCGCAGGGTCATGGGCGGGAAGACGATTCTCGAGCATCGCTGTGATTTACGTCAGCGTCCAAACTCATAGAATTCAATTGTTCTTGGAATCATAAATATACCGACTCGATTCCGCAACGCTTTCAGGTAACCTTTTTTGGGGCCCCTGGGCTGGCGTTGGGTGTTGATTTCGCAAGTTGCCCCCGACTCGAGGCAAACACCACACCTCGGTTGGTGTCCATCGCAACGAAGCTTACGACGGCGACATTCTTCACAGGCTCTTCCTGTCCGTTGCCGCTGTCTTCCGGTGGACCGAGAAGACTGGTCTCGACGTGTTAGGGCATCCATATCGCTGGTGAGCAGCATGTGATCAGGTGACTTGGGGGGGACAGCAGACGAAAAAAAAGAGAAGAAAGCAGGGCTCAAGGGGAAGCAGATCAGATCAATAGTCGCGGCCAGTGGTAGATGGAGTCGCACGGACGGTGCTTAATTTATAAATGGACCTTGGGAGCTTGTTTCCTGTAGCGTCCAGGCTAAAGTGGGCGGAGACCCCGAGAGTACTGGAGAATGTACTGGAGATTTATGGGCGCAGCCGAGTAATGCGCTCAGGCGAAAGAGGTGAGGTACTTTGGAGTGGAGTGGAAGTCTTTTGGCGTCGATTGGCGTACTTTGGCTTTGGCCCCAAGGTGTGATGCGCTATCACAGCCCCCTTAGCGCTTACTTATGTGTAACTTTGTGACCGTATTCGGTTATCATGTAGAATGGTCCACACCATATCGATATTGCGAGATGTGACAATCACGAAAGCCGTCTTCAACGGGGATGCAACAAGAGAAGAACAATGGCTAAGTGAAGAAGAGGGGAGGATAAGCAAGAGTATCAAGGGGCCCATGGCATAAGCCAGTGAAGCGGATTACAAACAAAATCCCCCTTGCTTACGTAGCTTAGTGCGGGGAGTGCATACATAGTACTGTGCTAGTAAGAGCACTAATATCGAATTCGATTCTTTCAAAGAGTACGAAGTAGTTCAAGTAGTATTTATTATCGACTTGAAGTACTACTTATAGTCCGAATTCCACCAATTTAGTCATGCCCAGAAATTGAACGCTCTTTCGGTAGATTGGCACTGAGACGATACTACTAATAACCAGTAGGTATGGATACTTACTGATATGGCAAGTTTCCACTATAAATATTAGTTATATGTCTGTACTAGTACCTAGTAGTGGTATAGTAGGAAAGAAGATTTTCGCATTTTTTATCAAATTAGTGATAGTATGATGATAGAAGAAGGCATTGGTATGAACACAATGCTTATATCAGAACGAATAGCATCCACCGTAATAAGCCCCGCCAGTGGCGTTCCACAAGGCCTCGACGCAAAGAGGCACTGAGAAGACGCAACCTGCATGAGTGAGGAAACTGGTAGATTTAAAAAGTGGGGATTGTCAGAATCTATTGTTCAAGTTTCACAGGATTTGAACTGATAATTTGGGCTGAAGGAACGTGCAAGTTGAGAAAAGAAACGAAGTCGAAGAGCTTGCTAGTACGGCTGTTTTAAAATGGTATGCGACCTCGGGACAAAATCATATCACAACACAGTGAAATGGAGGATTAACCACTGGCAGTAGTGCCAGCGGGCACTGATGCCGGAACTTGAATATGGTAATATATTTAACTACACTACGGAGTAGCGTACTAGCAGTTTCCACTTAAGTTACTTCTACTAGTAGGACTCGGTAAAATATCAAAAATACAAGACCTTGATACTAGTCGCAAGAGCAATTTTTTTTTAAACCATGGATTCCAATTTGCCACAAGGTAGAAGGCAATTTGACGCTTACTATTACACAAATACTAGTACTGGTATCATGATGTCTTCAAAGCCCAGGTTGCTATTCATTCGGCGTAAACCAGGTGTTGCACTGTATATTGATGTTCACGAGTGAAAAGAACTATATTTACTTTAAATTCTATTCCATCGTAGTATTCAAGAAGTAAGGGTTAGCTCACCTGTTCAAGTTCAAATTGCAGGGCTGGAGGCCTTATGTGGTGAGCATGTATAGTCGATCAGGCAACCTCCCCGTGAAGATTTCCCAAGAGAAAAAAAAAAAAAAAAAAAAAAAAGGCTATCTGACGATCACTACTTTGAAGATATGCAAACTCTCACTAGTTGACTGGTGTGGCACTATTGAAATTGTCGTTTCGTCTAAATCTCCCTAACCATCTAAGACCGAGAACATGTTTCTCTGCTGAAGTGGGTGTAACTGCAGAGACTACTACAGCTTGCATACATCACTAGCGCTACCCCAAGCTGGTATAGTACCCAGTCCGCTTGGGAAGCGAACGTTTTTGATACGACTCCATTCCCTTAGTGTTCCAATCCAATGTTCCCTGCCATATCCACTGTCCTTCACACCCCCGAACGGCGTTCCCAAAAGGGCGCGGAAGTAATTATTCACCAACACGACCCCAACGTCCAACTTTCGAGTAACTCGCAGAGCTCGATTGAAGTCCGCGGAGTATACCCCTGCAAAAAGTCCGTACTGCGAGGAGTTGACGATTGTGACGGCTTGCTCTTCCGTTTCAAAAGAGCCTACAACAACGACAGGTCCGAAGATCTCCTTGTGTGCAATAGTCATTTCAGGTTTGACGTCTGTGAAGAGTGTTGGGGCCACATAAAATCCCCCCCGCTAAACCTTCGGCTGTAGGTAGGCTTCCCTGCGCAGATAAAGTCGCTCCTTGACGCTTGCCTTCTTCGATATAGGATAGTATCTCCTGTTGACGCTCCAGAGACACAACAGGGCCGATGTGAGTCTTTTCATCAAGTCCATCACCGGCGCACAACCTCTTGACTGCTATTGTGAGGCGATCAACGAAAGTCGGGTAAAGGTCTTTGTGAACTAAAATCCGTGATGCGGCGGTGCATGATTCACCCTTGTTGAAAAAGGCCCCATCCACAGTATCGCGCACAGCTAACTCTAGATCAGCGTCTTCGAAGATAACAAAGGCATTCTTTCCTCCAAGCTCCAGTGCTGTAGGGGTCAGGGTAACTGCAGCAAGCTGGGCAGCATTCGAGCCTGATGCGGTAGAGCCTGTCAACGAGACCATTTTGACTAGTGGGTGACTGATCAAGGCCTGTGGCAACTCCGGGCCCAGACCAGGAATCGCCTGGACAACATCTTCGGGGAAGACGGACTGCAGTATTTGAACAATGCGCATCAATGTCAACGGAGCCTGCTCTCCTGGCTTTAGGACCATGGTATTGCCAGCCGCCAGACATGGGGCCAATTTCCCCCCAGCATGGACCGGAGGCCAATTGAACGGCAAAATACCCACACACACCCCATGTGGCTCATAAATCACACTCGAATAGATATTTCCTTGGTCGAAAAATTCCGAAGGTAGTTTGTCGGCAATAGATCCGAAGTAACGAAACACTCCCACCAGAAACATAAGATCAAATGATGCATCTTTGACAGGTTTCCCGTTCTCAAGGCATAGCAGAATGGCCAATTCACCGACGTGCTTTTGAAGCTCGTCGGCAGCCTGTATGAGATAGACTGAGCGTTCCTGTCGAGTCTTCCATCGCCACGACTCGAATGCCTTTTGTGATGCTTGGACGGCCTTATCTGCTGTGTCGGGATTTCCGGCCTGGACGACAGTTATCGGCTTCCCTGTCGCGGGATTCACGACGGTGAACCGCTGGGAAACATCCTTACACGACCAACGATATTCACTGACTGGCGGGATTGTCTTCAGAATTTCTGCTGCTGTTACGGTCATGATTTCTTGCGTCTTCGATTGGCCCGGTGTGTGATTTAGTGACGATGACTTGCCTAGGTAAGCGATAAAGTAGTCCTTGGGAAGTGAGAGAGGAATAGATGGATTATACTAAATATATAAGATCCGTTGGGTAGAAGTTTTAACTATGCTTACGTAGTGCCCGACCCTCAAGAATCAATACCGCATTTACGAGCAACAAGACCCGGATAGATTTCTACGGTCCCTGTCAAACTCCGAGCCGGCTACTCCTTATTCCTTCGGGGGAACATGGGGATCCTTTTGAAGAACTACAGGTTGTATTGACCAAATACTGGCTAATTAATCAAATATAAGAGATAGTTATGGAGGTTCCTGGCATGGCTGTCTCCACGCTTGTACTGCAGTATGTTTTCAGGCACTTTCTCTCATGTTTATGTTCTGCTATGAGATTCTATACAATCTCCGTCACGAAGAAAAGATTACAGTCGCTTATTTGTAGGTGTAGATAGCGAAGTTGTTGCCCTCGCTATCCTCGAAGTATTGGAATAGTCCCTTGTCACCTTCGGGAAGCACCTCGCTTGCCTTCTTGCCACCATTCTTCTCAATGGCCTTGAATAGATTAGCCAAATGAGGTATTGATATCTTTCATTGATAACTCACCTCCAAAGCGGTCACGATATTCTCTACATAGAGGTAGAGTTTAGTAGATCCCGAGCCTACTGGGATTTCTTCCACGAGGCGCATAGCCCCTCCGATGGGCAGAACACCACCTGGCACCTCAAAAGTTTGAAGCTTGTGAGCGGGGAAACCCAGAGAGGAGGGGGCGAATGTCCAGTTGAAAACTGCCTTGTAGAATGCGGCCCCTACCAGTATCGCTTAGATTATGTCTTCGGATAATTGATTACATCGGGAGATCTTACCTCGAGCCACATCCTTGGCCGGAATTTCGAGTCCAACAGGAGTTCCTGCGGGGATTGGAGACATGATTTCGATATTGAAGAAACTTGTGAAAATATTGTTGTTTGAAAGATTGCTGAGATTAATTACAGTTCATCCACTCAAGCCTGGTCTTTATATGCCAGTCTGCTCCACCGAATTCTTGATCATCCATGTTCTATTCCATCTTGATTATCAATATACCCAGTCGCTTCGATGTGAAAGAAGCTATCAACAGTTTCCAATTGGATGGAGCCATGTTGTTTCTTTGTTTGATCAGTAAAGTTTTTCCGAGGTGAGTGGCGGAATATCTTTCTCGGACCTCTTTTATCCGAAGAATTCGTGGGCTGGCAGATGACAAATATCATGCTCCGAGATACGAGACTCGTATTTTCGTTATATCTCCACAAAGGTCGAAAGGTCCAGATAATCCGGAATGATTAATCCGTTACTCCCAGGGAGACCGATGCCAATCCCGCCATCCTTCAAGTGTAGTATCAGCTGCAAGTAAACGAGTCTATTTAAGAAACACGTAATGTAATCATACAAGTCTCCGCGACACTATTGCAAAACAACGAGCGAAATGGCATTCCCACCATCCGCTGGTAGGCTAAACCCCCCTGTTCACCCGAGCGCAGTCAATTAATCTCAAATAGCTAACATTCGGTCCTTGCAGGATTCACTTGGATCTCTAAGACACACAATGATAGCTATCCTACCATCACAGCCTCCAAATGCAAACAGCAAGGACGAGCAGTGTTCGTGACAGGTGCATCAAAGGGCATTGGTCGCGCGGTAGCAGTTTCGTTTGCCCAAGCAGGCGCTTCCTCAATTGCACTCGGCGCACGATCATCCCTTGACGCCACTGAGGCGGCGGTGCTCGATGCCGCACGGACATCAGGCCATCCTCCACCAAAAGTCCTGAAACTGGTACTCGACGTTTCGGATGAACAGAGTGTTGCAGATGCAGCGGCGGAGGTTGAACGTGATTTTGGCCGCCTCGATGTTTTAGTGAACAATGCCGGTCGCGTCGAGAAATGGGTCCCCCTCGCGGAAACTGATCCTAAAGCCTGGTGGGGGACGTGGGAGGTCAATATCAAGGGAACATATCTTATGACAAGGGCCATGTTGCCTCTTCTGTTGAAAGGCGGCGAAAGGACCATCGTCAATATGAACTCGATCGGTGCCCACTTGACTCGGCCTGGTGCATCTGCCTATCAGACTGGGAAATTAGCGATGCTGCGCTTGACACAGTTCACTTGTGTTGAATACGCTGCTCAGGGTATTTTGGCCTTTGCAATCCATCCGGGGGCCGTGGATACTGAGTTGGCATCGAATCTGCCTGAAGACACAAAAGCCAAGTTGGTGGATTCACCAGAATTGTGTGCCGACACAATTGTCTGGTTGACTCAAGAGCGACAACTTTGGCTGGCTGGACGCTATCTAAGCGCTAACTGGGACATGGCAGAGTTGATGTGTCGCAAGGAAGAGATTATTCAGGGCGATAAGCTCAAAGTCAAATTGGTCTTGTAAATTAGTTTGACACAAACGTAGTTTCGGGCCATTTCACGATCTCATGAGACTCCTGAATAGCTGATTACAGTGCAAACTTGCCTGTCCAATTGCTTTCATCCCTCAACGGATATTCATGCTCATGATGTATCCAATTAGGAAAGTGGGGAATATCCTGTTTATTACTGTGCTCACAGGAGGCTTGGACATAGACCGCTTCCTATAAGAACATACCCAGGCCCATCTCAAGAATGAATCACTTAAACCTTTTATCTCTGTGCTCAAGCATAAAGTCCTTTGTAAATCATGCCTGCAGTCGGGGTCTCTGAATTTGTCAAAACTCCCTTTGATGTTCTCATCATTGGTGGTGGAACCGCGGGCCTCGTGCTCGCAGCTCGTCTTTCCGAAGAGCCACACATTCAAGTCGGGGTAATCGAAGCTGGATCTCTGCGGTTGGATGATCCGAAGGTCAATTTACCTACTGGAACGGGTCAGATGATGGGTGATCCTAACTATGACTGGAATTTCGAGAGTGTCCCACAGGTGAGTAATCTGGGAATAATATCGTCTGATGCATAGTTTTTGACTTCGTGCAGACTGGCACTCACGGGAAGACATACCACATCCCACGTGGTAAAATGCTGGGTGGTTCAAGTGGAATCAACTTCATGTCTTACAACAGACCATCTGCTGAAGACATCGATGATTGGGGCAGAAAGATGAGTCTCAAAGGGTGGACATGGTCTGAACTGCTGCCGTACTTTAAACGGAATGAGAATATGGAGCCAGTTGAGGACAGTCCATCTTGTCCAATCCAATCACAAGCCCATGGTGTTGACGGCCCAATACATACTTCAATAGGTACCTGGCAGCCACCTATCGAAGAATCATTACTCGCTGCATTTGATGAGGCCGCTTGTCTCCAACGGCCGGCTGAGCCATACAGTGGCTCCCATCTAGGATTCTACAGATCTCTGTTTACCTTGGACAGAACTGACAGGCCAGTTCGGAGTTATGCAGCCAGTGGCTATCTTCAACCGGCCATCAAACGCCTAAACCTTATGGTTTTGGAAGATGCTCAAGTATGTCGCATTCTACTCGGTAATACTGCAGAAGGCGTACCGAACGCAGAAGGGGTCGAGCTACTTTATGGAGGGAATCTTTATGTCGCTTCGGCTAAGAAGGAAGTGATACTCAGCGCTGGATCTATTCAAAGTCCCCAACTTCTAGAGCTTTCGGGAATTGGGGACCCTAGCCTCCTCAAGCAAGCTGGGATTCTTTGCAAAGTACCCATTAGCGATGTTGGGAAAAATTTGCAAGAACATACCATGACACCAGTGTCATATGAGCTTGCAGAAGGAATTATGTCAATGGATTCTTTGTTCAAGAATCCTGCTCTGCTAGAAGAGCATCAAAACATCTATGCCAAAAACCACTCTGGGGCTCTTTCCGGGGCAGTTAGCCTCATGGGCTTCACTGCATACTCATCACAATGCAGCGAGGCTCAGATGAGCCATACCCTTGGAAATATTATTCCTATTGCCAGTGTTGAAGTGTCGCAGCAAAATGCCAACTTTCAACGCAAGCAGTTTGAGGTTATCGCCACACGTATCAAAGATCCAATTTCTGCGGCAATCCAGTTCATCGGCACTCCGGCATATTTCAATACCGCAGCAGGCCATGAAAATTGTGCAAAACTGATGTCTGGCCCGCCCAGTGGCTACAATTCATGCTACTCCATTGTTGTTAGCAACATGTATCCGTTATCTCGGGGGAGCGTACATGTGCGGACCTCAAATCCTGTAGACCCGCCCACAATTGACCCCGGGTTTCTATCCCACCCAGTTGATCTCGATATTATTGCTACGGGGATTTCATTTGCGGATCAAGTGTTTCGGTCGAACATTGTACATTCGAATATTTCCAGGCGGGTCAGCCCTTCTCCGGAAGTCAACCTCTCCAATATTGAAGAAGCTCGGGACTATGTTCGGAATCACATCGTGACATATCACCATGCCTTGGGGACTTGCGCGATGGGACAAGTAGTAGATGAGAAGCTACGAGTGAAGGGCGTTCGAAATCTTCGTGTTGTTGATGCTAGCGTTATTCCAATGCAGGTCAGCGCCGCGATCATGGCTACTGTGTATGCTGTTGCTGAAAGGGCATCGGATATTATCAAGGACGATCTGAGGGTGCGGGAAATCCATCGTGCTAACTTGTGATGTGCATCTTCAAAGATAAAATTGCTACATATTACTAGTCGTCGATTTGTCTAGTCATAGAAAATTTCTACCTATTTTTACCAAGGCTCTCTACGCAATGATTCTGAGGATGTAGTGCTAGTATCCACCTGAACGAAGTCCACCTCATAACATGCCATGATGATGGCTTCTCGAGAAATAGCTTACGTGGTTGTTTAGTTACCGAAGTCAAAGCAGAGATATTCCGAAAAGAAATTCCGAGTTCCTGCAGGAAGCTTTCTTCAGGCGTCGAAAAGCCCTGGAAAGGATTCGACGTAAGCCTGGTGGCTGAAGCTTGGAATGTAGTTCGTACTTTTGTCTTCCTGTGCTTACATTCTACTGAGATGCTCGCAGAATACGAGAGTCAATCAGAGAACCACAGTGGAGCGAGAATATTTTTTATGAGAAAAGAATTCAATTTGTTCTCGTATTAGGAGGATGAAACCCTGCGACATGCATTATAAAGGTAAAGGAGTACTGGTCGACCATCTGAGTTTCCGATCAAAATTTCCAGTTTTATGCCGCCGCAATGAAACCGCTTCGCGCCTTTTCCACTTCTCTCTGTCTATTGCCTTGGACTTTTCATCCCACAAGCGCTAAAGATAAATTCGATCCGACTAGCTACGCCAGCTCGGACGTTATTACATGTGATGTCGCAGTGATCGGAGGTGGCTCTTCTGGCACCTATGGTGCTATCAATCTCCACAAACGAGGGCAAAGCGTGGTGCTCGTCGAGAAAGAGGCAGTTCTTGGAGGCCATACAAACACTTACACTGATCCCCTGACGAATATCACAATTGACTATGGTGTTCAAGCGTACTGGAATATACCGGTCACGCAGAACTATTTGGATTATCTGGGCATTGAAACGACAGAATACACGGGGTATTCAAGAAAAGAGTTATATGCCAATTTTGAAACGGGACAGGAAGTCACGTTCACCGCGAGCAGCAATTATACGTCCTACGTCAAACAGATAGAGAAGTATCCATATCTAGAGTGGAGTTGGGACCTACCCAATCCCGTTCCTAGCGACCTTCTTTTGCCATTCGCCAAATTCATGCAAAAGTATGACCTAGAAGATTTAGGATACAACGTCTTCTGGGCTGCGCAAGGCCTGTCAAATGTACTGGAACAGTTGACGGTCAACGTGTTCAAAATTTTTGACAAGTCATTCATCGATGCCCTACAAGGGGGTGACGTGAGAAGTGTTGACGGCAACGGGGAAATATACAACAAAGCTTCTGCGATACTGAAGGGAAAGGTGCTGTACTCTTCCCAAGTCGTCGCCTCCAGCCGGCCAGCCGACGGCACTCATGTAAAGCTGGTTGTGGCAACTCCCACAGGAACAAATTTATCATCGCATCGAAGCTCCTCGTCAGCATTCCACCACTATTGAACAACATGAAGCCTTTCGGCCTAACGACCCGCGAGTCCAATATATTTTCGCAGTGGAGTTACAGCGGATATTATACTATTCTAGTCAACAACACTGGCCTTCCTTCCGGTTATCGATTTCGGAACGCCAATGCAGCAACGCTTTCCAATATTCCGAAGCTCCCGGGTCCCTACCAAATCACAGAAACAAATATCCCTGGACTGTTTTATATCTGGTACGGGAGCCCCTATGCCTTGGAAGAAGCTGCCGTGAAAAAAGACATCACAGCGGTTATCCGTCGATTGCAGAAAGCCGTCGACGCAAACGGATCTCCAGTGCCACATTTCGTGGAATTCAAAAGCCATACGCCGTTTAAACTGGTGGTCAGTGGTGACTCTATTCGCGACGGGTTTTACAGAGATTTAGAGGAGTTACAAGGCTATAGAAACACATGGTATACAGGGGCTGCGGTTATCTCCCATAGCTCAGCGATCTTGTGGAACTTCACGGAGACCCTTCTCCCACAGATCATCGCAGCTCAAAAAATCAAAATAATGAAATAACTATGAATAATTATTTCTGTGTCAAATCTTTTCATATTTTCATTCAATATCTATCGACACTTCCCGTGCTTACCACGGTCCCATTCATCCTGCAGCTGCTGGCCAAAAGTACGGCCGGGACAACCTATACGAGCTGCGTTTCCGGGTTCCCCGACATCATGACATCAGCACGGACCAAAACAAAGCAGGCGGGCCACTCGCATCATCAAGACATAAGAACTCATTTAACGGCCTTTTGAGCCAGTCGCACTTTCTTGGAATCCTTGATTAGAGCCGTGAAGAAGACATTGCCAAGAACTTTTAGATCCTGATGCAAACGGATAACACCATGCGCCGTATGGGTCTGCTGACCCGTGACTTCATCAGTGGTTCACCTTAAAGAGGAATGTATGGTTCGGGGCTGGCCGAGGCTCGGGAGCACTATCACGTAAATTGAAGGCGGCAAATACATGTCTAGATTTATTTGTTTGGAGTGTCACACCATGATTTAGGTTGGAACATTAGAAAATTTGAATGGGTGATTTGTGGCATATATCCGGTAGTATGCTACTTGAGCGGTCCGGAGAAGTTCTAGACTACCGACTCCTGAATTCGGACACGGCTAGACCGGCTCAAATGTAATGTACGAGCTAGCCCTTGTTATTATCTCAACTTGTACATATGGAAGTGTAAGAACAGTCAAAAGCTTCCCATATGTCCAAAATTAAGGTTGAGTGTTGAATCACTACTGGTAATGATTAGAAAGGGAATTTGGAACTCTGTCATCAATTAATGTATAAAATGCAGGTAAATTCATCGAAGAAGGCCATTAAATACTTTTTTTTCCAACTTACGATAATCCAATACTTGGACCTTTCAATTTTTACAATAGCCCCAATTCAACTGACGGACCCTTCAACATGAACGGAACACAGAATCTTGGAATTCGCTCTGATGGTCCGGACACCTACCTATATGGCGAATGCAGATTTAATCAGGACCCATGGGCTTACAGAAGAAGCGAAATACGTCTGGATGATGTCCTTGGAGACGAACATGTAGGTGTTTTGTATGAGCTCACATATAAGATCTAATACTAACACAACACCAGGGCTTTTTCAAATGGGGTGGGCATGATTTTACCGAGAAAGCATTAGATGTGCATTTCGGTATTGAGGGCCAGCAGAATGTGCCTGTGTTACGCGCCCAGCTACGTGGAGACTTTGGGAATGATTATGCTGCGAGAGATGTGAATCTGGCCGAGCATATCTATAACTCCGGGGGCAATCTACAGTATCGGTGAGTGCCTTTTCAAATTTATTTCCTTCTATTTAGACAACTAATAATTCACAGACCGTAATTTCGAAGTTTGTGGAGGCAAGCATGCGAGAGGAATATCAAAAGGGTTCCAATTTTATTTTGCAGTGTATTGAATTTTTCTTTCTTTTTTGCTTTCTTTGTTTCAGGTTCGATAGTGAAAATTGACTAAATTATCTACTGCCCTGCAAGCAAATGCAATAACATTCCAAGCAGTGTCGATTCGATGTCTAAACGAAGTGTTGGTCACGCGGAAACTTTCATGTGGATTTCTCGTCATTGGTAAATTCCACGGGCCAAGACAAGAGATCTTACTGGTAAAAGCGACACAGTCACTGCAAACTTTTGTAATGAGAAGAATACATAAATGTACAGTTCAGAAACGGCTTATTCACCAGCTCCACTATTCAGGCAATACGTACGACTTCAGGCTCTACCCACAGAGTCCGATAATGTAACCTTAATTGCCTAGATAGTTTGGGCAAGTCTAGAACAACAAAATCGCAGAGAGCGGTTCCATTTCAAGATGTCCCAAGGTATGGACCGAACCTTACCGGATGTTTCCAATACCACCGAGGAGAAGGGCCTTGAAAACGATAGATGGAGAAGACTAGCGCAGATACCTATAAATCACTCCTAAGGCCTCTCGTTCTCAAGACCAAAACCTGACCCCTGACAGGTGACATGTCTGAGCCTCATCAGCCTTCATCACAGACCTCCCAGGAAGAGCACCATGTCTACCAAGAATACATGGCCGCGACATCCAATTTACGAAGAAAGCTGATCCAGAAAAGAAAGCATCTGAAACTGCAATATGGAATTAGCTCCTTTGTTTTCAATTTCCTCACAATGGTGCAAGTGATCATTGGCGCAGTTATTACAGCACTAGGACCCTCAGCTGCCGACCACATGGTGGCAATAACAGTCCTTGGTGCTATCAATACGTCGTGCGCTGGACTTTTGGCCCTTCTTAAGGGGAGAGGACTACCACAGCGACTTAGGGGAAGCATGATTGAAATTTCCAAAGTTCTGGACTACATCCAAGATACCTCACTTTTGTTGAAATATGATAAAAGCCGCGTCCCCGAGAACGGAATCGGTCCTCTACTAGAAGAGTCTTTTCAGAGATATGCTTCTGCCGAGCAACTGATTGAGGGCAACCAGCCGGATACGTTTGCTTCTGGGATCAAGCCTCCAGTCAATGCCAACGCGACGGATGCAGAAGATGGTCATGGCCAAGGACCAGCCACCTACAAGACGAATGGTAAAGGGCCTCAAATGGATGAGGAAATGGGATTTTTGGACGGGAGTCGACGTACATGATGTACTTCAAAAGCTCGCCATATATTGCGATTGCAAGTTGCTACACATCAAATGCTGAAAGGTTGTTGCTTTACTCTTTAAACGTGTTCGTAATATCGATCCTACCGTTTCTTGTTCTTTATGAGTATGCCATTTAACGTGGATTACCCCCTACTCGCCATCCCCAAACACCATAGTTAAGGCAATAAATTACAGCTCAATATCTCAACAACACTTACTTTGTAATAGATTCCTGGATAAGATAGTATTATTTATAATATTTCTTTCTTAACTATGGTGTTTGAGGGATGGCGGGTAGGGGGTAATCCACGTTATCCTTAGTGCACTCATGTGAGTCAATCACTTAATTCGTCAAAATGCTCTACTAACAAAGGGATTCTAACTCTTGAGTTGAGTCACGAAAGGCGTTTTGCAGCCATGGAATGAACAAACTCACGATAAAATCCCCCGAGCCCGCGGTCAAAGCAACTTCGCACTTGTTTCCAGATTTTAGCTTCGTTTTAATCATTACCTATCATTTGGACTCATTGGATAAAGGCGGGAGACCCAACGGACTTTTGAATAATGCACATCGAGGTTATTGCAAAGTCAAATTTCATAAATATCAATCTTGGAACTAAACCTTCGAATTACAAGATCCACATTCGAATAATTAGACAGGAGATAAACCAGATAAGAAAAAGTCAAAGTTTGTCGTTCACAATTCATCTCTGCCCTCGTCGAATGGATATCCAACCTGCTTCCAAGCCTCTTTGATTTTATCCTCGTGGTCACCAGCATTCAGAATAGTAAGCTCAGCAAATTCCTTAAACGAAGCATTCTGTCTAAGCTTGCCACAAGTTAAAGCCTTGTACCAAATAGGCCCGGCAGTTTGCCAAGTGTAACCCCCAATCAATGTAGAAGCTAAGTAGAACGCATGATTAGGGATGCCGGAATTGATATGAACACCGCCCTGGTCTTCCGAGAGCGGAAGCTTCTGGAAGTTCTTCCAGTGACCCGGTTGGCGGTCTGATCCAACTCTTCTATCGTTGTAAGCTGTTCCCGGTGCTTTCATATCACGCAGTGCTCTGCCGTTGACACCTTTCGCCCAGATACCCTCTCCAATGAGCCAATCTGATTGCTCTGCAGTCTGTGGGTTGGCTGGGTCGTTTCCCCATTGCTTGATCATTATCCCGAAGACATCAGCAAGCGATTCATTTAGCGCACCACTCTGGAATGAGTAATCCAGCGGGCTCGTATACTCAACAACTCCATGGGTGAGCTCGTGACCGATGACGTCTAACTCATCGGTAAAGCCGTTAAAGAGAACCCCGTCCCCGTCGCCGAAAATCATTTCTTTACCGTCCCAAAATGCATTTTGGTACCCTTTACTATAGTGCACAAAGCCCTCAAGACTGAGACCTCGACCGTCGATTGAGTCCCGGTTGAAGAAATTAAAGTAAAAGTCGTAGGTTTTTTGAAATCCAATGTAGCATTCATTGGCATCGTAGCTTGGGTCTTGCTCCTTGGAAATAAGAGCGCCTCCTTCTTTAATCATGATTTTGCTGCGTGGTGGATTTTGCCTGTTGGTATGCTGCGCATCATAAACAGTGCGGTTCAAGTGGCGCAACGCTCCTGTGACTGCATGCTGCTTAGTATCGTGCGCCATAGTATGGAGGGATGAATTACGTTGCTCTTCTTTTGAGGCCTCACGGGCAATGGTTTCAAAGATGTAAGATGGAATTATACCTTCAAAGGTTGGGCGCTCCTGTTCCGCCAGGAGACTCTGCTTATGCTCAATACGGGTATTGTGCAATTCTTTTGTTTGGTCAATAGTAGACCGGCATGCATCCAGAACATGTTGTTGTGCCTCTCCTACGTCGAGAATATTTTGCAGAACATGTTCTGGTACAATGCAACAAACTGGAGCCATTCTGGTGACTTGTTTTGGTGCTTTGAGCATTTGATAACAGCGGAGGGGTAGGAACCTTCGCATTGTCCACGTATTACTTCCTAGCAATTTTTGTTTTGACAGACACAAGCCCTGCTTCTATAAAGGCAATTCGTAGTACGTTGTAATCAAGCCAGTGAATATCAGGTATCTCTTCGTGTCGTCATGATCAGCACCGAATCCTTTGGTTTCCCCAAAAACTTTCCAAAATGCGAATGTATGTCGGCTTCTATTGCCTAAATTACCTAACTTTTAGTACTATGTGATCAAATTAGTATTCTTCATATCAAAATCAGTCACCTGTGAGGGATAGACCATGTTCTGGAACTTCCTTCCGCTGCAAACGTACTCTATCCGACTGAACCTCTTTCAAATGCCGTAGATCGTAACGCCAAGGGCTTGGCGTTCTCCTGACAGACTATATCCGAATTATAGGTCAGCTCGTTCATAGAACGGGCTAGATAAAGCGATGTGAATTTTGACCGTGGAGATAGAAATGCCAAATGGGCGGAGTCTGGAGCCGAACCTGCCGTCCAAGCTTCAAGTGCCCCACCCATGGGTACGGGTTGACCCGCCCGTGGACCGATTCTGGTACCCAAATTGCTCGACGTTTACAGTATTATCATTCACGGATGAAATGATCAATGTGGCTTTAGGGATCCAAGACCGGAGGTGGCTCAGCGTCAGCGCTGTATAAAAGATCTGGATAACTTGAAGTGGCCACCCGTTCCGCGGATGATTATCGATTCGCAGACGACATCTACCTTATTATTGGTACTGTGCATCACCAAATCACTCATGCTTATGTCAAAGCAAACTTTGATTTTCAATTTGATTTCTTTGGGTAGCATTTGATCTTCTCCAACCATTGCGACAGGTTTTGGAACCTGGCAGCATCGCTCACACACCTTCCGCCTTCTCCCTCTTGAGCCCGCTCTCCTTTCCCCATCTTTTCCCCATACCCAAGCCTTCCTGTTCGCCCCTCTGTCATCCCACGGAACGCTGTGTCCGTGTTCGTGCCGTATAGAGTTAAGCTAGGAAGTCAAAGAAGCTCCTCCATTTCTATGGCATATACTATCTTTTGCGATTTTCATTCATTACCAGCGTCTGTGAAAAGCTGGTGCATCACTATCCATTAGACGCGCATGCTAATCAATTTTCGTAAAACCTTTATTGCATTTAAGGGGCTTGCGATGCGAATATGCGGCTGGGCGTAAATGTATTTTATAGTGATATGCAACCTTGGTTAGCTAACCTCACTTTCCAGATGACAATTGCGCCGCGAGCATTTAGGCTTCTCACTATTTCAGAGAGCAACACTGTATAAAAACGAACGCGAGGGACTTCAGCCAATGATTGGTGGCGATGGTATCGGGCGCTGTAACTGGTTACAAGTGAAGTCAACCCCAAGTCAGCCCATGCCTGGAAAGATCTGGCCCGGCCCAACACAACCATCCGTAAGGGCTGATGTTCGTATTTCAGCAGTCACTTGACTAGTAGTCCGATAGATGCCACGCTAGAAGTTATTCGCTACTTAGTCTGCTGATCCGAATTGCTACTTACATGGTCGAGAACAAAGTAAACCCATTAGTCAACGTCGACAGACAGAATATTAACTTAGACTTGCTTGCGTAGTGTAACGGTGATATTAAACAAAGGCAGATGGTTCTGAGACCCATGGACATCATTCTCCATGAATCCCCCCTGAAGCATTCGGCTTCCCATTTCTGCATCTGGGAATGGTCGCTTTGAACGCAAGCGCTTGATCAAAAAATCCACACCACACAATGCTATCAACAGAGATATCGTAGAGCTCTGCAATCTTCGCTGATGTGAGGTCCCCGGCCTCTTTAACCTGCTGATAAACCACTGCGGAGTCGAACATAACGTCAAGAGTAATCTCGAACGGTCCCGCGTTCTTGGAGCGAATCACCTTAGCGATCTCTCCCAGAGTAAATGTACCTGTTATCTGTCCCAGTGGCTTGGGATGTGAAGAATCAGTGGTGGGATTTATATTATGGCTCGCACCACAACCTCCGTGACTCGTTGAGTTGTGAAACGTTTCACGATCGATTCGGGGACCACTGCCTAAAAGACGTGTTTCCCATCGTGTGAGGCTCTTCGACCCATTTCCCTGGTCTCGCTGGCCTGTGGCATCCTGACTGATCTCTATCGCCTCTTCCTCCCCTTCCTCCATCTCTACCAAGTGATATATTGAGAACTCGGCGCATGCCCCCATCTCGACCTCCAACTTCCCACCTATTCCCATACCAAAATTTCCACTGTTTGCTTTCTGTCCTTCGTACGGTGCATGGACACATGCGATACGCGCGGATGATGTAACGCTATTTGCTAGAGCTTGGGTCTCAGCAAGTGCCTCTCCGACAATAAACACATCTCCTGTTGAGGTCCTTTCGTTCCTGTCGAGATCAAAACCATACACGTGGAAGTCAACCTCCCACTTTTCCCGAGTATGCGCATGCTTCTGTTTAACATATGCCTTTGCACGGTGAAGTAGCGATGGCAGCTGCCGGATGAGAATGGGATCACAGAAAGAACCCATGAAAATTCCTCGGTAACCGATCACCCTCGCCGCTTCGAATTTGATTGTATAGGGCAGCCCTTGGCTCTTGGACGAGACAAATTCGGAGCCGTACGTTCTAACACTGATACCATCAGAGAGCGATATGTACGTGGCGGTGTTGAGATCAAGATATCCCCCAGGCCCATGCAATATATCCGGTCTAGACTTCTCGTACAGAGCATGCGCTGCCACACTGGTCGGGGTACATCGCGATTCCGCGGCCAACGGTCGAATGTCAAAGGACCCATCAGCATACACAGTGACCATTGAGCTCGCACTTTTTGGGGTAGCGCATGCTCCCCCCGCATTCCATAAGCTTTCCCATATGGGTAAATCCACCGAGTACTGTTGATTTCAGACTAGACATATAGCCGGTTGACTTGCGAAGTGCATTGAAGGCGCAGAATGCGACGTAGGGACTCGGGTCATATGCTCTTCCTACGATGAGGATGTCGAAGTCTGGATGGGCGTTCATGGCTTGCACGAATGGCTCGGGCCCAATCTGTCCGACAATGCAGGGCGACTGCAAGATGTCTTGTTCGGTTAATTCGGGGACACATGTCCCGCACCCAGTAATCTTTCCGGCTACCAGCTTTTCGAGGAGCAGTTCATGCCGAGCTCCGCTGTAGATTGCGATTGTTTTCAAAGATCTAAGGTCCCTTGAGAAATCGACAAATCAGCTAGATGAAGCGAAAGCGTGAAGCGGAAATTCTTTTCCCTGATCAAGAGGAAATATAAAAGTTCTCACCTTTGATCGGGCGCCTCCAGAGTCTCCCGAATGATATCAAGAAACTCCTTGACATGCGCATCACTTCCATCTCCACCAGCAGAGCTGATTAGTAGCGGTACGCGGTATTTCTTGACGGCGCAAATCAACTGCCGCAAGTCTCGTTCGTAGGCTGATCGTGGACAGGTCATTGACCCTAAGGCCAACTTTGCAGGACCCGAATCAGTCGATCCAGAATCGAGGATAATCGCGGTCGGTGTGCCTGATTGCAAGGCAATCTCAAGGCCCTTCTCCAAATCCGGGGTGCTGAAGCCGTAACCCAGCATGCCGATAGGTGTGACAATGTGGCATAGTGGCTCACACATTGCCATCTGGTCGAGATTCAAGGATATGCGGTCGCGAACGTCGAATGCGCCAGTAAGTTGTGAAACAAGTTTGCTGATGAGTTAATCGTTCGATATTTATTGCTTTTATTTGCTGATACATGATTCATACTTATAGAAACGCCGCTGGCAAAGATGTAGCCGAAGCTTCGGCCCGGTAAGCGAAATTCGCTCCAGCACCCGAATTCGCCCTCAGAACAGCTAATTAGCTCCGAAATCCGTCATTGTTGCGGGGTTTGTGAGTATGCTATCCAGGTTTTCTAGCCACGCATTCCATTCTAGTAGATCATCCTCAAACAAGTTTGGTTCAAGGCCAGTCGGAAACTCTGACAGCTCGGGTGCCCAAGCGGGTGCCGGCTGTGCAGGTTGCGAAAAGGAAGAGAAAAGCTTGCTGCGTAACTGACCCGCCATCCACATTCCACTGGTGATCATGCTCGTTGGGGGTGTTGCATTGGCGGTTGGCTGTATCTCCGACAACATATCGGATCCTTGGACGTGGCGAGAGAGCAGGTCAATCACTCTCGCAACGCGTCCCGCTTCGTCTCTGGGTTCCCGCGACCAGCACACAAGTGTTTCATAGACCTTCTTGATGTGATTCCGCGCTAGACTTTTGTCTTCCGCAGACATTTCTTTATCAATGGCCACAACATTGATCAAATACATGCCAGCCATGATCAAGATTTGGAAGTAATACTTTGGAAAGAAGACGTCGATTGGTTCGGTAGAATTTGCCCGTATGTCTGCACTCACATTCGATGAGTGGCCAAAAGTGTTCGCGATTTCGATTGCCGTGTGGAATCCCATATACCACACAGCCTTTGACATGCCGCCGGTTTTTCGCTTTTGCGGGTCCAATGACAATTGGGATAGTAGAGGTAGAGTATATAAACGAAGGCGAGCTGCAAGACATCCGAGCTTAATCTTTGGGTGGATTTGATTTGGCATGCGAGCTTCTATTGAAGCTAGATCCCTTTCCAGCAGCTCTATAAAAGATTTCTGGGCGGAGGCTGCGGATGGATTGTTAAGGAGTGTGGCTGCCCTGGTCGCAAATTCCTGGATATCTAGAAGGGTTGAGAACTCCTTGGGCAAGCTAGATTGAACTGCATGTCTGATTTTGGGCATACTGTGCGAAACCGTTTCCATCGGAGATGGTAGAGCAAGAGCTGCAGAAATTCTAAAGGTCATCAGCATGTAATAGCCAAAATTGAATTGAGTATGGAGAGCTTACTCGGTGCTCACTGCAAAACAACCCAGCCAGGTCTTTTGTCGTAGACTCTCGTCAATTAACAAGGGGTTTGACCCGGGCCAGTTTGTTTGGGAGTCAACGGATGTAAGTTTCAAATTGGCAGCAACAGCCAATCCAATGTACTCCCAGCTTGGGTCATCCTGCTGCTTCGCGACCGGGAACGGCCAAAGACATAAAATTAACAGTGCCTGGACTGTGTATATGCAGCGAATAGAGCTGACTAGATACTCCGAGAGAAGTCGTTTAAATTGTATCTGAAGAGGCCCAAAGTAGCTCGAATGATGGTGGTGCTTGCTGGTCGCAGTTATAATAATTGTCCAAAATAAAATTTGACTATCCCTCCAGATAAGGTCGATTGGCTTTGTGAGGTCGAGGATAGGCAGATGATCCAGATAGTGGTCAGCGAAACTTATGAAAACATTAGCGTTCTGTATTTTGGACAGATACTGATTTAAGAGCCGGAACTTACTGCTCAAAAAGTGCCAGAATTGTAGCTTCGTCAAGGCAAACGCCTCCGATTTCTCTGGGGGTGGGTATTTGCGAGGTTATTTTCTCGATGACCGAGGCTTCCTGTTGGATATCTGAAGCTCCATTATATGTAGAACCCGCACCTTCTGGCAAGGCCGCATCTAGAGGTGAATGGGAAGGCGTTGTTCCCGCTTCATGTACTAAACTTCGTAGCCTTTCGTTTTCCTTCGCAACCTTCTCCAGTGACCTGGCATGGCATGATCAGCGAAATGTAGACAGAGGCAAGTTTGGTAATTCCTACCCGCGAACAGGCTGCCGTTTGAACTTAGGATCGAACTTGCAATTGATATCCTGCTTCGTACATCGAGTACAGGGCGCGGGAAAGCAATGCATAGCATCGCACCTCAGCTAGGCACGGGAAATGTGAGCTTGTCGTATCCAACAAGTGTGGGGCTATGGGCCACGCACCTTGACTTGCCGACACGCCGTACACGCCATCGATGTACGCTTGGGGGGCGCATTCCCTCTGCCTTGTGCTCGCGTGCTCCTGTCCATTTAAAACGCGGGTGGCTCTTAGAGCTGCCAATCATAGGTCTGGGTCTTTATGTAGCAGCTCAGGTGGCGGGGTGGTTGTTGATGAGAGAGGAATGAGGATCAGCAGACGACGTCGCGATGGTACGCCGGTCTTGGCACTGGCAGCGACGGGGATGGCAACTGCAATTTTCTACACTTTTTTCATGGACTCGTTTAAGTTCTTATATGGCAGACTCTGCAACCTATTCCACAGGTTTGATTTTTCTATTTCTTAATGGCGGCTTGAATCAATGGCTCAATGAAACATAAGATAGACGGGCGAACCTGCACTGCTTCATGTGCGATGCCTGAAACAATGTCCAGCTGGCTATAGATTCCATCGGTTTTCCATGATCTACGAAGTTCTTTCAGAGTTTGCAATCGCCCATGCTCCATTCGAGATAGCGTTGTAGTCTCTGATTGCTTCTTTAGTTCCTTCTTTTGAAGACTCTCTAACCAACTCCAGAATGCTTCGCCCCCGTGCACCTTGTTGTCCTCCGAGCCAACCACCAACTGAATCGGGACTTTTCGAATGTTGCCAGGATCCACCTTTAGATCGAACAATGTCTTCGTGTTTGCTACACCTTCAGGCCAATCTTTCGAAAGATCCAACGCGGTTACTCTGCCCGGCGCTCCCACGCTGACAGCAGCTAGGCGTTCAGGATAGAGGTAGAGAAATCTGTGAGCAAATTGGCCACCGCCAGAGAACCCCTGAAGGAAAATTTTGTCTGTCGCAATCCCAGGCCAGCGAGCTGCAACTTCATCAAGGATTCCCAATAGTGCCTGATCAGACCGAAGCGAGGATGAGTGCAACATTTTGTACGAATCCAAATCGTTTGGACCATCTAAACCAGCAGGAAACAGCGGGGCGAGAATTGCACACGGCATACGATCCGCAAAAGACACCATTTCATCTTCGTAGAGAGTGTCCCATTTCCTGCCTGTGCCATGAATCCAGACGAGCAAGGGGAGCTTGGTCGGGTTGGGATCGGCATCGTATCGGGTCGGAGGTATGTAAAGCGCGTAGGAAACGCGTGGATCGCAGGCCAAGGCCCTCAGTGGAACATGGCCCACCATCAAACAGGCCTTGAGGAATTTCTTCGGGACATCGCTTGTCGACAAAGCTCTATCCATGTTTGCATAAACACTTAGGCCACTTTGAAGATTTCAATTTGGGGGCACTGCCACGATCGTCAGTAGAGGTTTGGCGGAATATGTACTTTCGGGGTCGTGAAGCGAAGTTCGCTTCGCTTGCCGAAATTCGGCCTACACGATAACCACGGTGCGAATCTTCAAACAAGCGTCGTTCTGCCGAGGCAGAGTTTATGCTTCAAGCTAACGAATCGCTTTTTCTTCGCTTCCTTTGCCGATTTTCGCTTGTGTATTGTGGGTCTTTACCCCAGGCTTGGGCGCTGTTAGTTACAAGGCATCCGAGTCCACAAGATGTACTTCGAATCCACTATCGCTTCTTATAAGTATGGAAATTCCGGCACCCCGGACATAATGCCAGCCATACCATTGAGAGAACATACCTTTACGAAGAAAGGGAAAAAGATCAGCTCAGGATGCCACCGAACAGCACCGACGCCAAAAATGCCGACGAGATCCAAGTTGCATTTTCCCACGAAGAGCTACACTCCGATGACAGCTTATCCCCGAGACTACTTTCTAAATTGAAATGGAAGCTGGACCTTTTTATTCTACCTATCATATCGATTGTTTACTTCTTTGCACAAATGGTACACATGTCATGGTTTTATACACTACTGGATACTGATCCGGTCGCAAATTGCAGGGTAGATCAGATCTCGCCAACGCCAAAGTTGCAGGCCTCTCAGATGAGCTGAAACTTTCTCCTCGAGACTATTCGGATGCGGCAACCGTACTACTCGTGGCCTATATCGTTTTCCAGCTACCGGGCACGCTCTTGATCAAACAGATTGGGTCAGCGAGACAGTTTTCAGGGGCCATGATCATCGTGAGAATCCAACTCTTCTCTCGCACGATCAAGGTCATCGTCTAATTTTCTTTAAAACTAGTGGGGTGCAATCACTGCGTCTACAGTCGCCATTCACAACAAAGGCGAGCTCTTTGCCTTGCGCTTTCTTATCGGAGCAGCTGAGGCATTCGTCCAAGGCGGAGTATTCTGTCAGTTCCACATGCTTTACCATCGTGGTAACCAACGTACTGATCCTTCCGTTCTTTAGATTTGTCTTTTTGGTATCAGTATGACGAGCTTGCCACGCGTGGAGCTATCTTCTATTCCATGAGCACGTTGGCGGGTGCCTTCAACGGTTTGATAGCGTACGGTATCGAGAAGGATATGGATGGGATTCGGGGCTGGAGAGCTTGGCGTTGGATATTTCTAATTGAAGGACTTATGCCTTGCGTGGCGGCATTCTTCGTGTTATTTCTACTTCCCAACAGCCCAGAAACCCTACGATTCGGCTTTACGGCGGAGGAAAAAGCGTTGGTAGTACGACGCAGCCGTCGCGCGCATAACACCTCTGAGGCGAGACTTGAACTAAAGAAGATTCCATTGGTGCTACTCAGTATACATTTCTGGCTCTTGCTTGGCATTGCTTGCTGTGGCCATTTCTGCGTCGGGTCGATTTCCAACTTTCTTCCCGCAATTATTCAGGTGTCTGGTTCCGATCTTCTACCAAGAGTGTATTAATATCTCACAATCATATAGGGCTTTGGATACACCTCGACGAACACTCAGCTGTTTTCGGTCATAGTATACGCCTGCGCCTGTGTCGGTGTATTGTTCTGGGCTAAGGTAGCTGATCGAACAAACGCTCGAGGTCTAACAATGGCAGCATCAACATGTGGAGCGATCGTGGGCTACTCACTACTCCTTGGGTTAGAAAATGATAAAGCCAGATTTGGCGCAACCTGCTTTGTGGCATTCTCAGTGTACCCGAGTGTTGTTCTCCAGCTTTCCTGGGCGGCCATGAGCTTTGTCGGCTACACACGAAGGTAAACTCGAATTGAGTAGCAATGCGAAGTTACTGCTAATGTAAGATTGAACAGGGGCTCTTCATTAGCCTTTACCAACATATTCTCCCAAATTTTCGCAATCTGCGGAACACAGGCCTACAGCGACCCGCCATACTGTAAGTAAATCTTTGCAGTCCCTCAATGATTCGATCTGAAATCCTCCCTATCAACAGATCGGAAAGGAAACGCGTCAGCCCTCGGACTGTCATGCGTTTCCCTTGTGCTTTCATTGGGTCTACGATGGTATTTCAGCGCTGTCAATAAGAAAAAGGCTACTGAGCAGTTTTCGGAGTACGCTTGCTCTCAGCGACGAAAGGGCCTAGAAGAGCTGGGAGACAAGCATCCGGGTAAGTCCAATAGCATAGACTTCTACCCCTTATACGCCGATTTGCTGAACATTTACCCACAGACTTCTTCTATACAACATAGTTAAATTCAAACCCGCAGTATGGTCCTCTGCTTCCGATTTGGTGACTGGGTCAGTGCGGAGAGGAGGGGGGGGTTATCAAAAAACCTGGAAATGCGAAAATGGTTCATACAATATGTAAACTTATTAAATCTAAAAGTAGCGGTCTGGCCGTAAGTGGGGCCCGAAGTACCCAAGGACCACTCACTGTACACGCTGTCACCCTCTATGAGCTCTCTACGCTTAAGATTTTCAGTTTTGACGATATAAGCCCAGTATATAACTTACGTCTTGCTAGAAGGGGTATTTGATACTGACCTGTCATAGCGGGTCATGTTGACATTGAATTCAAAAAATCCGAGCACTTATAGTTAATGATGATCTAAACGACCTTTTCTCGAATAATTGGAAATCAAGTTATTTCTTCAGAAATTCTGTCGGACCTGCAGTGGGAATTAAAATTCTAGGTATGGAGAAATCGATGCACGTACACTGTCCGCCTCGTATATCAGATCATCTGTGGAGCCAGATTGGAATTATTGCTTCGTATTACAGATACCCAGTCAGTATTGCCCCTTACTATCATCCATATTTATATAAGCACTCGGCTGTTTAAATCTTGTTATATTACACATGCAGCGCTGATCCACGCGAATGCGAATCCAATGGACTGACCAGGGGGTGTACAAGTGTCATAGTATCATGCACTTGTCCTCTACGCGAATATTGTGATGTATACGGAGTAGAAGGTGATGTTCTCACTGAATTCACATATATCTAAGCAAGGAGTGCTTCGCAGCCTTTTTCTGCCTAAGAAAAAGCGAGTCACAATCTTTTTAGTTCACCGAGGTAAAAATCTCATGACAAGTCTATTTGACTACGAAAGACGGCGGCGTTGGGATCATGATTAAACAACATACAGGATATAAACCCTTCACTTGAACACGTGGTCGCATATTTTTAAGCAATAATCTTGAAGTTCTGGTCAAAATTTGCTTTGTGATACGTAAAATGTTGTTAGAGAAACTTCCGGCAGCGTACGCTGGCTCTTCTCTTTATAATTACACCAAATCAGGTTGGTGATATCTTGAGCATGTACATATTCATTAAATTCAGAGCCATATAGGCCGTTTAGTTCCTTCCATCTTCTACTAAGCCTTTGGAATCTTCGCGTGCTCTCATGATTATCTCCAGCAGAATTGTCCAACTTGTGGTTTCTTCGAATACTCGGCATGGATATTGGCATTCTTTATTTCAGGATAACATACCTCCGTGTAACAGTAGTTTACGCAACCTCGCCACAATTGACCCGGAATTTGAAAAAAACCCCAATGCCGTGCTTGAGATCCAGGAAAGAGGCATTCTCTATCGATCAGCTTTTGATCAAATACGATTCCTATAGGAGTCATGGCTCTGAAGTGACTGATCCCTTCTCACGTTCCGTGTTGATCAGAAGTTATCTGATTCTTGCTTAAGTCTGTATCCAAGAGTTATTAGGTGAGAAAGGTGAGTGTATAATAGACGGGGGTGAGAAGCAGGGTGATTGTGGGTGAGCGCGAGTGAGTGTGGGTGATCCACATTGGCCCCCTAAGGTGAGCCATCCAACAGAAGTTATCATTGGCTATATTCACCTATCTCACGAGGTCCGGGAAGGGATGGTTCTGTGATAGATTGGGGAGCCTGTCTTTCCTTTCTTCTTTTCCCAAATTTAAGTTTATACGACGCTGCTGTTTTCTACATCTAATCATGTTTTCTTCTACAGTGATCTTACCACTACAGCAGTAAACGGCTTTACATTTGGCTGCATACAAGGTTCTATAATATCTGAGTATTAAGCTGCAAGATATAAATCCACTCGTATATTAATTCAGTAAAAACGAACTACTTCGACAACAATAAGTTCAGAGTGTATGGACCATGTTCTGTAGTAGTCTAGAACTTGGCAATCTGGCCCCAACAGACTGATTCAAAGGAGAGCAATTAAGTCATCGCGTTCCATCCCTATTCGGCACTGTACCTTTCCACTTCCAAGATGTGGGATAACACCACATGTGACGTCTTGATCAATCTCACTACTAATATTCGTAGTCATTTCTGTAGTCCTTGTCGTGGTCCTTGTCGTGGTCCTTGTCGTGGTCCTTGTCATGGTCCTTGTCATGGTCCTTGTCGTGGTCCTTGTCGTGGTCCTTGGCGTGGTCCCAGTCATAGTCCTTGCCCTGGCGCTTGTCGTAGTGATTGTAATAGCCTTTGTCAAGGTGCTTATCATCATCCTTGTCATGGTCCCAATCATGGTCCTTGTCGTGGTCCCAATCATGGTCCCTGTCATGGTCCTTGTTGTGGTCCCAATCATGGTCCTTGTCGTGGTCCTTCTTGTGGTCCCAGTCGTAGTTCTGGTTCTGGCGCTTGTCGTAGTTCTTGTAATAGCCTATGTCATAGTCCTTGTCATGGTCCTTGTCATGGTCCTTGTCATGGTCTTTGTCATGGTCTTTGTCATGGTCTTTGTCATGGTCCTTGTCGTGGTCCTCGTCGTGATCCTTGTCGTGATCCTTGTAGTAGCCCTCGTTGTGGGCTTTGTCATGATATCCATCACGAGCAAGATGGGTACCATGGCCCTCAATTGGACTAGCAATGACGCCTATGGCGAGGATAGAAGTGATCAGCGCGGTGGAAAGACGCATTTTGTTTGATTGAAGTATAATTGTATGAAGTTTCACACAGATATCTGAGATAACAGTAGCAAAGATATATTGGAGCTGGGGCTGCAACAAATTGTAAAATCAGATGAGCTGCACTTTACAGCGGTTTCCTCTGGGGGTTCTAACACCATTTTATATGCATTATCACCATTAGGTAGTACAGTGACTCAGCTTTAACTAAGGGAATAATCAAGATGAGGTTGTGACAATGATAGAAGCAAGTAGGGGTAGGAATGACACATTCCACCACAATTAATGCAGTTGTAAGCAGACTTTGCTTTCTAAAGATCATTCTAACTTGGAATTGATACTACTAGCATATGACGAGCCAAATAGGAACGTGTGGTCCTTCAAAGGCTTGTGAGAAATGCCTTAGGAATGTAGAGTGTATTTGGTCAGCAGGCAAAATGAGAAATGTGGAAGAAACAGCTTGATGATAGTGTATTCAGATTGGACAACAGATACAATAGTTTAGTGGGGCTAAAATAGTTATAGAAAATTCTCCATTAAGTACTGTCACGTTAGCTTACATTTAATCCCTCGGTTCTAACTTTTAACATTTTCTGGGACGGCCTGTACACTGCATTTTTCTAAAGCATAGGAACAAATAGCGCAATTTACAAGTGAGTGGTGCCCCTCGCGTATTCTTGCCTGAAGTTGGCATACTATTTATTTAAGTATACTAACTTATTCAGCCACCAAGTGACGATAGAATATTGACAGTTTTTGGAGAATAAATTGCTCTATATAGCCATTTAAGCATTGGCCCATGCCAGGGCACTAGCGAAGCATGTGATATGGGGAGGGGTAAAGAAGGGTCGCGAATTCTGGTTCTATCCGCCAATCATAATTCAACGCTCTGCCTCTTTTACTGTATGAACAAGTCGTTGGCTTGCTAGGGGATAAGGTGCCGACAGCGATACGCGTGTAGCTCTGGCTAAACCGTATTATTGATTTTTTTTTACCCTCATGAGTTAACTGATTGGTGTTTTTTCCCACAGCTGGTGTCGCAGTATCCACCAAATAAACAAACCCGTAACACAGTTTTCGCCCCAAGGAACGACACAATCTACTCATGGGAGCTTTTAGACCTCTAGGAATCATGGTAACATGCCAAGGGCAGCGAATCTTTCTTGGGAACCTTATTATGGGTCCTGAGGCCAGGGATGATTCTAGGAGCCCATCTTTGTTGCGGGGAGCCTCGACGCGCAGGTGGATATCTCTTGATATTCGATTTCAGTATCTAGACCCGAGCCACAGGATTGGTCACGAGGGCCGCAATGTATCTTCCCTCATCTAGTAAGAGGCTGTTCTGTCGTACTTTCATACTTTCATACTGCTGAAATTAACAATGCCTCAGTTAGACCTGTGCATGGGATTCCCACTTACGTAAGCCCCATAAGCCCATAGGAATGGGATAGGACTAAAGGTTATGCCCATTCCCATGGGAGTACGCTAACTATATACAGCTAGCGTATACTATTTATCTAACCTACATAATGAAAGATGGGAATGCTCGCTGGCAGTCTGCTGTGGCAGACGGGTCGATTGCAAGAGGACAAAACCACCACACTCGCAGAGTGCAGGAGAGTAGTAGACAAAGCGTGACGCTATCGAGATGCGACTAATAAGGCATTCGAGTCTTCATGGACATGCGATATAAGAGTTGTCCAAACTAACAAGCGGTATTAGGAAACGATATCGGTGCTAAGTTTCGGTGCAATTTTCGGGTGTCCATACTTTTCAAACCGCCGGCGGTAGGCACATCGTGTCCCATGTTTCTGACGGATATATTAGATACCTTCCAACCCACTCGACTGCACTCTGATTTATGAAGAAAATATCCGTAAGATAGTGTTCAATCTAGCAGACAAGAAACAAGAAGATAGGCAGGGGCCTGTCCTACACGTCCCGGTGAGCTCGGAACAAAGAAAGTGACTTCATCCTGACTCAGCAACGCATCGGGAACTTAGCGATGTGGGTGATATAAGAGGTGCAAATAGACACGAACTCAAATTTTATGTTAAGGATCGACCGGTTTGAAAATTGCTGGTTATCGTCACTGGGCTGATGTCAAAAGAACACACGGCCTAAAGCCCGCTGGGGCCCACGGGGGGGAGCTGTCTGTGAACTAGGTCTAGGCTAATGGTGGATAGTAGGAGTATAGAGAGAAGACATAGGGATATAAGAAGAGAAGGAGATGTCTGATTATCTGCTTCGGCAAGCAGTGTGTTTTTATATTATGTAGGTCCATAGTCATGCTGCTATTTTATACCCTGTACTAGCCTATTCTCCCCATTACAATAGGTAGTTATCTCCGCTATTTCCATAAACCACCTGGAAACTGGCAGAAGCCAACGAAATAAATTCCAAAATACTCAATCTACTGTTATAATGTTTCTTAGTGAACAGTCATTATTTTCCAAAGCGTTCTGCATTTCCATCACCTCATTAGCTGCTGATTGCATGACGATCTCGTGACCCGAGACGTGCTCCGTGCTCCGGTCTCCACTCTCCGCATTCCCCTCCGTCATCACCGCATCTTCTCCTCACTTGAAAAGAACACCACACAAGGCAGATACAGCAGCAGTCTCGCTCATAACCAGCATGGCAGCAGAGCTAACTTCGATCAAGCTCAACCCAGAGAGCCATATCATCTTGGTGGGTGGCAGCATATCGCAAAGAGCGCCGAAATCGGAATCGGAAGCTAACTACACTGTCTGAACAGGACCAACCACTCCTCCGCCTCCCCAACGACTTAGCACGAAGAAACTTCAAGTCCGTTCAAAGATCCGTCGAACGAGAGAAAGAATATGTCATCCCAGCTCTTAAAGAAGCGGCCAACGCCTCCCTATCCAACACCCAAACGCCTGACCAGACGCTTGCCGCCCTCGATGCGATGCTCTCTCGCATGCAGGGCCTGAAACGGAAAATGCAGAGCTTACAGGAAGAAGAAAAGAGGATACAGAATCAGTCACGCAAACGTATCCAGCATCTAGAGGCCCTGCATAAGATTCCGAGCTTGGCGGATGTTAAATATGATCAGTGGTCTCGGGTAAGACTGGATCGGTTACTGGTGGATCATATGCTGCGGTCGGGATATTCGGAGAGTGCGAAGCAACTAGCGCAAGAGCGGGATATTGAAGATCTGGTCGATTTGGGTGTTTTTACACAGTGCCAGCGGATTGTCGAGTGTCTACGCCAAGGAGAGACCAAAGAGGCGCTCCAGTGGTGCGGTGAGAACAAAGCCGCGCTGAAGAAAAGCCAGGTATGGAAAACCACCTCACTTATAGATCTTGGACGGGCATACTGATTCGTTTGATGCAGCATAATCTGGAATTCGAACTGCGCTTGCAGCAGTACATCGAGCTGGTCCGGTCGCGCGATCAAACAAAGAAAATCGAGGCCATTGCTCATGCAAAAAGATATTTGGTCACAAACCAAGACACACAGAATAAAGAAATTATGCGAGCAGCAGGAATGCTTGTGATTACCCCGGATACTCGAGCGGAGCCATATAAGGTCGGTTATTTGTCCCGAAGAATTGGGAGCATACAAGGACTAACGTTTAGCAGACCCTATTTTCAACAGACCGTTGGAAGTTTCTGTCAGACCTCTTCATAAAGACTCACCATGAGCTGCTTTCCTTGCCATCGCAGCCATTGTTGCATATTGCTTTGTCCGCCGGACTGTCTGCGTTGAAGACACCACTTTGCCACTCTGCCTACACCTCCTCGAGCTCCAACTCAGCATCCACAGCTACCTCCGTTTGTCCAATATGCTCGACAGAGTTGAACGACCTAGCACGTAAGATGCCATACGCGCATCATTCCAAGAGTTACGTTGAAGGTGACTCGATCGTGCTGCCCAACGGTCGAGTGTACAGCAAGTCTCGTTTGCTGGATATCAGCAAACAGGTAGGCTCTGTCGAGGATGGGAAAGTGAAGGATCCAACAACGGGTGAGGTTTTCCCAGAGAGCGACATGAAGAAAGTGTATATATTGTGAAGGGATATGGGTATAATGAACGCAAACTCAATGAAACTCATTCGGGCGGGATCCGAATATTTGAATATCAATACTACTACTTATTCCTGGTATCTGCTAGCTGCTTCAATCAAAACCACTGATAAAATATGCAGAAGATAAATCCACTCCAGCGCTAGGTTTTCGACCCAATTACTCGCTATCACTCGAGTCATCTCTCGCCCTCTTCGTCTTTCCGCCCTTAGTCTCCTTCTTCTTCACGCCCTTGGGAACCTCCTTCCTCACTTCGAAAACATACATCCTCGCATTCCGATCCTCCCCACGCCATCCACCCCGCTGACCATCCTTCCCCTCAACCTCCCCCAAAGTCCGCGCATGCGAGTACCCCTCATACGAAGACCAAGGAAACCGGAAACTAGTAACAACCTGCAATCCCGCATGCCGCGCCAGATCCTTAATATTCCAAAGCGTATACGGCTCCGCTTCAAAAAGCGAAACGAGAATTTGACCCGGTCCTGTCCGGGTTGCTTTGCCGGTAGTCTGGACATCTTCACCTGCACCTGCACCTGCACCTTCACCCTCGCCAGCATCGTCATCATCGTCATCAGAAAACTCCTCCTCATCATCCTCCTCATCGCCAGATTCCCACTCATCATCCGAACCAGCCGGTTCCGGCGCCGTCGAAAGAAGAGGAACACAAGCCTTAAAGAACGAAACAAGAAGTTCCTGATTCGCTCTAACTTGCCGATTAACATCTGTCGACAGACCACCCACATGCGGGAAATTGAAGCAAATCACATCCCAAGGTCCGCTGTTAGCTACCGGCGTCGGAGTAGTCGGTTGCATCTTCATCCTGGCGGCATATGCTTGACCGCCATTCTGAGCATCCTGTCGTGCGGCTTCCTGCTGCTCTTCCTTTTGTTGCTGCTGATGTTGCTGTTGGTGGAGTTTCCAGGCGGGGGTTTTGCGCTCGCGGCGTGAGAAACCTGTTTTTATCTCTTTGCCTCCGCCGCCTTGGGTGCCTAGTTTGCGGGCATCTATGGAGAAGAGAACCTTTGGTCCGGATTTGGAGGAGCGTTGATGCGCTGAGTCTCCCCCTTCTCCTCCTTGCTTCTCTTTGTCCTCTGGTTCAGTGGTGGACGTGGATTTGGATGATGAGAGGATTTCTTGGATATGCGAATCCGCTTGTGGGTATTTGGTGTAGAGTGTTTCTTTGGAATCGTAGCATGTCGCGCAGAGTTTGCGGCATTTGTATTGCTTTGCCAGGGATCGGGCGAATGAGAAATCACCTGTAGTTGATGTTTAGTATGAGCTTCCTTTTTTGAGTGACCGTTTCCCTGTCACCTTGCCAAGGTGGGTGGGTGCCATTTCTAATAAAATACAAAAGGCAAGAATTCGATCTGTTCATCACATTTACTCGGTATCCAATGGAAAAATTGAGATAATCCAACCCAACCAAGCAAGTTCATGAAGGCAAAAAGAAAAGAAAAGAAATTGCCAATTCCAAAGAGAAACCAACGAAAAGAAAAGGAATCACGTACCCTCTCCAACCAACAAAATCCGATCTCCCCTTAAAAACGGCACGATGGGCCTTTGATTCTGCTGCAAGGCCTGCAGCTTCTGCGGTCCACTTCCACTTCCACTTCCAGTCCCAGTGCCTTGAACAGAATTCTGTTTTCCACCTTTCTGCTGAGCAGAGGTGGGCGCGCCTTTCCCTTTTCCTTGTCCAGCACCCTGGCCCTGAGCTTGACCCTGTTTAGGGCCACCAGGACGATTAGCCCGGGGAGAAGGGCCCTTCTGCTTCTTGCGGGGCATGGCGATATTTTTATTGGCAGTGGTTGTAGTTTTATATGTGGTATAGCGTATTTGATGTATAGATTGGGTTGTTGGTGGGTGTTAGGCTGAGTATTGTGAAAGTTGAGGTTCAGGTTGAAAATAATGTCGGCCAATCAAAGTTCCGAACGGGAAGAGTTCGAGTTGTCTATCGATAGCTACAATTGGCTGGCAAAGTGAAACACTACGGAATTGGTATACAGGTTTAAATATTTGGGTAATTATAACGGGATTTATTCGGTAGAATATTTCGAGAAAACTCCCGAGGTCATGAATAAAAGGAGAATTCGTTGTTGAATGATTTGACTGCGAATATCAGCATTGATAGATCAGCCCCAGCGGAGACAAATCCGGTCCAATCGGTTCCGCAAGCGGAAACCACCAAGAATACACTTAGAAATTATATCTAGATGCTGAATACATCCAAAGGAACATAATTGACAACATAAAAAAGTTAGTAATAGATAGTAAAAGGGGAAGTGAAATTTGCGAGGATTTTCATAGGAGGATCCAGTGAATTTATTTCCATTCAACTACCCAGCTGGCCAGCACAAGGAAAACTTGAAACACAAAACCCTATATTAAATGCCTATGAATAAAAGACAGTAAAGACATATCTCAAAAGCACACTCTATTGCTTTACTCCAAGCAGACCTATATACATCGAACATGAGAGGGGGGGGAAACCAGGCTATGCCCGCATGAAGAGGGGGGGGGACGAGAAAGAAAAAAAGAACAGAGGCAGAAAAATTACTATATCATACTGCAAACCAAGATGGAAAGCCCTTTCCCCAGATGAAGGAAGACAAGAATGTAGAAGCCACCAACACCGGAAAGAGAAAGAGACAACAAAAAAAGGATACAGTATCGAATTGTAGAGTGCATCGACGGGCTGCAATGAAACGTGAGTCATACAAATGCAATAAATGCTCCCCCGCGTCGCATCATGACAGATGAAGGGGATTGGTTTTCCCTGCCTTTCCAATGGGTAAAACCAGATTGGAAGGGGGGTGGGGTGGGATTGGAGGGGGAGGTTGGTTAAAGCCGAGTTTCTTTCCCGTTTTTTTAATAATTGAGATCAAGGTGGAGTATTTAGGAGCGCAGGGAGTCGCGCATGCTCTGGCTACTGGCGCTGACCAGAGGGTTGGAGGTGGGGAGGATACCGATCTTGGGCTTGGCGTTCTGCTTGATCTTGGCCACGGCATAGACGATACCGGAAACAAAGCCGACGCAGATGGCGGAGACACTGGGGAAAGTGCAAGGGGCGTCGAAGAAGATGAGACCAGACAGAGCAATAGGGAGCTTGTTCAGAGCGCCGACCATGGAGTAGGTGGTGGACGAGGTAACGCGCACGCACCAGGCGGAGGCGTAGGAGATGAAGACAGTAGAGGCACCGGACAGGATCATGGCGACCATAATGCCGTTACGGTTGGCCTCGGGGAAATTGCGGGCCAGGTTGGCAGAAGACCAGTCTTCGAGGAGGAGGGTGGCGACGAGCAGGACGGGGATAGACAGAAAGTTGTTGTAGAACATGGCTGTGAAGGGTTAGTGGGTTGGGGGCGAAAAAAAAAAAAACCAAAGGAACAAGTAGGGGACATACTGTCAAAGTCCTTGAAGTTGGTAAGCTTAATGCGCTTGCGCATGCCCAGAACATAGGACGAGGTGCACAGGCAGTTGATCAGCATCCACAGATAACCGGCATTAAGGGTGGAGACCGCGCTGGAGGTGTCGCCGTTGCTCTCAACGGCGTGCTTGATATCAGCCCAGGCGGCAATGAGGGAACTGAACACCATCAGGCCGAAGGAGAAGAGAGTCAAGGCAGTAACCGAACCACCGAACCAGAGGACCTCGCCGTAAGCGATCAGGATGATGGTCAGGTTCTTGAAGATGGTGTAGACGGGGATGGAGAGGAACTGGAGGGCCTTGGAGCCGGTGTAGATCATGCCGATCAAAAGAAGGGTGATGGGGAACCCTAACAAGATAATTATACGTTAGGTACAAGCGACAACCGTTGATGAATCAGAGGGACTTACACTTCTTCGCCTCATCGGTGTTGAAGTCACGGTAGGTGATGAGACCCATGGACTTGCATGTTTGGATGGCAGTAATGCAGACAAGCGACTGGACATATTAGTATTGGGCAATCACCGACACGGGCCTTCTTTGACAGCAAACGTACCTGAACCATGAGCAGAAGGAAGTTGAGGTTGAAGTCCAGACCCGACAAGACATACTTGTTCATCACGGTCATCAGAATGGAGGCACCACAGTAGGCCAGAACAGGCAGGGCAGGGTGGCCTGCGACCGGATTGGGAGGGGCAGCACGGGGCAGAGGCGACGGCGCCGCCTCGAACTCCTTGTTGCCCTTGTCAAGTTTGTCCATCTCGACAGTGTAGTCGTCGGTCTTCTTATCGTCAGCCATGGCGGAGGGTTCGGATTGGCGTGTGAACGGGAAGGGAGTGATGAGAAGTCGAAGACCGAAAGTCAATAGTCGAGAGTCGAGGGTCGAGAGAAGACGTCGACGTGCGCAGACAAAGCGAGAGACAGTGGAAAGTTGGAATAAACTGGACAGGCTGGAAGTATCGAAGTACACGACGCGCAAGAGAAACGCCGCGAGAGGAACTTTTGGAGATTATGTCAGCAGATAGGGGGCTGAGTCAGCCCTATACAGGAGGGTAATTACATTCTTATTTTAATTTCTCAACTACACTTGAGTACTACTAGTATAACTATTATGGTAAATAGATTATAGACAGTACAAGCGCTGAAAATACTCAGAATTATCCAATTACCTAGTACTTTCACCCCACATCAATTGCCGAATAATTGTATAATTGTCCAAACGGGAGATCACCCCCTGATAAACGGTGACCCGAACCCGAGTATACGCCGCACCGCAGACCATATCCCACCATCACAACTACCACCACCACCACCACCCACTTTCACCACTACTCAATTCAAGGAGTCCCCCCCACCCTCAATGACTCCAATTGAGTAATCGACACCCACCTATATCCACAAATCCCTCACACACCTCCTCCAAGGGCACACTCAAAATGTCCGCCCACGCTACAACCGAATCCGACGACGAAGCCCTCTTCGCCGCACTGGAAAACGAAGAAGACACAGGCTACCGCGACCACCGCATCCAACAACTGAACGCCGAATACGCTTCGAAAAAGACAAACCGCGACGCCAAGAACGCCGCAACCGCCAACACCACAACCACCTACCCCTCCATCTCAGGCGACCAAGCCGTACTGGACTTCACAACGCGCAGCACGCGGTGTATCGTACACTTTGCCCACGACGACTTCGCCCGCTGCATGGTGATGGATGCGCGGTTATCAGAGCTTGCGGCGCGACACTATGAGGTTTCCTTTGCGCGAGTTGATGTGCGAAGCACGCCCTTTTTGTCGGAGAAATTGGGAATTCGCGTGTTGCCTTGTGTGATTGGGTTTAAGGATGGGGTTGGTGTTACGCGTGTTGTTGGCTTTGAGGGCCTTGGTGCTCGGGGGAATGATGCTGGGGAATCTTTTAGCGTGAAGGTTCTGGAGAAACGCTTGTTGGGCAAGGATGTTCTTCTTCAGGCGAAGTTCTCGGATGATGATAATGATGAGGATGAGGAGAGTGGGAGTGAAGAGGAGAAGGTTAGGAGGGGCCCGAGAGTCAAGAAGAACAAGACTATTCGCAGTGGGATGATTCGTGGGGATGACGACGATGATGATTGGGAATAAGGGACTATTGGAATGGGCGGTGGATCTGCCTGATATGTACATGAAAATTATATACCATGGGATATGATGGGCTAACGGTCAAAATGGCTCGTGAGAGGGTAAATAGACAAGGGTATGCATGGCTAGTGATTGAAACCTACTAGTAGGATTGGGGAGGACTTCTTTATGATACCACAGTGTGTATTTTATGATGAGATGAAAATGGACAGACTCAACCACCACGGCAAGAGGACAGTAGGCCAAGGCATCCTACGGGAAACAACATATCATGATAGACATGATAGTCTCGATATTCTGTGCGACGGCGACGGGAACCCGGGAAAGCCAGAGATCGCATAACCGGATAATTTGATGTACAACAATAACAGTACATGCTGACAGCCAGAAGAAAAGAAACCACCCCAACGGGGCTGAAACGTTTAACACCTCGTAGACGGCCACGCCTTATCCTTTCATTTTGACTCATCTAGACAGTAACAACACAACGGTAATGATCGCGTCCGATTAGCCGATGATCACCGGGGAAGTAATGGATTGGTCTATCGCCAGCATACACCTTTAATACATGCTGGAACTGAGGCCCAAGGCCCAGGGGGGGGTGTTGCTGTAGAAGACGCGGGCTTGTGACCAAGTTCTCGGATGCTTCAAGTCTTCGTCTTAGTGTATCGAGACCCGGGTCGTAGATGCCAATCGGTATAGGCGGGCTAGAATTGAAATGTGGCTCATTTGCATCATGTCGATTGGCCCTGACTCGAGGAATCCATGTGTCCACAAGTATATCACCAATTTAATCATCTCTAACACCATGCTCGAATGAACTTTGAGAATGATTGGCCATTATACCAATAAACTCCCGTGGAACCAGTGGAATCGATTCTTGTGGAAGCATCCACAAGTCCCGGCAACTGCCTCGTCTCACATCATCAAAGCTTGATGGCTCTATGATTTGGAATCCAGATCGTTGGGTGGGTTTCTTCAAGTACCCATTGTAAGTTCCTTGTGTAAGAACCTGGTCCTGGTCAAGCTTCATATTTTTCCCTCCATGGTTGAGTCCAGGTAGAAGTGCGCGATTTAGATGATGCCAGTGGAGCTGACCAAGTTAAGAGCAGACCCAACAAACCACCCTTTCGAACCTCGTCGCGTATCCATTTTAGAGGATATTAGTAACTGGTAGAGTTGCTTCATGTGTAAACCCCACTCACCAAGCAGATAATAGATTGAGAAAACTTGGGGTTTTCTGTGTCCGATATCAAGCACAATCTTCTCGTTCTTTGGTAGTTCGTTGAGTGGTTCGCGGCTCGTGATGTCCAGATGTTGTGTTGCCGACAAGTATCTTGGTTGGATAACAGCACTTTGGAGGTTCTTTTGGCCGACCTTACGTCCTTCACGGAGTGAGTTGAGCTGATCCGCTTGAGACACGAGATCTCACCGATGCTGGCGTATGCCAGCAGATTGCTGCCTCTAATTTCTCGTTGGAGCAAATTGATTCTGTGCTTGACAATCTCAACTGCAACCATAGGTAGAGAAAAGCCCGTCGGAATTTCGGCGATCGAGTCTCTTGTAATCTTCCAGCCTTTACGGCTGGTTACGTCTACCATCACCGGGACTGTTGCGGCATTCTCCGACCCGGCGGCGGATTCTTCAAAAAATGGACATTTCGTCCGATGAACTTCAGCTTTCTGGATGGATTGGATCAAGCTTCACGGAATTTGCAAATCTCCTCGCTGAGAATGTTCCGGGTTAGGTAGTAACCAACTTCCAAATGAATATTTCTGCTTGCGTTCAACTCGTTGTACATCTGCCGGCGCCACTTAACGAGTCATGGCTTGCGATTTGAGGCATTGGATTGGTGGGTAGGAATCGACCGAGTTGTAGATTGTCCGCAACAGTTCTTTCCATGCAGATGCATTTCAAAGGTCCCACGATGTTGACTTCGAGCGCGAACTCTCCAGTATCCGGGTTGTTCATGCCGGTTAACCCTGTATGGGGCTTTCCTGATTCGGGAAATGCCACCATTTCCAAAGCGTCAATCCGAGATGATATCCATGGGCTGGGTTGGCGCACCGAAGTGGATCAAATTTCGACCATTGAGAGTAGACTCTGTGAATTCTGTCTCCGCATATGGTTTCAGGCTGGCTCGAATATTCGGCTATTCGATGAACTGAGGGTCTCTAGGTAGCCCTCGAAGGGTTGGTCGTTTCGCCACGAATTGTTGAGTCGAGTTCTCTACTCTGCATGAGTAAAGATGGCCAATGAGAGTCATGGTCTCAACTTGGCTAAGTCCATAGATCGATGTTCACGCGCAGAATAAAGCCATGGCGGATACTTAGTGTTGATGTAGAGGGGAAGTTGTAGAGGAAGCAGGGATGCTGGAGGCATTTTCTCTTAAGAACGACCGTGCATCATCTTGAATGACCACTATAAAGATGGAAGGTACGACCGGGGAAGTTCGGCTATTGTGACTCGGATTTCCCGCATCGCTAATTAAAAATGTATGTAACTTGATATTAGATCTTTTCGTGATTTCCTTCAAAGGGCCTGGCAGTTGCCTCCCCATATTGTCCTCGCATCCAGCACTCTACGAAGATATCACTAGCCGTAAATATATGAAATTATTAGAGCTAAGGTGTGCCATAGTTTTTATCAGATCTCGTCATTCCAAACGAAACAGATTTACTAGCAAGTGGCTAGTATAATGATATGTGAGTCGTGTTTGAGCTTTTGTTCCCTTCGGCTTATATTTAGCATTGACTACACTTTAGAAGACACAAATATGAGAGAGGTTACGTGGAAATTGCGAATGACAAGCTGCGCAAACACGATTATATGGTATCAAAGGCCTGCTCCAGCCTAAGTCATGAAATGCTAGCGGTCTTTCTATCAAACTTCACAATCGATACATGGAGTGGTCAAGACGGCACTTTCCCACAGTAGGAACCGCTATGGCCTTCCATGGTTAATACTAATATGCCGATTCACTAGTGTCGAAGTCTAGGTGACCAATCTGGTTTCTGCGACAGCGGTAGTGGATCTCCTAGTTTACTTGGACTCATCGTTGGACAAACTACAGCGTTAGTCTGTTTCTTAATCGTCTTGGAATTGCAGAACTATTTGAAAGTTGATATAAAATAGGAAGTGTACTTGTATACCAAATACACGTTGTGATCCTCCTTCCTCTTCTTGTCACGGGCAATGTGTAAGATACCCACAGGGGCCATCTTGCGGTGGGTTAGAAGGTTGTTTGTGTTTTCGTTGCGATGACCTGATGGGGCTAGGTAGACAGTTTGGCTTTCATGCCGCATAGCCAAATTCTTGCCTCTGCTTTTTTTGACCATACTGTTCGTCTTTGGAACTCCTTCACTATGGTGTTTGACGCTGCGCGGTTTGCTTGGTCGCGTGGCTCGCTTAGTACAAAACATGTTATTAGTACTATTCGAAACCCGCAGATCTCACATACTAGCTCTATCAATCTTTGAATCTTTCAAAGCTGTTACCAGCTCATTTACAACACAGTGGACAGACCCTAGCCAAACAATCGACAAGCATAATCTAGTGTGCCATAAGACTTCGGGTTCAGGGCTTCGAATCTACAACTTGAAGCCCTCAAGGCTGGAAGATACGTCAAGTCTTCAAAGACGGCAACTATATAAGCCTGAGAGCACCGCAGGGGCAGTATGCAAGCCCTAATACTTAAAGACCCTATCGACAACTTGAACCCCAACCTCAACCCCCAGGCAACCTTCCAATAGATCTATAATACCAAGAAAATAAAAATGAACCAAAACTAAATAGAAACAAAACACACCAAATCAGAATGAATTGAGTCGATCCAAAAAGAAGACCTTGAACTAAAACTGCATCATGATAGAATTACAGGCAGATAATGTGTGGAACGGAGACCAGACAAGACGAGACAGAGACGAAGACAGAGGTAGACCGTGAGCAAAACCAGCCAGCACAAAAAACTTGCAAAAAGACAACAAGAGTTAAAAAAAAGACAAGAGCTCCCTAGAGTTACAACAATGCCAATGCAAGCCACACAAAACCAGGACAAGAGGCCGAGGAGGAGTAGGACCAGAGCAAAAGCAGAAAATGGAAAAGAATTCTATACACGAGAACGGAATGGGATGAAGAGGAAAGCAGAGGCAGAAAGAAAGAACAGTGTCACATAGATCCAAATCGTCATTGACGCCTTAAGTGTCCTAGGGGGGGGTGAATAGAATATGAGAAAGGTGGAGAGAAGAGGAAGAGAGAGAAAAGAGGAGCGCAGTTCTGAGTGTGCATGATATCTCAAGATGAAGAGCTGAGGAGGAGGGGGTTGAAGAAAAGTGGCAGAGAAGAGAACGTTTTCTTTCTTTTCTTTTCAGATCGTTTCTTTAAATGGCCACATTCTTCATTTCCCCCAGGACCTCCGAATCAGCAACATTCGATGAACCAGCCTCATCCTCGCCCTCCTTCTCCGCCTTCTCTGCCTCTGACTTGGCGCTCGACTCAGCGGCCTTGCCAGGGACGGGGAATCCCTCATTCTCCTTATTAGAAATTTGTGGGGTAGCCACCTCCATCAGATCCTCTGTTTGCTGCTGTGTTTGCTTCTCTTTACCATTTTCCTTTGGATCCTCCGAGATCGTCGGGCCGGACGTAGCGATGGGGCTAGAGGATTCCTCCGTCTCCGTAACACGGGCTAACGGGCTCGACACGCCGAATGGGGTCTTAGGACTTTGCGCAGGGCCACGGTTCGGGAAACGGTGCGGCGAACGACCACGCTCTTCAGCGCGCGTCGGGCTACCGTAGGGTGAATCCTTGGAAGCTGAGCCCTTGCCTGACGCATTTACGCCGAGACCGTTGGGACCACCACGTCGACGTGTTTGGCGACGGCCGTACTTCTGATCGGTCCTCCAGCGCAAGATCTCCAGGTATGGGGGTTCGACGTTCTGTGATTTGAATTCCTTCAATTTCAGCTCGTTGGTCTCCTCGTCCACCATTGTCTTCCCGCTGCAGAGATCGTCGGCGAAAACGGCCAGGAAGGCAGCCCAGGATCGGGCGACCACATATTTACAGTCGTAGTCGCGACCGAAAATGATGACCTGGCCCCATTTTCCGGCGGGTCCGGGCGCCAGGTCGATGGCGAGGTGGTTGCCGCCCCAGTCGCGGGCCAGGGGGATCCAGGCAGGGTGGGCGTAGGCCTTTTGCACGGCGCCCGGGGGTTGTGAGTCTTGGCGATCGAGGAGGTCGTTTCGCCACATTGTCGGCGGCTGTTGAGCTGCGGAGGAAGAGGGACCGGCGGCGGAGCTGGAGATGGGGGCATTGTGGACCTGGGCTGAGCTGAGATATTCCTCGTTGACGGTCTTCCAGTTGGTGCGCTCTTGCACGATCTCCTCGCAATCCAGAAGCATGCAGCTGAACAGGAGACCCGTGGGCAGACCGGGGCGCTCTTGACCGTCGTGAATCATGAGAGACTCACGCACTTCCAATGGTAGAGAGCAGTCAAGCTCGTGTTCTAATTCGTTAATGTCGTTCTGGGTGCATCCCTCGCCAAGCTGATCCAGCAATTCTTCATAATTGTGCTCGAGCCAGCGCTCAATCTTTCTCCAGGAGTGAGCGACGGGCGGAGGCGGAGGGGCACCGTCGTGGAAACTCTGCATTTGAATCTCGCCGGGGCCATCCTGGTCGTTTGATTTCCGTTGTTGCGATGTGAATGACCTCATGCCGGGAGAGTAAGGGCGGGCTGGAGACCCTCCGTCGGTCGGGGAACCGTCTAATTCGTTGGCTTGGACGGTTGTGATTCCCTTGGAGGAATCATCATCGTAAGGGCTCGACAGGTCGGGACGAGACTCGAGCGCGCTGGTAGCAATGGATGTGAGAGGTTCATGGCGACTTTGACTGAGGGGGACGTGTCGGCCGGTGCGGTAGGGGGAATCGTGGGAGGCATGACGGTCATAGGAGGTCATGGTATGCCAAAAGGAGCGCCATGCCGTACCGAAACTGGGAGACATGTTAGACGAAGAGCAGGAGGCGAGTGAATCATGGAGATGGGTGGTGGTGGTGGTGGTGGCCGGAGGGGGATAGGGACAGGGACGGGGACGGGAAGACATACGCATTCGCCATGGTGTCTGAAGAAAGAATTAAACAGCGGGAGCAGGGAGCATGACAGGACGAAGTGAAAGAGTAGGGAGTAGAGTCAAAGTAAAGGATGTGGTGAAGTCGAAGTAGTCGAGATAGAGAGATGTAGAGGTTGAGGAGGAGTGGAGAGCAAAAGGAAGGAGCCCGAGCATATTTTTGCAGTCGCAGTGTTAACTATGGGAGACTACACTACTGGGAGACTTCCCCGTGATTTGGGGACTACATCCCCCCCTGGCCGCATCCAGCTTGGGCATGCAGATCATGACGATATGCATACCAGTGTCTACTCTACAATCTACAATTCACAGACTTGCAGAACAGACTTACAGAGTACTGTACTTTCTTTATTCTGGAATTGTGGTGGGGGAATTCCGGGGCCAGCCAGCCATACTCGACGCATCGCATGGTACCTGTTTACACAACATCCCAATGCAGCCAGAGAGCAGCCAGCCAGCAGCCACTCAATCTTCCCTCCAAAGACAGCCTGTCATGACCTCAGACCGCAGACCTCAGCCACCAGCCACCAGCCCGTGGCGTCCAACCTGCTCTGCCGAATTAAACTTCATCAAGACCGAGACAAGATCGACGAGGATCGGATCTCCGGGGAGTTAGCATTGAGAGACTCAGAGGAAGCAGAGGGGACAACAACCACCTTGAGCACCCTGGCAAATCGAAACAGGGACAAAAGCTTGACTCGTTTCTACCGGGAAATCCCAGGAGAAACTTGAACTTGAAGGAGCAATCTGTAATCCACCAAGTTCCCAGTTTCCATTCAAGTTCCATTGATTTCTCCGATTGAAGAGATAAAATTAGCAGGGCCAGCCCACGGCCAGGCGGACAAAAGTGGAGAATGCAAGTGGCGTCGGACCAGATTAAGGGGTGGTGCTACGTACTTCCAGTCCATGCATGCGTACTGGGAGTTACACGCGGTAGTTGTGTTCTCCAGGTACACTCCAGGGCTCCCATATGGTACTATATTCATAGATGTACTACTACTAGTAGTATTAATTATTGAGTTGACTTGAAGACAGAATACTCGCTTGTACTCTCCTCTACTCTCCTCTGTATAGACCCTGACCGAAGTGTAATTAAGATCGGCACCGCCAACCTCCGGGCCCCATCCAACTTCTGATTTCGCATTTCATTCGAGCCCGGCAACCGTTGAGTGGCTACGAGGAGTGGCTAGTGCACCCCAATTACACAGGGCCCGGTTAAACAAAGTTTGAATTCGAACGGTGTGGCTGGCTCGCTTCAAGGCACTTGGCATACATAGTACTAGACATAGTAACTATTCTATGGAGTAGTGAGGGTATCGAACTACTAACTAGTACTAGTCACAGAACTTCCGGAAAATAAACCACTATATGGAGTATACCAACATACTAGTAGCTCACAATAATCCTAGTACTACCTAGTCAGTAAATATAACTAGTGGTGGGTTTTAAGTTCCAACGGTATCATCCATGGATCTTGCTCCTGAGTTCCCCCCCCGTCCCTTCAAGATAGACCAGGAAACTTGAACCTCAGGACTTCAAGTTCAAGGCACCGTGACCTGAGTGGTTGGAACTTGAGCACTTGAAGATCAAGGTCCCGCCTAAAAAGCTCCCAAATTCCACTACTACTAGTACAGACACATATATATGAATTTACAAGTGAGCTAAATACTACCAGCAGAGCCACAGTATTACCTATTGCGAGGTGAAAGAGTGTATTGCGGGCAAAGCCCAGTAGGAAAAAGAGATAGGGAGAGAAAATCCCAGTAGAGCGCACATAGAAAGAAAACGAAGCAAAGCATTCGTCTCCCCTCCCTATACACGACTCAACCGAAGACGAAGGGGAACGCAACAAATAATCACAGAATGAATGGACGAGTAACCAGGTCACTCTACTAGCGTAACAGAAGCAGAAGGAGAAGCAGAAGCAAGAACGAAGCCTTAACAGAAAACCAGCGACAGCAGTGAAGATGACATGAATAGCCACAGCCATAGCCATCACCGAGTCGATCCGATCTCAACCAACTACCCAGACACAAAAGATGCGTGGAAATAATCAAATCAAATCAAATCAAATCCAGTTCCATACAATCCAATCCAATCCGATTCAGAACCGAACCGAACCGACCGAACCGACTGAACCGACTGAACCATAGCGACTCCAAACGATGCAAAAAGAACGACCTGAAACCAGCAGAGCGCTCAGCAGAGCGCGTGATAGAGACCGCATCAATGTACCGAACCGAAGTGAAATGCTCCCGGTATCGCGAAACACCAAACCAAGTACCCTCATAAAGAACGTAACAACAATAAACGGGTGATTCAATTCATGAGAAAGAGAAGACAAAGGGAGAAATAGGAAGTAGGAGGGGCATCGTGAGACCTAAGTCACAAAACAGAACCCGGACCCAGTCCGGGCGTGCTCGAGACCGGCCGAAAACGCGAAGACGATCGTGAAGGATATTGAGACATGGAAGGAAAGCGGGCGGGCCGCGGGAGAATTTGATCGTTGATCATTGTATGGTTAAGGTGTGTGAAGAGGCAATGAGGGGTAGGTAGAAAGAAAGACGGTGCAAGGAAATAGAAAGCGAAGGCGAAGGCGAAAGCGGAAGCAGAGAGGAGAGAAAATCATGTAATAAGAAGATCAAACACAGATAGAGAACGGTAGATAGCGGGGTAGATAGATAACACAAGCATAAGCTGCCACGCAAAAGAGCATGGGGAAACGAAATTGGACGTTGAGTTCCCTTTGCGACCTAGCTCCTGGAGAGGGGAAAAACGCATTCCCCTTTAAATTGAACGAATCGATCGAATTAAGCCGCAAAAGGGCTCTGCATCCCACCGGATGGTATCCCAGGACCACCGATCTTCAACACACGGCGGAGATCATCCTCGATCTGCTTCGTCTCCATGGACTTGGTAGGCGAAGGTGAATGGGTAGGCATAGGAAATGCGGCATTGGTGTACTGCGGCTGAGGCGAAACGTAGTTTGCGTGCTGCGGGGCCGACGCATTGTAGTAATGTCCAGACGGAGCTGGCGAGGAGCCGGTTGAGTTATGCGGGAGCTCACGGCGTAGCGGCGAGTTCGTGTTGCGGATGTGTGGCTGCGAGCCATTCAGATGGTGTCCATAGGAGTAGTTGCCTGGCATCGGTGGGGGTTGCGAAGGGCCGTGAGACATGGTAGATGGAGGGCCGGAGGTAGTTCGCATCGGTGTTGCGTAATGAGGAACATTGGCGCTGGTGTGGGGTCGGGGCCCAGGGCTTTGTCTCTCGTGCGGAGGAGAGAGCGACGAAGGTGGCTTCTGTGGTCTCGGGTTGAGCAGCAGGTGTTTCAGCTCCTCAGTCTTCAGCCGGCGTTGATCTTCCATGGTGTGCAATGAAGGTTGTGACTGCGTATGGGAGGGGGAACTGGATGCGCGCAGTGCATTCATTCGGTCTTGGTAGGACGGGGCAAATGATGGGCCAATTTGCGAACGCTCGGGTGATCCCATCTCAAAAGCGAAAATGCCGCCACGGGTGTTGTTGTTGTTGCCAGGGAGAACCTTGGAGTCAGTCTGCGGGGAACGCAAGCGGGCTGCCGCCGCCTCCGGGCTAGCGAGTGGGTTTGAGTCGGGGTTTCGTGCTCGTTTGGCGGCTTCAAAGAGGAAATCAATAGGCGAAGGTTTGTGTTGGGCCGCAGGTTGGGACTGAGTCTGGGGTTGCGATTGCTGTTGCGGCTGGGGGCGAGTAGCGCGGGGTTTCGAAGGAGTGGTCTCCGAGACTGGCTCGTTCTCTTCGCTATCGGTCTCAAGGGTGGTTGGGAGATCAGATTCGGGATTAGACTTGGAAAAGAAGCTCGGCATCGGCAGAGCCGACGGGGCGGGGGATGCGTGAAAGGTTGGGCCAGCGTAGGCGGCATCTTTAGCGGGGGTATTGCTCGGCTGGGATCCCTGGCGTTGATGGCCATTTCCACCATTAGGCGCAGGTGAAGCGCGATTGCCGTTGGGTAGTTTCTTCACCGAGCGTGGCGGCTGCTTCTTCTTGGAGTGCATATTGGCGGACGAATCGGTCGCGACACCCGGGCTGATATTCCGTGGGGGCGATGAGGGCGGAGTGTTTAACATGGCAACCTTCTGAGCATGGGAAGTGGTACTTGTGTTTGTGTTTGTATTTTTCTTGGAAGATCGTCGGTTGGCGTTGTTGTTATTGTGGTGAATGGGATTGCCGTTGCGAGGGCCCTTGGGCGTAGGAGGGTGAGGAGATTGGGTCGACATGGCGACGGGTGGCTTAAAAAATAGGCAGCCGATAGAACAGGAGAAGGAAAGGGAAGCAGAATTCAGCGCTTAAGCGACAAAGCGGCAAGTGAAGGATCAAGGATCAAGAAATCAAGGAAACCAGTCCAAGATTTACTGCTCAGCAGCTGTCGACAATATTAGAGATTCTAACACCGGAAACGGCGAGAAACAAGCGGGTATGCACGAAGTGGAGATCTGCGAAACGAACGCGCACAAAGAGAATGCCTTCTAAAGGGCGAGAATTAAGAAAGGCGAGACATGAAGGGGGGAGAGTAAAGGGTTGAAATAGGTGAAGCGAAGTGAAGTGAGAGGGATAGGTGGAAGGGAGGAGGAGAGGAGAGAGTCATAGGAAGGTGACGGAGTCCTTCGGCGGGGAGGAATGACTAAGAAAGGCCGCCACCAGCAAAACAGGCAATAAGCACTGAGTGGTGAGTGGGGGACCTCCAAGTACGAACATTACATTACATTCACTCTGTACTCTGCCTCTGCCTATCTCTGTCTCCAAGGTTACCCATTAGGCAGTCGCCGTTTGTTCTTTCGCTGTCACCTTCACTCTAGGGTTGTCTCTCCCCGAGGGTCCTCCACCCAATCTTCACCTCTCCCCATTTCCCATCCTCAACCTTAACCGCCACGAACATCACCCCAACCCGATACACCTCCGAATCACAGACCCGATACCATGGCGGACGTGGAGATGAAGGATTCTGCCGCGAGCTCCTCCAAGGGCAAGGCCGTTGCCAAGGGCTCTGACAGCGATAAGAAGAAGTTCGAGGTTAAGAAGGTTAGCTTCCCCGTGAGCAGGAGAGGAGCTGCAGAGGCTAACATCATCTCAGTGGAACGCCGTCGCCCTTTGGGCCTGGGACATCGTCGTCGACAACTGCGCCATCTGCCGAAACCACATTATGGACTTGTGTACGTGCACCCGCTCTCAGCCTCAGCCTCAGCTTCAGCTTGAGCTGGAGCTGGAGCTATCTATCTCTTTCAACCCACAACTAACGCAGCGCAACAGGTATCGAATGCCAAGCCAACCAAGGCTCATCAACAACGGAAGAGTGCACCGTGGCCTGGGGTATCTGCAATGTGAGTAAACTAGTACTCCCATATCTTCAACACTTGATAGACCAACTCTAACAATCCCATCCCATCACAGCACGCATTCCACTTCCACTGCATCTCAAGATGGCTAAAGACCCGCCAAGTCTGCCCACTGGATAACCGGGACTGGGAATTCCAGAAATACGGACGGTAAAGCGCTGGACGCTGCGGCTTATTTTCGAGACGGAGAGGGCACTCGAGCAGCCGAGTCTGGTCTGGTCTGTTCTGGTCTGGTCTGGTCTGTTCTGGTCTGGTCTGGCCTGGTCTGGTCTGGTCTGGTCTGGTCTGGTCTGCTTGGATCAAGCCCAGCTCTTATCTTCCTTGTAGGACTGCTAGCTGTCGGGTCGGACTGCTGCCCATTTGCTTTGCTTCTTACCTACCCTACCCTACCTTATGGTGATGACCGGCCATTCACAATTGCGTGCAATCGCTACACTCCGTTCTCAACGAGACAAAGGATATGATTTACAACTGGCGTTCTGGGACTTGACTTGGGCCCCCATTTCACTTCACTTCACTTACGAGGCGAGACATTCAACGAGATAATGCTAGCCCGATAGAAATGAATTCTTGAAAAGTAACATCACTCTTTGGAGCGTAGTTATGCAGTATGCTGTAGTGCAGTGTCGTGTAATAAAATCCCACATCCAATCCAGTATTCCTCCTTTTTAAGACAGAGCAAGCCAGAGCAGAGCAGGAGTCTCTCCAACACAATGCAATCCGATATCCCTCCAAAGTACCTACAGTACTCGTACATACCATACCCCCTCAATGAACCTTAACCCCATCAACCAAAACCCTCGGCCCACCCTTCAAATTCCCACCGGGAGCCAACCACTTCTCCGGATTCCGATTAAACCAAGGCCAAGCGGGGATAACGACTAAACCGGTGAAAATCGTACCGCCCAGTCCAATCCATAGCGTTAGGTGGATGTCCTTGTAGATGTATCCGACGACGAAGCTGATAGCCTAGGCGGAAGTATTTGAGTTAGTATATGGTGCAGGTCGGATCGGACAAGTATGATAGAACGGAGGGAATAGTGCAGTGCAGTGCGGCGAAGCGAAGTAATGAATGGCCAGGGTAGGGTAGGGCTGCGAAATATCACGTCGTAACATACTCCGAAAATAACCAGTAGGGCTGTGCTGAGAATTTCTGCTAGACGTTGACCGTGGAAGTCCTGTTGTTTGTTAGTTAGCGGGACTGTGGTGTGATGCGATGGGATGCGCCGCCGCTAATCTGAGCTAAGCTAAGCTAAGCGGGGTTGAGCGGAGCTGGAAACGCACGATCTGGCCTTCAAAGGCATCTTGTAGAGGGGCTAGTATTTCGTCCATGGTTCGTTTGGGAGGTGGATTGGATTTGTTGATCGTCGCGAAGCCAGGGCAGTTCGAGGCTGGGCCTAGCGGAGGGCGGAAGCGGATCGGGGCCAATCCAAGGGCGGAGAGAGCTTATCGCAATGTTGTCATTTGCCTATTTCTTCCGCCCTCAACTTAGTAGGGTAGGAGAGGACTACCACCATTTTTGGCGATTCATTTACTATTCGTCTGAAGATATACTAGCAATTCAGTCGAGTGTATATTTACTGATACTGGATTGAATACTCATACTAATAATAATACTAAATTTGGAGGACATAAGTGTATACGTAATGGCTCATGATTCATCTATATTCTAACTATTTTATACTCCTCCTCAACAAGTTACCAATACCACAATGCAATGTCAAGTGCTTTCCACATGGAGCACTACTTCCAAGCCCGAGTTCGTTTCAATTCAAGTCCCGGCCCCCCAAATATATATATACCTCCCATGTCTCAGCTGCATGCATACTGCAGTGCATCCACGTAGGAAGGAAAAAAAGCAGCGGTGAAGAAAACCCCGACACGGGCCTCCACTAATAAAGAAAGCCGGACTGAAACCGGATCCAGTACCTATGCGAGTCCATCCTGAAACAAAACCAGGTCGGGAGAAAGCGATTGGTGCGCTGAAGGGTTCGCGCCCGTCATGGGGTCCAGTCCAGTTCACCCGGAGGTTCGAAGTTGGTCGTGAGAAAACTAGGAAGAGGAAGAGGGGGGGCGAGAATGACGCAGTGTAGCGCAGTGCAGTGCAGTAGACAGGGAAAATGTAAAGCAAATGCAGACTTAAACAGGGGTCACGGTGGTTCCCTCCTGCGCGGGCTCAAGCAGCTTCCATTGGCAGGTAATATTGTTTGTAGCGAACCGTGCGATGATGCGGTCAGCGATCTCGGTGAAGCGATCCGTTGCGAGGGCGAGGATGGTCGGACCAGCGCCAGACAGACAGATACCCAGCAGACCGGGCTGAGTAGCGGGCGTCATTGATTGGAGAACCTCGGTCAGACCGGGGATCAAGCCTTTGCGGTAGGGCTGGTGGACTTTATCCTGCATGGCGAGGAAAATCATTTCAGGGTCTGGTGGGGATGTTCCCAGGGCGGCGGGGAGTAGGGCCGCGCGTTGGAGGTTGAAGACCTGCCAGGGTATAGGGTGAGTAGGTGTCATATGTGAGAAAGAGAAATTGGGAGGAGGGGCATCGACATACCACATCGGCTCGGCTGTACTGCTGAGGCAGAACGTTACGGGCATCGGCGGTGGGCACGACAAAGTCCGGGATAATGGCAATGGCCTTGATTTCGGGGGCCCAGTCGAACTTTCTGTAGTGGCCGATTCCCAGAGGCGGCTCGGGGGGGCTTCATGCCAGTGTCGATGCCGCCGGCGGGAGAGGGCAGGACCTCACTGAGAGGGATCTCTTTTCGGGCAACATCCTCGGGCTTCAGCTCGTTCAGATAGGTACCCACAAAACCTCCGAACAACGAGGCGGCCACGTTATCGGGGTGTCGCTCTGCAGAATGCGTTAGTTTGATGCAATATGGGGCCATGCGTGCGGGTGGGTGGATGGGTATATTCGAGGAATTTCATGACGGCTTGCGTTGTAGGTTCGCCGCGGGGACGAGGAAGGGGCAGACGTACCAATCATCAAACAGTAGTCTAGCAAACGTTCCTTGCTTAAACCCAGCTTGCCGACCTCATTGCCCAGCATGACACCGGCGACAACAGCCGTACCAGACGATCCCAGGCCGCGACTCAGTGGGATGGGGTTGACGATGTGAACCTTGGTCTCGACGGGGAAGGCGCGCTGATTGTGGCATCGCAGAACATAGAGGGCGACGCGGGTGATGAGGTTGACCTCGGGGTCAAGGGAGATGGACTCGGTGCTCTTGCTTTGGTCCTCGTAGGTGATCGCGCAGTTCAATGGCAGCTCGGAGGAGGGCTTGGAGTCATCGATGGTGACGCGCAGTTCGAGGTGGAGGGAGAGGGCCAGGCCGATGACATCGAAGCCGGGGCCAATGTTGGCAGAGGAGCAAGGGACTCGAATGGCGAAGGATGACATGGTGGATTGGGCCTCTAGAGAAGACCAACTGACCAAGTGACCAAGTAGAGAAGGAACTTGAAACTTGAAGTGGGATGGGATGACTCGATGCGGGAGGATCTCGGAGATCTTGGCGCACACCAAAAAAATCACTTCCGACACCGGGGAATAGTGGAGGACTAGTGGATTACATTGATCTATTCCATTTTAATACTTAGGTACATATAACCTAGATGGTAATATTCATATTAATTATTATTTGATTTTATTTTATTTTATTTTGAGTTTGACTGGGATCTGTCTGCACATGCATGTCACTAGCCCTTAGGGCAGATGTATGAGATGTCATAGGCATGGCCATGGTCATGGGAGATGCCAGTGCCCAGTGTCGTTGTAAGGACAAATCAGAGGGAGTGCATTAAAACCACACTAGAATTGTGGCCCGTTTGAAACTAAGACTGCCGACACGACTCGGTAATAAATGCCTCATGCCTCATGGCTGCCAGTGGGTGATGCCTGAGGAAAGTAAGTTTAACTTTGACCGGTGAACGCCGGCAGACTTTTATACAGCAGACTTTACAGTGGCAGTCCAGGATATACCGGAGAGTATCTACGAGTGCACGGCAATATTCAATTCAATTACATTCAAGTTCTCTTATTATTCTATTCTATTATTTTATTCTTAATTATCTATTTCTATTGAACAATTCCTCCTACTCCTTATTTACTTGTATCATCCATCTAATTAAAGTGGAACCCGCAAGCATCACCCGCTAGTCCATTTTCTGTTTTCCACTTCGCATCTCGCCACAACCTCCTCTCTTTCTTGACCCGCCGCTTTTTCTCTCCCTTTATTTTCCTCCTTTCTTCTAACACACACTCTGCCCCACGATATTCCCCGTGGTGACTCTTTTCTGTTACAAAACCTCTCTCCCAACTACGAGATCTCCCTGCCACTCTTCTCCGTGAAGATTCTGCAGGCCTTTCCTCTCTGCGACTAGCTCGCCTCACTCTCAACTCAGCAGCCCTGGAGCAAACGCGCTCCCCTCCGTCTCATCTATTCAAGTTGGCGGGACTTCGCTACTCTCAGTCATCTCTCCCCAACCCTCTTGCAGGCCCCAAGTTCCGGGTCTTCTGCGGGGGCGACACCAGACCCCCCCTAACTGTGCCTACTCCCACTCTCAAAACTGTGGCAGCCAGACGTGTGTCGGTAACTTCAGACCCTCGTGAAGGGTCTGATTCGTGGATGGAGGGCCGTCGACCATAATCGTCCCTCTTTTGCCGGCTTGCGTCTGCAGATGTCGTGCTGCTGCCAGTAAGCATTTGACCATATCATTTCTTCTACACCAGGAATTTCCCGCGGGACAACTCCAAATCAAAAACTCCAAACAACCAAACCAAAAAAAAAGTCTGCTTCCAGCTAATCTGGCGCTTTTCCAATCGGCTTAAATCGGCTTAATCGGCTTAGTCGATCCTAACCTCTCCCCCCTTCAAAATGTCTGACACTCCCCGTTCCGAAAAGGAGCTGTGCCTCACCCGGTACAGCACCCCGGTTCCGGAGCTCGATGATCACCGTCACCACCAAATGGATACCCCCCGTATCGATGGCCCGATGGAGGAACCGTTGACTCGGCAGGATACCGCCAATCTCGGCCCAAAGGGAGAGACCATGACCCCCGGCCGATCCGATTTCCTTCAAGCGCAAGATGCCCTCCGAGACGCGGGCCCCGTCTTCCGAGACTTCGAGCAAGCCATAGTCGACGATGAGCGAACCGTCAATGAAATGGCCGGCATGGGCCGCCGTTTCTCGGTAGACCCCAATGCCAATTTCCACACCCCCCCGTCGCATCAGCTGCACCCAGAAGGATATCGCCAATGTTTCCCGATCTTCGTCCGTGTCCGCCCGGTCTTCCTCCCCGCCCAACTCAGTGGAGGCCTTTGCCGATCCGCGCCGCCGTGAACGTGCAAACACCTTGGACAGCCATGGTCCGCCTGACCTGGAGGCTATGCTGCAGCGCACCGTCTCAGGCGGTACCCATCCCCGGCGCCCTACGTTCAGCAATGCAAGTGCCATCCGACCTCAACTTGGCGACGTGCCGCTCGATTCCAGCGAAGATGTCGCCGTGCACACGTACGAAGAACCCGGCCGTATCCCTGTGATCGACTACGAAGAACTCGAGGAGTTTGTGGCTTTGAACCAAAAGAGTAAAGGTGCCGGCAACCGCCGCAAGCACAGCCTGAGTTCGCAGAGCAAGAAGCCTCGTATCTTCTACGATCTCCGACAAGGCGCCAAGGGAGCCAGCGTGGAGGAATTCAAGAAGTCGGACTCGACCGATTCATCCGACACCTGCGAGGTTGACGAAAATGCGCTCAATCGCATTAGCACCGTGCTAGACGAGAAGGAGCTGGTCGAAACGCTCCCAAATATTAACGAGCCAACTCGCTTCGGATTCTTCTCATCCGAGTCTCAGAGTACAGTGCATGCTGCGGAACTGGGAGATCTGGTGTTCCCAGGCGATACCTTCCGGGACCTTTTCCAGCTCGGTCCCGATGGAGGTGTGTGGTGGCTTGACGTAGTCAACCCCACGGAGGAGGAGCTTGGAGCCATCTCTCGTGCTTTCTCAATTCATCCTTTGACGACCGAGGATATTTTGACCCAGGAAGCCCGTGAGAAGGTCGAGCTCTTTAAGCAGTACTACTTCGTCTGTTTCCGCACCTTCTACCAAATGGACAAGACCAGCGAGGAATTCATGGAGCCGGTCAACTACTACATGGTTGTTTTCCGCGACGGTGTATTAACATTTTCCTTCGTCGACAACCCGCACGCCGCAAACGTGCGCAAACGTATCGGAAAACTACGCGACTACGTCTCACTATCAAGCGACTGGATCTGTTACGCCATGATCGACGACATAGTCGATAGTTTCGGCCCCGTAATTCGAGACGTCGAGCTTGAATCCGAAGCAATCGAAGACCACGTCTTCATCGCCCGAGTCGATGACTTCGAATCCTTCCTCCCGCGCATCGGCGGTCTGCGCAAAAAGGTTATGTCGCTCATGCGTCTACTCGGCGGCAAAGCAGACGTTATCCGCGGATTCTCGAAGCGCTGTAATGAGCAGTACTCCGTCACTCCGCGTGGCGATATTGGTCTGTACTTGGGTGATATTCAAGATCACGTGGTTACCATGATGTCCAACCTGAGTCATTTCGAGAAGATGCTCAGCCGTTCGCATACGAATTACCTTGCTCAGCTTAACGTTACGAACCTAGTGCTTGGTAACCATGTCAATAAGGTTCTAAGCAAGGTTACTCTCATCGCGACGATTCTGGTTCCGATGAATTTGATTTGTGGTCTCTTTGGTATGAATATCGAAGTCCCTGGTCAGCACCATAACGGGTTGGAATGGTTCTTTGGTATCCTGGGTGTAATGGGAGCTATTGTTGTTGTTAGTATTGCTTTGGCGAGGTGGCAGAAGCTAGTTTGATTGGTGTCCCCGACTTTTGTGCTGGCTTCTGTCTGCACTTTGTTGTCTTTCCTTTCTTGTCTCTTTGTTATTTTTTTTTGCTGGCTAGCGCTTGCGCTGGTCGTTGTTGCGCTACTGGCTTGGCTCCACTTCGCCTTTCGGCTTTCGATTCTTCTGTGAATTTATTTTTCTTTGCTTCGGGCGAGTGATTATAGTACAGTATCTTGCTAGTCCGGTTGGGTTTGGTCTTTTGAGAGTTGCTATTGTGTTTAGCTTAGTGTAGCGCAGCATTGCATACTTGAATTACAATCTCATCCATGAAATTCCTTTTCGGGAACGTCCCCGGCTTTCCTTTTTGAATAATAGTAGTAGTTTCAAAGAATGGTTTCGTTTATATGATGGCCTACCTCGCACCCCTTCGCCGATTCGACTCAATCGAGTATACGCCATTGCGGGGAGGGATGAACAGATCGTTTCCCCTCACCTCCCTGCTTTTTTTCATATTTCATTATCAACGATTTCAACCGCCTGCCTGACACCATCTTCCTAGCCCACATTTCAATTCAATTCAAAAGTGCAGACAACCATGAAGACATCATATCTTTTCATACCCACAATCCTCGGAATCTCCGTCCAGTCTTCGAATCTCCAACAGCCCGTACCAGCAGGACTCGGAGACCATGATATTCAAGTTTACCCCCAGGAACTTGGACTTGAAGCATCCGCAGCACAAGGAGTTAAACTTCTAGACTCAATAATAAAATCCTCCCCACTTCTCTCCTTCCACCGATCCATCGTCCAAATCCCCTCGATAAGTGACGACGAGAAAACCGTCGGCGACTTCATACTAGACTTCCTCTCTGCGCACAACTTCACCACCGAGAAACAACTCGTCTCTCCAGATACTAAAGACCACGATGAACGATTCAATATATACGCCTATACCGGTGAAAAAAGACACGTCGATATTCTATTGACTAGTCACATCGACACTGTGCCGCCTTATATCCCGTACTCCCTCCACGCACCGACAAAACCAACCACATCCCCATATAAATTCAACAGAACCGACCTCCTAATCGCCGGCCGCGGCACAGTCGACGCAAAAGCCAGCGTCGCAGCAATGATCTTCGCCTTAATCGAAACTCTGGAAGAGGACCAAAACCCCACCGCCTCACTAGGCCTCCTATTAACCGTTGGCGAAGAAAACTCCGGCGCAGGAATGAAATTCTTCTCAAACTCAGACCTGAACCCAACCCCACCGATTTTCCGCACAGTTATATTCGGCGAACCGACCGATCTGAACCTCGTGGCTGGCCACAAAGGCACGTTTGGGTTTAAAGTGACTGCTCACGGTAAAGCTGCGCATTCGGGATATCCATGGCTTGGAACGAGTGCGATATCTTCACTTTTGCCTGTGCTCTCGGTACTGGATGGACTCGAAGATAGATCCCCGGAAGAAGGGGGACTATTACGCGGTGAGAAGCTGGGGCAATCAACGCTTAATATTGGCGTTGTGCGTGGTGGTGTTGCGGGGAATGTTGTACCCGCGTTTGCGGAGGCGGGTGTTAAAATTCGTCTTGCGGCGGGGACGGTGGAGGATACGAGGGGTATTATTGAAAGGGCCGTTGAGGAGGGGAAGGGTAAGGTGAAGGCTGGTAATGGTATTGGCGATGATGACGCTGGTATCGAGCTTAGTTTTGATAGGGGGTCTTTGCCGCAGTTTTTTGATACCGATGTTGATGGGTTTGAAGTTATTACTGTGAATTATGGGACTGATGCGTTTTCTTTGCGAATTGGGGAAGGGGGTCATAGAGTTCGTCGGTATTTGTATGGGCCGGGAAGTATTCATGTTGCTCATGCGGATGATGAGGCGATTACGGTTGGTGAGATTGAAGAGGCGGTTCGGGGGTTTAAGAGGCTTATTTCTGCGACTTTGTGATTTTAATTTCTGGGAAATGCTGTAGGTAGATTTTGGTCTCCTCTTGAATGAGTTAATCTATGTTCTGAAGATTAATTTGGAGCTTTTGTTGATGTCAAGTATCATCTTTCAAGGTATGAGAGTGTGAATGCTAGTGGCTAGTCGGGTTGGATCATAGATTTACAGGTTTGTACCTTAGCATGGGTTCTCTTAAGATACGAACCATTATTTCCAAATGTCTACCTGCTCTAAATGACACATGTTTAAATGGATCTTAGGCAATTGATGCTTTCGTTTTCCCCGGGGCGTGAATCGCGCTTAGGCTATCCTTTTTGATAAAGAGAGTGCCCGGCAATATAGAAGTATTTTTGGTTCCCACCTGGGCAACCTTGGAGGTTTCAACAACTTGAACTTTTTCGAAAATAGAAATGTCGCCTACCGGTAGAGGACCTCGGAATAAGATTGCGGAAATGAATATATCGGCGAAGAAAATGCTAAAGAATAGAAATCAAGATTCAAACAACAAGTTCACATACAGTACGTCCCCTACTTATGCTCTTTAATTAATTCCGAATCTCCAGCTACAACGCCGAGAAACGCTATTACTAGTGGTAGTTTATATTGGGCACTTTTCAGGAAGACCGTACCCCTGTCATATACCCATAGTTGTATTGCTTCCCTACATAGATTACATAGCACATTGCCTTATTTCCCTTCCGCAGCCGCGGCCGCGGCCCTCGCCTTCAAGTTATCATCAATAGTCTTGACAATAACCGGGCGAGCCTTGATACGGTTCAACCAGGAATTAACATGCGGGAAACTCTTCTCGAGATCCATTTCGCTCGACCAGAAGAGCGCGGCCACCTCAAACCACGGCACAAAAGCAGCATCGGCATAGCTATACTTGCCGCCAACAAGGTACACCTTGTCCTGAAGGGATCGGTTGAGCACGCCCAAAACACGACGGATCTCGTTAACATAGCGATCGACCGCACTGGGCACCTTTTCAGGGTGGTAGACAGTAAACCAGGCGGCCTGCCCGAAGTACGGTCCCTGACCGGATACCTGGTAGTGTAGCCACTGCTTGCTTTCGTAGTACTCCTTTGAACCGGCAGTGAAACTGATGGTGTGTTGCTTATCGTATGTATCCACCAGATACTCGAGGATGGCGCCGGATTCCCAGATGGTAATTCCAGTATTAGGATCTTCGAGGGTGGGAACACGACCGTTGGGATTAAGAGACTCGTAGGGTTCCTTCTTTAGGTCGGCGAGATCCACCAGCTTAAGCTCGTAGGGAACTTTGAGCTCTTCCAGGATCATGAGGACCTTCCAGGGGTTAGGCGTGCCGGCGTGGCCCCGGAGGGTCCAGAGAGTAAGGGGTTTGAGAGACATGGAGAGTATATGAACGGTTGCTGACTGGGAGAAAGAAAGTTCGATATAGACATCGAGGTTCGGTCTGCTTAAATGCTTCGGTATACTCCAATGGAGGAAAAGTGAGGACACGAATTATTCAGTTCGGCACCCGAGATGACCGAACGCTTGCTAATCTTGATAGTTGATTCTCTTCTAAGGTGATTTCTATCAGCGTTGATTAGGACTTAGTTATCAACACAAACAAGGGATTACTAACTATGCAGTTAGCCCGTCTTGGTCGAAGAGGGACGTTGATTGGTCCTTAGTCGTCAACTCAAACAGCACAAACTACGATGCAAACAAAACTAACTTCGGGCGGGGAATAAGGTTGCACGTAACTAGCACATCATTGGTCGTTGGTAATCAATGCGAGATTCGGCGACAATCTTGCCCGGCCGCGATATTCATAATCAAAGCGGGGCCCCCATACTAGTAGATAGAACAGTTTTGCTTTCCCGGCTTTCATATCTTGATGATTTATAATAGCGCCTGTTTAATGCATCAAAAATTAAGTCTACTAGTAGCAGTTCCATACATCAACTCGGTCATATTTATAAAACATAGCTTCTTGCCAGCCCGACTCGAAGCTCAGACCTAGCTGTGTGACCTTTTGCTTCGATAGCTTGATTTACCAATTTTCTGAATATGTCGGCCGACACACTCTCACTTGCAGGAAAGACTGCCTTGGTTACAGGTTCCGGCAGAGAGACTGGCATCGGTGCCGCCATTGCCAGAGCTTTTGCCCGGAACGGCGCTTCTGTAGCAATTCACTATGTGTCAGAAAGCTCAAAGGCGCGGGCTGAGAAGGTAGCAATTGACATTAATGAAGAGATTGGCACCAAGACCACCGTCGTACAAGGAGGAGTGGAAAATTACGATTCTGCGAAGAACATGGTTGAGCAAATTCTGAAAGCATTCAGCGTCGATCACATCGATATTCTGGGTATGTTATGGGCGGTGCGGTGTTTTGTCCAGGGCTTTGAACAAGACTGATTGACTATTTGTTTCAGTGAACAACGCAGCGGCTGCAAGAAACACACCCCTTTTGGAGGTTGAAAAAGAGCAACTCGAATACGAATTTGCCGTCAACGTCTTCGGCGTGATTTACATGACACAAGCTGTTGTTGGCGTAGGTCGTATGCCTCCAGGCGGCCGTATCGTCAACATCGGCTCCATCTCTTCCAAGATTTTGGTCCCACCCCCTGTATACGGTGCGACGAAAGCTGCAATGGATGCTCTGACAACTTTGTGGGCTGGCGAGGTAAGCTTCCTTTCGTGTGTCCCCACTATCTACGCTCGACAATTATCTGACAAACACCGAAAAGCTTGGCAAGAGCCATGGGATTACTGTCAATACACTCGCACCTGGTCCTATTCCAACAGATATGTCAAAACCGTATCTGGTGGCCGATGACGGGTCTCCAACTGCGCTTCAGCTTGCTATGTATGAACAGACGCGCGCTGCAAATCGCCTCGGGTCAGTGGAGGATCTGGCTGATGCTACGCTTCTGCTAGTATCAGAGAAAAGCCGGTGGATCACGGCACAGTTCATCTCAGTGAGCGGCGGAATTACCGGGACTATGTAATTTGGGGTCTAAGCTGAAGCGCCCACTTTAAATTCTGTGCATTTAAATACGCTTCTTTGCTTTCTTTATTCTTGATTTATTATTCCATTCACGATCAATTTGGTACTGCCTTCAAATAAACTAAAAGTCCTAGGTCCTGCCGTCGTTGAAGTGTATCCTCCTTCCACCTTTGGAAAAATTCAATCCTGTCACGCGTGTTTAGATTTCCAAATGTATCGTTGGGATTTTCAAAGTGCAACTCGCGAAGCTTCTTTGAAAGATTGAACTCCCACCTCACTTCACCATTGACAAGAAGATGAATTCTCCCGACCCGCTCATACATAAACTTTCCATGTTGAGCCGTGTGGTAGGTCATTGAAAGAAGTTGAGAAAACTTCCTAGCAAGCGTTCCCGCCACCCACTCGGGCCGTGTAGCGTAGCCATCCAGTCCATCGTAAATCTCACCCCTATGTTGATGAAACCACCGCAAGTTCCATATATTGTCAGGGTCATCCGGTGGGATTTGAAACCCTCTAGCCGCAGACGTAACATCGATGACGAGTGTTTGTACAGTGACATCGCGATCCTCGAAAGTCGTTTCCGGATATGTTTTCGATAAGGAAGTAGATGAAAGGCTCGAGCCATTCCCTTGAGTCTTCAAATCTTCAAGTTCGCCGACAGCACCGTAAAGCAGGAACCTTTCTAGAAGTCTGTAGAAACTCCAATGAAACCCCCTTGATACGTTGCCCCTGGTCTGTTTCCTGGCCTTGTCTGGAGAAATGACATGGCCCATTAGACGAATGTCTACCGCTAGCAGCTTTATTCGATTTGTTGTAGCTGGGATGCATTGCCAGGTCGGGAAAAGGTCTAAATCGTCGCGAAGAGCGATGTCTAGGACGTGGTTCCTAGCAAATCGTTCCCAGACCCACTTTGTCATAGTGGAAAGTTGACGATTTGTCAAAAGCAAGGGCAGGCGACCGGAAAGCCCATGCATATTATGTTTCTCGTGGTAGATCTTTCCACAGCCGCCTTGCCATGCCTGTCCTCTCATGTCTTTGAAGACGATTCGGTTGGCCTCGCATGGCTCCACGGGCGGAGGGGGAGGATCTTGTAGAACATATTGTATAATGAGGATAAGGATTTCAGAAGGCAGATCGATCAGTGTTGAGGACATCTCTAGTGGAACATATAGGACACTACGAGCTTTGAGGCTCGGCTGTAAATTGGGAGGCTTTTATATGATTCAGATTTGGCGGTGTTCCTGAAACAACAACAACTTTGAACAAGGCATCTAAATGAGATTGCCTTCATTGGATTTTGCCGTGTTGCTAGCCTGCACCTAGGCAGTAGCCTGAAAATCCCTATGAAGCATGGATCTGTTAATTTGGAGACTGGGTTGCCTGACGCACGATGACGGCTGCGGCTAGTTTCCAAGGGGGCGGGTGTGTGAATTCAGCCTCATCTATCTTGACCGGGGTAACAGAATGACTTGATAAGTATAAATATAACGCATGAAACTGCAAGGCTTCTTTCCGGATATATCACAATTACATGTAGACTTACGTTCACTGAGTCTTGGGTTGGTCTCGCAAATATTCCCCTAGTTGGTTTCATGCGGCTCCGCTCAGACCCCGCAATAAGCAAGGACGAAAAGGAGAAAGCCAAGTTTATCCGCACAAAAGTACTGAGCCCCTTCTTTAACCCGTTAGTATATTCTATTCAGCGACCGTGAAAAACTCGACGACATCAATGATAATTATTGGCTTCAGGGAGGTGTGCGAGGTCATTGGATACACCTAGAGCCGGAGAAAGAACACACAGGAAGGACATCATTTGATGATTCCCGTATTTATTCTGTCTCTGGCGCAGGAGAGTCAGGGTCAAGAAGAGCCACTCCATCAGTCACTCTTTGTTGCCCGAGAGAATGAACCCGAATTCATTTATCAGGCCAGGGGAGATGCAGAGTACATGCAGTATGATGGCTCGTACGACAAGACGAATGTTGTGGAGCTGGATGACGTTTACAATATCTATCATTTCGCCGATTTTTTTGAAGAGCAAAGCGCAATAGTAAAGCACGTCGCCCACGAGATAATCCTCTCTAGGAAGTTAACCATGCAGCTGTCAAGAAGAATTGCCAAGACTGGGTTATTCGTGTGATTGAAAAGTTGGTTGGAATGCAGATCGTTGCAGCTTCAAACCTCGCTGTGGCAAGATCCATTACCCCGGCCAATCCGATTACACCTTCGGACCCCGTTCGCCCCGGGAATTTGTCAGATAACATTTTATTATAAATCAACGTAACTAGCATAAAAATAAATAGTATGATACGATTCACACTCTTTGAATTAGAACTAGAAGACTCAATTTTTCTATTAAGACCAACATGTCAAACGTATCCCCAGTTATTTTAATCCTGGGCGCTGGGCCTAATGTTGGGCAACATGTAGCCGACGAATTCTCTGCCAATGGCTACAAGACTGCACTTGTGTCTAGAAATGTGACCGGAAAAAATAATGAAAATCAAATCAACATCGCAGCGGATTTGTCGGACCCGGACTCTGTACCTGGAATTTTCTCAAAGGTCGAAGCAGCGCTCGGTGTTCCAAGCGTTGTTGTTTACAATGGTGAGATTTTTTCGGAGCCTTGAACTTTCCAACAGAACTCACTAGCATAACATTTAAGCCGCTGCCTTGACTATAACTGATGTCGAAGACCCGCTCTCGATATCTATCAGCGATTTCAACCGGGACCTTGTCATCAATACAACGAGTGCCTTGGCAGCTGCAAAATATGCAGCTTCAGGATTTGAACGAGTTCCAGAGTCTGCATCGAAAACTTTTATATACACCGGAAACGTCTTAAATACTACAGCCATTGCCCCATTTCTCAGTCTGGGGGTTGGTAAATCTGCCTCCGCTCACTTTATCCAAGTCGCAGCAGAAGCTTATGTCGGTCGGGGATATCAGTAAGCTAACATAACCTACGTGGAGGGGCAAACGTTCTAAAGTATTTTAGGTTCTACTATGCAGATGAAAGAAAAGCCGATGGTTCAAATGTTGGCCGAGGAATTAGCGGAGATGCCCACGCCAAATTTTATTTTCAGCTTTCTGAACTAGGATTACAGGGACCTTGGCATCAGACATTCGTTAAGGATGTCGGGTATAAGAAATTTTAGGATCCAATGTCTAATTGCTATTTATTTGCTCGAAATTGGGACAAATCCGCGAGTCCTTTTTTTCAGTGTGGCTGTTCCCGAAGAAAGAGTGATTTATGTTGAACAAGACGTCTGCTTATATCACAACCTTCAATTTGGAACACAAGTCTACCTAAATTGTCTCAGACCCTACCCGGGAAACATTTCTAGCCCCACCTGCATCATCGTTTCGGTGGAAAGACTACAAGGGACGAGATTAATTGGGTGTTGGGAGGAACTCTTTGAATTGAGAGACCACTAGAATACGGCGTTTGATATTCCAAGGTTGTTAGTACGAGATGGATATACAGTATCGCTCAGAGAACAAGTAGCATCACCTGAAATTTACGGATAGTTTACGAATAAGGCAGATTTTATACGTACGAATATTATATAAGCGACGAGTTTTATTGTCAAAAATGCTACAGTGGCATAGTATCGGTGCTGGTAGAACTGTGATTCCTGCCTTAAGCTAGCCATTACATGGGCAAAGCCGGAGTAGAGTATTCTTCTGGGAAACAGATCTCCCGGAAACCGAATTTCCGCTGGCCAGTTTTCATTCGACATATTTTCTTCGCGGTATGCCCCTTTTTATGGTATAGCTCCGCTGATCGCAGTAACTCGTATAGCGCGAGGCTCAAGCGAAAAACCGTTAATTTTGTTAGCGGCACCGACAAATACTTATTACATCGTGTTTGTTTCATCTCTCAAGACTGCAGTGGCTTGTCGATTTTCCATGCTCCTGCCAAGCAATCTCGGGTTTTGTTAGACCCTGCCGATCACTCATGTGGCTCGTATAGAAACGGGACTATTTTTAGCAGCATATCCGGAGATTTCGAACGTCATTATCGTTCATACCCCGGTTATTTCATTGAAGCGGTTTGGCCCCAGGGTAGGATCGATATTCAGCATCTTCCTCGTATCATTAGAAAACGAGACTGAGAAAGTCTAATTACGAGCTTCTGTGGATAAATTTTCAAATTATGGGGAAATCAACTCAAATGCATTTTTCACTATCTTCTACAACACCTTTTTACAGTGAGAAAAAATTCTTGGCTGTCGTAAATATAGTTACTAACACTAATTTTAGACAAATCTGCCTCGGCGATAATTCCGTTAGACTCTGCCATCCCATCGCGATCAGCATGTGGTGAAGATTGACACATCAGTTAAAGTATAAGTATGTATTCAAGTCCTGCTTGATGCAAAATATTCTAGTTACAAAGTGCAAGCCAGTCAGAACTTCCACCATCTCTTGTGGTAACCAAAAGGAAATACAGTCTCAGAAACACAACAACCCAGACTGAAAATCTCCAATACGCAGAATTCACATAGTTGACTCTGTTCGCCATTATGCAGCTCACCAACTTGGCTCTGACCCTAGCCGCGGCCTTCTCTATGGCCAACGCATACAAGATCACTACCAATGATGTTAATTGTCGCAAAGGTGCCTCGACAAATGATGCTGTTGTCACCACATACGACAACGGTGTCGATGTCAAGATCACCTGCCAGACTTATGGTGAAAACATTCAAGGCAACTCTATCTGGGATAAGACCTCTGACGGCTGCTATGTTTCCGACTTCTATGTGAAGACTGGCTCGGATAGCATGGTGGAGAAGGATTGTGGCGGCGGCAGCTCTGGCGGCGGCAGCTCATCCTACCAGGGCGAGATCAGCCGCAAGGAGATTCTTTCCCGTGGTGAATACTGGGTCTCACGTCACGTCCCATATTCTATGAGCGCCTATTACCCGGACCCAGATGGCCGCAAATACCGCACCGACTGCTCAGGTTTTGTTAGTATGGCTCTCCATGCTTCTGCTCCAGGCCTGAGCACTGTCAGTCTCCCGGATATTGCGAAGCCTATCTCCTGGGAAGATATCCAACCTGGCGATTTTGTTGGCACCCTTGGCTCCGGTACTGGCGGTGCTGCTGGCCACGTCACTCTGTTTAAGTCGTGGGCCGACAGTTCCAAGAAGGAGTACAATACGCTTGAGTGCCGCGGTACCTACGGCTGTGTCGCGTACAAGCGCCCTGTTGGTTGGAAGGTTGGCAGTTACACAGCCAAGCCCTACCGCTACAACAAGGTTACGGAATAAGTTGGTACTTATGGTCGAGAAGGGATGGAACCGACTTTTGATACATGTATAGTACCTAGGCACTTGTGATGGCCGTGGCGGTTCAAGTTGATCGGGTGCGGAGATAGTAGGAGTATCTTCAGACGCCGGGGGCGAATTCCTACCTAGGTAGTATATATACCTGTCAGGTAGTACGGTGAAATGTAGCGTGTTTGGTCAGGATGAGGAATTGATGTACTGGCTATTTAGTTAGTACTGAACATGGTACAATAGAATCAGATGATTACTCGAAGGTGTTGAGATCGGCTGAGAAATCTCAGGGGTCTCTTTCTCTAATTAAACTACGTAGTATGGCTTGTTATGAACCCATAATACTAGGACAAAATGGGTACCAGTTGTGGCAGATAACAAGGAAAATATTGGCCCCTCCTCAAATTACCAGCGTCCTGTAGGGCTGTCACACGACAATGTACCCTTTTTTAGAAACATATTAGGTGCCAATACTAGTTCAGTGTTCAAAGGATCAAAGTGTCTACTCTGTAAAGGGGCAGCATAGGCTGCTCAGACAGCCAAGGGGGCCGCCCCTCCTACTACTACTAGTACTACTACTACTAACTAGTAACGTATGAAGGTCGAAAAAAACTAAATACCTCAGTAGCATCTTATCAGTACAAGAATTCTGAAATACTTTATGCCGATCTTCATCTTATTTTGAGTATATGGTGTGATGAAAGTATAGGTCATCTATAAAGGGACCAAAGGAGCGGGTGTAGGCTGCCAAGATAGCCAAGATATCCAGGAGGGCGGCCCCAACTGACGGGGCCGCCAAGGGACCCTTTGGGGCGCTGGAGGATGGTTGAAGGAACGACGTAGCTCTCAGCCTAAAAATATTGAGTAACAATTGCAAGTAAACCTATTGTGGGTTTTCGAGCTAGGTGTCTTTCTCTGGCTATAAAAGGGAGGCATGTCCATGGATTATGTCCTTTGTTTGTATCATCAATCCTGACTTACCACCTTCAAGTTCTCGACATGCATTTTCAACAGACTTCTTTTTTCACTTTGCTTGCAGCTGTAGCTGTTCAAGGAGCTGCATTGTCATCCCCAACCGCAACAATGACAACCTGGCTACCTCTTGCTACACCTACCAATTTTCCAGCAAAGGGTTCAATGGACCCTCGTCATATCAAACTGCGACCCGATTCCAGCTCCGAAGACGATGCCATTAGAAAATGCATTATGAAAATCACCGATGTCTTCGGTTGTACTGCCGAAGTCGCAGTGGCCAACTATGTTAACGGCGTCTGTGAACCGACTCGTAAGTTGAGATTTTGGCTTTTTGTTGTATTTTTGATTTCAGACAGCAGGAGGCTAATTCATGGAAATCAGTCGGTGACTTTGATCTGCCTACTGGCATCATTGGTGCCACCTCGGTCTGCCGGGATACAAATGCCGTGTTGGGCTACGAGAACAACCAGATCAAGTTCTGGAATAAGAATTTTGACACAGTGTACTGGGATATTGCTCTTAATGGCGCTGCTATGGATGACGGGAAAGACTCCTGGAGTGCAGCGGCAGATCCAACATTCAACCGCAAGTGTCACATTAAGGACTGCTAGATTGGTACTTAGTAGGATGTTACCTACTTCTATATTGTTGTTGCCTTCATGTTTGTTGCTTCTATTTCTGTGTGTCTATGTTCCAAAGTTTCTGTACTCTTTACACTCAGACAAACTGGATTGTATACAAGAGTCCATTATTCCTAGCCAATGCTATTAGATCGAAAGTATCCTACATCTACACTGCCTATTACCTCCTAAGCAATGCAGTGTATCAAATAAATAACCTTGGAAATAATAAGGACTGGACCACCTGTGGGATAAGAGACGCCCAATTGGGGTTTATGGGTTTATCTTTTTGCTGCTTTTTCTTCAGAACCTCCAGGTTGACAACCCGTTCCTCACCAGCTTCCTTTTTCTTTTCCTATGATAAACACGTTTTGTTTACGTTGTTGCACGTTGTTGCACGTTGTTGCAGGTGGGAGGGACCAACGCGTCCCGCCAAGGCAGCAAGGCAGCAATATTTGATAAGGCTGAATTTCCGCGATAGCCACCTCTCACCTCCATCTCCACCTCTAACCTCCCTAAACAACTCTCTGACTAAACTACATGCCGTCGATGGTTCTGCTCCCTTCAGGAAAAGGTCTCCAGCTGGTGTGTCATACCACTGCCCGTCCTTGATCCCCGCTTTCGACTATCTCCGGTCTCATCTCCATGATCCTTGTCGCGACCGCCCATACCAATCTTCCATGCGACCCCAACCCACACTCTTGCAGCACTGTCTGACTGCAACAATCACCGTCTGCCTTCTTGCATTTTTCAGTGCATCTTTCGTCAATGCCGCAGACATCCAAAGCCTTGGCCCCGAGGTGGTGACCCAGCCAAACCTAGGCGAACAAGCCATCGACGACGGAACTGGCTTCCCGGGCGCATTGGGTTCTTTCAACGGACTCGAGGTTGTTGACAATGCCGCTGAGAATGGGGAGTTGGACTTGTTCAGACGCAAATACCCGAGCAATGCCAAAGCCCTGGGCAATAATGAACTCCAAAATGTCGAGATATCGGTTGGAGAGGTTCAGTACTATTACATCACGAAGACGGTGGTTAATATGAAATCATCCTACAAGGGCAAAGGATTGCCCGCGTTTATCAACTCCCGAGGCTACGAGGAATCCCCTATTCTAGAGCATCAAGAGCTTCGGAAGCGTGATACAAATCCAATTTTCCTGTCTCTCACGACGTGCGGCAAACCTGAGTCAAATGGGACAACCGACCCTGGATCGTTCCCCCAGCTGCAGCTCTGGTACTCACTTTCAGACACTCTGACAGAGCCGGGTCCGGGAAAAAATAATTCTGATGAACCCATCTCAGCGGTTGGTGGTTATCTTAATGCAACCTTATACACAGAAAGCGACGTCTACCTTGCGGTATCAGCATCCAACTCATCGAAATGGTCTGGAAAGTACTCCTACCAGCTCGCAGCCTCGGTCGACGAATTATTCCATTCAGTTCAAGCGGACAATAATCTACTCTTCGTCGATGCCGATCAGTCTACCGCACTACTGGTGACAAACAATCTAACAGAGTCCAATAAAAGCAGTACGAATTATCAACAGTGGATGAACATCAAGCCGCCGTTTATCCTATTTGCCCACAGCATCAATAATACCGCACTTGTCGGATTGGAAAGCTCATACTGTGCATTGAATGACCTCTCACAAGTCGGTCGCATCAGCAACTCGACCGAGGTTGGCATGACACACCGGGGCCTTGGAAACTTCCCCAAGGAACAATTCTATCTCGATGGCCTCTCTTATAACTCTACCTACTACGGAATCCTAGCTATGGATGGCAATGGTACCGATTCAGGCACAGGAGTCGTCGGCGGCGGAGGTCAGGTTTACGCCGCTATGAATTTCACGACCAAGATAGGTTCGTGTCTCACGCAATATCTGCGGTTTTGTCTTTCCTCATAATTAAACTAACCTACTTAGATGACAACTGTGCTGTCTTATTCAACCTTAGCTTCTGTGACGAGGTCGCCTACGCCGTGCCGTCTCGTCCAAGCATGAACGTCAGTGCCTTGAGAGATATCTACGATGACTACGCCTTCAATTACTGGGGAAACTTCCAAAAGTCTCTTCAGCAGGTTCAGTGCAATACCTCACAAGATTCAATGTTCTCCATGGCCACGGATTGTGAGAAATGCGCAAAGTCCTACAAACAGTGGCTTTGTAGCGTTACTATCCCGCGGTGCGAAGACTTCAGCAATGACGCTTGGTACCTGAAGGTTCGCAATGCTGGGCAAGCCTTCATCAATGGTACTTCATTACCAGCCGATAGCCCTTACCGGAAGTCCAAGGCAACTAACAACTCGCGCAATGCATTGATCGACGAGAAGATCAAGCCTGGGCCTTACAAAGAGGTTCTCCCATGCCAGGACATCTGCCATGATCTCGTTCGAAATTGCCCCGCGGCTCTGGGTTTCGCGTGTCCGGAGGGAAAGTATATGAATGAATCCTATGGATATCGTGATTCGAGCGGTCTTGTTACTTGCAGCTACCTGGGCGCCGCATATTTCCTGAGTGTGGCTTCAAGAGCTGGAGTCTGGGGTAGCATATATATGCTTACTGCGATGTGGGGAATCTGGTGGGCCTTGTGGTAGTTTAAAGCGCATAGTTGTACAGTTACGACCTTGATGATTCGTATAAAAGCCAACAGTCCTCGAATGTCATGCATGGATTTGGGACTATGGTCTTCTTTTTCCTTCATTTCATATTCATATTGGCTCCTCGCGCAGTGAATTAAGAATTTAGCATGACTCTTATCGACCTCGGATCCTTTGTGCGCCAAGAATCACCTTATCTTTATCATGGTCCTGGCAAGTAGAATTGGCATTGCTAAGGACTTGGCAGTTTGTTTTGACCAAGGCGTCCAGCGTCTTATAGGATGTGCATTGTAGGCTAGGTGCTTGGCATGTAACGCTACCCTCGTGTCTTGTCAAGTGCTTGATTGCGGGGAAAGGGTATAAAGGTTAAGCTTACTGGGTTAAATTTTTTAAATCTCTGGTCTGATTTCCTGACAAGTTTGCCTCTCACGTTGGGTGCTAGGTAGAATTTCTTTTTTCTAAATTTTACGTTGAACCCAAGTTCGGGCCTATACCGCCATTCAAACTTATTGGGCTTCGCTGACCCCATACATCCATTCATCATGGCCAATAAGCACTCTATTGAGCTCCAAGGACAAACCGAGGACGAACCTATCAAGGACCCATCCCAACGGGATGTCGGTGTCCCTCTTACTCCAGAGGAGGACAAGAGACTTTTACGTCGAATCGATCTCTAGTAGGTTATATCAAAATACCATGCATGCATCTTGTTGCAACTGCTAACCACAGGTCCACTGGCAGTCTTATGCCAATCATGGCTGTATCTTATATGTTCCAATTCTTAGACAAATCTGCCATGAGTTTCACGGCTATTCTAGGCTTACAGGATGAACTCAATCTCCAGGGCGAGGACTACTCCTGGGCGAGCAGCATTTACTATTTTGGCTATCTGGCTGCATCATATGTTGCCGCTCTGCTACTAGTCCACTTTCCTGTTGGAAAAATGATTTCCACGTCCATGTGAGCTCGAAACTGATCCGTCTTTTCTGCCTTAGTAGCAACTTGAACTTGCTGATGTATTTCTTAGTATTGTCTGGGGTGTCGTACTAATGCTTATGGCGACTGCATTCAACGACAAGGGTCTCATTGCTGTTCGATTCTTCTTGGGTGCGACTGAAGCTGCTATTGCGCCCGGTCTGGGAATTGTCGTTTCTATGTGGTATAAGAGGGACGAACAGCCGTTTCGCCATGGTATTTGGTTTCAAGGAATTACTATTGCTGGAATTTTTGGTGGGCTTTTGGCGTACGGCATCGGTCATGTGGAAAGCATTGCTCCATGGAAGGTAAGAAGGCATAGTTCGACTTGTACTGGCCTGTGAACTCGCACTTTCCTTTCGAAAATTGGCACCTCTCTGACTGGTTATCCTAGGCCGTCTTTCTCATCTTTGGGGCAATCACGATTGTCTGGTCTTTTGTGCTTTTCTACTGGCTTCCAGATACCCCAACAAATGCCCGCTTTCTCAGCGAAGAAGACAGGTACAAGGCCATCCGACGAGTCCAGGAGAACATGACCGGTATTAAAAGCAATGAGTTCAAGCTTCAACAATTTATAGAGGCTCTTCTCGACTTGAAGTGCTGGGCCCTTGTGCTTATTCAACTGACATGCTCAATTCCAAATGGCGGAGTGTCTAATGTGAGAGGTTAAGATAAACGTGCATGGCATTAGAGGGAACTAATAATGAAATTAATAGTTTGGCTCCATCATCATCGAAGGCTTCGGCTTCAGTACCCTGAATACATTACTTGTTCAAATCATAACGTACGTGATCCAAGGTCTTCTCGTTTACCTCTCCACTGCAGGATGTTCTTGGTTCGAGAATAGCCGAACATGGTGGATGGTCTGGAACGCGGGCCTTTCAATCGTCGGAGCCGCAATGGCTCGACAAATATCTCCTAGCAATGTCTGGGCTCGATTTTTCGGCTATTGTCTTGCGAATGCCTATTCTGTGAACTTTCCTTTGACCCTGGCCATGTCCACGGGCAATATTGGTGGATTCACCAAGAAGACGACTGTGAATGCAATGGTATGCGTGGCCCCTCCAAATTTCTATCAAATTTCTATCGAAAGATGAAAATATACTAATACGGTTTACACGCTCGTACTAGATTTTTATCGGATACTGCACTGGAAATATCATCGGCCCGCATTTATTCTTCGATGACGAAGCTCCTTCATACCCGTCGGGCTTTCTCGCAATGCTGATATGCTTCGGAATCACGTTTTGTATTCCCATCGCTCTACGATTTTATCTTATCTGGGAAAATAGGCGCCGGGATCGCTTGGATCGAGGGAATATTGGTGATTCTATTGAGGACTTAAATGCGGCTCTTTTGGACAAGACCGATAAGGAGCTCTTGCATTTCCGCTATGTCTACTGATGTCTACCAATGCAGAGATTTGGTGTGGCGTACTAGCAATCAGTCTATTTAATGTAATATCCATGGATTGCAATGTATCTACTGTCCTGTTAATTAAAGTGATCGAAAATTGGGAGCTGTGGGGAAGTCTCCATCATATAACTCACCATCATCCTCAGATTCATTCTTATACACCAGTAGCCAATGGCATACTTGATAACAGATGTTAACATGATCCTTCATATACTGCAAAATCATGACTTTGATACTATGCAGACTATTTAATGACTTGTATTGCACAATTTTTGGACCTTGGAAACATTCCCAACCCAGCAGAGTCGCCTGTTGGATTCCACTTGTATCCAAGGTAGAACGACATACAAAGGCATAAAACGTTGAATGGCAATAATTCAGAGACCTTGACGCTAAGAATGCCAAAGGAATAGCGAGTAACACACACCATACTGCCACGCCAAGCCTCTCTTTCATTGGTGCTTGGTTGGATCCCTGGTCAGATACGAGTGAAAGTTGTGCTACCCCGCGTGAGTTGACCGCGAGAGTTGACCGCGAGAGTTGACCGCGAACTTTGGCTTTCGCTCCCACTGCCAAACTTTTTGCTAATCTGGACGCCAGTTGAATGGTTTCACTACCAAGAATTGCTTCTATTTGCCGTCGCTCCCACACCTCTGATCTGTCTGCTTGTTGCAATCTCATGTGCGCAACTCACGATTTCGCCCGTTTCAGAATCACAGCGTGCCACAGCGTGCCGCAGAGCGCGTCACCCAAGTTCGGTTGGAGCAGCAAGCTGACTGCTATATCATCGAATCTCTACTTTGGCCCTCGGTCAGCATACTATGGATAGTGGCATTTATAATGGCTAGCTCGACAAGCGCAGAGGATAAAATTGCAGAGCTGGTCGCTCAACATGGAGCAGTTCCGCCTCCTTATTTCATGTTCAAAGACACCGATCCATACAGCATATGCTGGCGTATGGGCGCTGGCGAAGACTATATAGGATTTTTCTTCAACTGGTGGGAGGAGGAAAAAAGAAGCCTGGACGAGTCACAACGAATTGAGTATTTTCGGAAATGGCCACCGCCGCCTCGATGGCTTGCGTGGATGATAGAGGTTATTTGGGATCTGAACCCTGAGGATTTCGATGACGACTATGATTACCTTGAGCCCTACTTCAAATGCACTGAAGTACTTGGTTTTGGGGGTGAGAATGACTATCGACGCGACTGTGACGAATATGCCGAGATACCATGAGAAGGGAGCGAGTGGCTAAAAGAGGATCATTGATGTCCACGAATGGGCGGGAGATAGTGTTCTGAAATGACTGGACAAAGTGGAGGGGTTTACTAAGTACATATCCAGTGCGCGAGCTGCCTGTCAGAATTTCAATTATGCAAAGCCCCAAAGTAATCTTAACTCAGCAGCCCCATCAGATGTTTTCCATCCTGTCTCACTCTCAAATTTGGCAAGATGCTTCAATACTACGATGGGTGCCACGTCGGTCATACAGATATTCAAGCTTAGTCTTTTAGTGCAGCTCAATCATGAAAATTGGCAATTCGCAAGTAATTCTTTCTCCACGTGAACCAAAAGATGGCTGTCCATATACAAAATGCCGATCCATTAACATAGCTGCATGTTCATTGGCCGCCCATCCACGCCCCGGCTACGAATACGCCCAAAAATTCCTAAAATGGAAATTCCATCGTACTCGTAACAAGAAACATGGATCTTCAGCGGGGGAACTCCGGCATTGTTTCTATTCTTAAAAATAAAATTCTATCTTTAAATACTACTTGGCTATAGCTAACACTCAAATATAAGATCAGCCCCAGTCTTCAATCAAAGGGCCGTTTCCCACTCTGCTGCCCGCTCCCAAATTCCTTCATCTACCACTCCACGCCGCAATCATGGCCAATAGGAAATACCAAGCAATCGAACAATACTGGCACCGAAGAGGCCCCTTCGGTGTAATCAGTCGCGCCACCTTACGAACCCTCCAATTCGTCTTTGCCATCATCATCGCAGCTTTATACGGCGTGGATCTGGCCCATGCAAGCAAACACCATCTCCATGGCCAAACTGAATGGATTTACGCCGAATTCGTCGTGGCTCTCTCTGCTATTACTTGCGCCGTGCACTGCTTTGTCACTGTTGTCCATGTTTCGTGGGTAACTTGGGATACCGTGTTGTTCGTTCTTTGGATAGCGCAAGTGGGTGTCTTTGGAAATATTTACATTCGCCATGACTCGGATGTCCAGCAGCCATACGTCGAGTCTACTCAATCAATTACTCGAATGCGTGCGGCGGTGTGGATTAGTTTGATCAATATGTTTTTGTGGCTTTTGACGACTATTCTCGGTGTTGCGTGGTGTATTCGCACGCGCAAGGTTACGCGCCGAACGGATAAGGATGAACAGGAACAGGAACAAGCTCTCCAGAGATTGCGCGAGGAAGATATTGAAACGGGAATTGTTGTTTTCGGAGAAGACAGAGAAGGATAGCAAGATCAAAAGTTTGGAGGACTCGAATGCACGGGATGAGAAGAAGGGTTTGAGGAAGGTTTCCGAGAGTCACGATGACAAGAAAGATTCAAAGTTGTTCGAGGTTTCGCTGGATATGGAGAAAAAGCGGAATCCAGTGAAGATGTGAGGAGGGAAAGATGATTTTTCTGGTTTTGGTTGATGCTCGTTCGCAATCATGATTCAATGTCACAGCTCTATTTTGGCTGCATAATATGTACAATGTATTTCTAAAATTCTCTTCGCCACAACCAATCCAACACATAAATCAGTTCTATAAGAGTGGAAACAGGTTACCATTCTAGTTCTTTCCTCTTCCCGTCACCCTCCACTGCTCTATCACCCCATCTCTCTCTCCACACGTCTCTCTCTTCTTTCCAAATATCATTCACGCACGGGTCGCAGGAGCTTCCACAGCATGTTCCCAGCTCGGGCGGGGGCGGGGGATCGTCATGTGCGCGCGACGCAGCACGGAGGAGTTGTTTTGTGCGGGTGCCTGATAATCGCTTCTTTTGGAGTTTCTTGAATAGCGGCACTTCATTTGGCGCGTAGTATGCCTCCGGTGGGGATGTCTCTTCCTCCGTGGGAGTTGTAGCCTGAACTGGTTTTCTCGCATTCTTGTTGCCGGTGTTGGCTGCCGTTTTTGCCATGGTATCTCCTTCAGAATTCCCAACAAGCGTTACTTCCGGACTCTGAATTCGTCCTGGGAGTTTTCCATTTTGATCCGATGTTTGGTTCGTGCCAGACTCTTGATTCTGGTTCTGGTCTGTCGTCCCCTTCAGTAACGAACTAAATGGAGACCACAATGCACCGAGCAAAGATGTACCAGAAGATGATGCCGATGTTTCGGTGGCATTTGGTTCTTCTCTGGTATTTAATTCAATTCGAGCGACTGCGTCTTTCTCGGGAGCGGCCTTGCCGCCGGCAGATGGTTGGATTTCCCTCTTTGAAGGGGACATTTCCTGTCCTTCAACAGGATATTTATCACCGCTCATTCTGGCTTGAGCTTTCTCGTTCGAAGACAGGTCAAACGATTATTATTTTGACGGAATTGCCACCAGGTAATAGGACGGCATTCTATAAGCGGTATGATTTTTTCCCGTAGGTGACCACCAAGGTATCGAAAAACACCCCAGTTCTTCTTTATAGTGCCTTGGATACCAGCATTCCACTAGGCATTATTATGAGAGCGTAGATGCGAAATATTCAAGTCATTTCGAAATTGATGTCGGGGCCGGTTAAGAGATCGGGTGGCGTTCCTGTTCTCCCCGAGTTCCACTTTATCTTTTTCCGCCCCATCAGGCGACACCAATTCGCCTCGTACCAAGTATCTCATTATCTTAGTATAGATAGACTTTTGCGCCTGGTTCGCAAAGAACTTTAGAAAAAGTATATGTTTGGCTAGATTAATCAAACTTTTTCAGAATACAGGGGTAGCTTGGAGACTTGGGTCAAGACGCCAGTCAGGATTGCAACCTACAATGCAAAAGCAACAACCTCGAGAAAGGTGAATAACCGTAAAGACAGGCACATTCAACACTGCCACAACTAAATTTAAACTTGTCCCCGATCATGAATCATAGATATAACCAATCTGGAGGCTAAGCTTAAGGATTTATGCACGTAAAGCTACACTCGTTCGACATCCCCTGATACTAAACTATCCCCAAGTACACGAGGAATCTTGATAGAAACCCCATTCCTCCCATCTCTTAAACTATCCACATCCATATCCACATCATCAGCCCCGGAAATCCTCAACTGCTTCAACTTTTCCTCCAGCATAGCCCCTGTCACGTGATCTCCTCCGCAGTATGAAGCATCACATTTTATCACATCAGACCCACCCAGCATCCCTCGTCATATTTTCAATCCTCGCGTGGCTTTCGACACCGCGGGACAAACATCAAAAGCAGAGAAAGACCCTCAATAATCAATCATACAATAGTGGCTTCTCTTTGACCACGCTACATGATATCCAATTAAAAGAGAAACAACAGAAAATTCACCACCACCCCCAACAATCACAATTCCAGTATACGAGAATGACAACCCACACCGACCCAGCCCGGGTCGCCAGCATCCTCTCCTATCCCAATATGACAGCTCACTGATCTCCTGCAAAACAATCCAAAGACTCTGGGCCGGTTACGGGCAGATATGCTCCGTGACCGCGCGAGCGGGCAGTGGAGAGGCAGCAACGCATTTACACGAAGTGTGCTACGGCTCGAATTCGAATTCAGATTCAAAGCGAAATGGACCCGCGAAAGCAAAAGCAGGAGACACATTCCAATTAATTCTCAAACTTATCTCGCCGCCGAAAAACTCTAGCTCTAGCACTGCAGGACAACCCGACGAAGGCCATCTGCGCAAAATGTTCAGTTACGAAGTCGAGCAGTACTTTTATCGCCATATCGTCCCTAGTCTGGATGGGTTAGGCGTTGCGAAGTGTCTTGTCTCGACGTCGGGCTCGGAGCCTAAGCCTGATCAACTCACTGGCTGTATGGCGATTCTCATGGCTGATTTACGGAGCACGTACCCCGTTTCCGGGGAGAAGAGGAGCGTTCTTTCTTCGGCTCAGGTTTTTGGGTCGTTGGAGTGGTTGGGTTCTTTTCATGCGCGGTCTTGGGGGGCTTGAACTTCGGTCTGTGGATGGAGATCGGGATCAGGGTGGGGGTGGGGGTGAGAAGGGTGGGTATATTCTTCCTCCGTTGGAGGAGTATGCTCGACGAGCCAAGGCAGTGGGGAAAGACGAAGACGATAGCGAAAGCGAAAATAAAAATGAAATTGCCAGTGGGAATGTATGGCTCAATGGTGGATACACTTATCTTGCAACAAGGCGGAAGGAATATGCTTCCCTGGTCGAGGACGATTCTTCCGAATGGTCGAGGGCATTCTGTGAACCTTTTTCCACATCGTTAGGCTCAGTCTCAGGCTCATCATCGACGGCCGAGTTGGCAGCTTTGTGTTTAACACCCCAAGGCCGGGCAATGGAATCCCTTATCCACGGCGACGTGAAGTCCGAGAATCTTTTTACATCGGAATCTGGTGACGATGTTGCCTTTTTCGATTTCCAGTATGTGGGTCTTGGGCTGGGTGTTTGCGATCTTGCGAAGTTGTTTACTTGTTCGGTGCCGGTGGATATGCTTTTGGATGGAGGAAACCCAGAGTCACGGTCACGGTCAGGGTACTATCAAGATCTGCCTGATTCTTTGGCTATGTGTGCTGGGGAGAAGATCTTGCTCGAGCGATATCGTGCGTCGTTGTTGCGGGGAAAAGAGCAAAACTCGGAGTTTTACGATTGGGATTTGTTTGTGCGGCATTGGGAGACTGCTTTGGTGGACTGGTGTCGATTCCAGGCGTCTTGGGGATTTTGGGGAAATACGGAGTGGCTTGAGGCGCGGGTTAGGTTTATTCTGGACGATGAGGGGTGGAGGTGTTGGTTGGAGAATGATATTAAGAACTTGAAGGTTCAGGTTTAGACATCAGCATGGTGGGCGATATATCATGGTATTATGTCGATAGACTCGGATGCTCGCAGAACAGATATAACATCTACATTGAAAGAAACAGAAACGAGTTCAAGAAAGAAAAAGTATATAGCGAATGATTCCTAATGATTCAAACCAGTCCGATCCGATCCGATCCAGTCCCAACCAGACTAGACTAAAACCCACGCAACCGCCGGAACCCATTCAATCCAACCGACATTCCATTCCTATACTTTTTCATTTTCCATAGTTCCTTCCAGACACCAACCCAATCGCTGAGAAATGCATTGAGAAACGATTGAACATGTCAAAAGAGGCCAGGCCGATCCAATCCGATCCAATCCAACAGATGAAGAGAAACACAAACATAAAAGACAAAGATAAACATCTGGAGACACAGTGAAGACAGAGAGGTGGGGGTAAAAGAAACAGGTCGTGACTCATAAAGAAAATGACAAAACAATAACGGGGTGAGATGACAAGGAAAAGGAAATTCTATCCGAGCGAAAGACACCAGAAGACCCCATATGCAAAACATATTTCGTCTTCCCTGAAACGAAACAGGCGAGGAAATTGTGACAGTGAGAGAGATATTGCAGACAAGGAGATGGTGGTTTATATCAAAACCAGATGTTAAAAGGGTGTGAGGGTGAGAGAGTGAGTGAAAGGCCACGGTGTGTGTAGAGAGAGACGCTTATGCAGCGGTGGGGAAGAGAGAGTAAGAAGGGTTCCGGGACTTCTTCCGGTTAGGATTCATGGGCGGGAGAGGAGGAAGAGGTGGTTCAGCCTTGTGACGCGAGTCTACTTCGGAGACAGATTTGGCACGGTCATGGACAAGAGTAGAAGGGGTGGTTGCCGAGTCTGCGCTGACTAGGCTGGTGCTGCTACCACCACCCTGGAACATGAAGGATGTCTCGAGACTCTTGGTCTGGCGATGTTGAGAGGAAGAAGGCGGGCGGCTGATTGAACCTGCAGCCAGAGCTTCAGCGGCCGTCAGACGGTCCGTTGGCATAAGCTCACGGCTGTTGGAGAGGCTGTAAATCAGCTCAGGGACGCTCGTCGTTGAGACAGAGGAGCGGTGTTTGCGGGCGATGGAAGCGGCGCGCGAGAGCATCAAGCTTTCTTGCGAGTTGCACTTGCTGATAGGGGAAAAGCTGCTGCGGGGGGAGACCGGGTTGTTCTCGGTCATCATGCCTTGCGCAACGAAGGGGTAATGCCGATCAGATTCGGCATCAGTGGTCAGATACTCCTCGTACAGCGTGTCCTGGTTGATCTGCTTGCCCAGTGCAGATGGCAGGATCGACGAACTGACAGGTTGGAAGTAGTCCCCCGCGCTGCGCACTACAAAATCCCGTTCGTAATCTGTGGTAGATGGTGTGGCTGCCGAGTGAGCTGCTGCCGAGTGAGCTGGACTGGGGTCCAGGTCTGGTGTTGGGAGGGTCGAGGTGCTTAGCGGACTGGGCTGCAAGTGTCGCGGCTTAGGCGCAGAAAGACCCCAGCTCTCGTCGCTACAGGCAATTCCAATCTGGGGTCGCTGTTCATCCAGAGAAGTGCGGGACCAGTCGAAGTTAGAGGTGGACTCGGCCGCATGCTCGTAGCAGTAGTCGATGTCTGCATCCCACGAATCATACAGCTCATCTTCGGAGGTAAACTGGCGCACACCGCTGTGAGTTGATGGAGGTGTTGCGTCAAATTCAGCCTCCTCCTTGGGCGAAGTATTAGGCATATTCTGTGGCAAGGTTGGCGAGCCCAACGCTTCGGAGAATTTCCTGGAGAGCTCCTCGGTCACGAAGATTGACAGGCCATTGGGAGGTCCCTTGGGAACGGGAACACCAGAGGGCTCCACGAAAGTGCCTGGGCTAACTTGGGAGGTCGAACGAGAACGACCATATCCAATGCTCGCTGGGGGGCTGTCCCACATGCGAGTAGCTTCTTCCTCCTCTGGCACATCTTCCAAATCATAGTGGCTGTGGCTGCTCATAGAGGAGGAACCGGTTCGCATCGTCATGGTCTCGGCTGGATCGGGACTGAAGCGGAGCTGTGTTGCCGAGTTCGATTCGATATACTCAGGGTATGTCTTTTGCGAAGACAGTCCCAAGATCTCGTCAATGGCCCGAGGTGCAGGCTCCCCCTCGACGGGAACTTCGGGGGCCATTGGAGGCGGCGGGGTAGTGGGACAGGAACGAGGATATCTCGACACGGGGCGCGAGAAATTCTCATGGGCACGAGATCCCTGTCGAGCATGACCCTTGGGGCTCGAACCCCCGGCAACAGGCGAACCTGGGGGGCTCGGTATAGTCTCATCCACGGTGGTCGCGGTACCAAGAGCCCGCAATGGCAGATCATTGGCGGAGAAATTTTGGAAGTGAATGTCATCGGCGCGAATACCTTTCAGGACGGCCTCGGGTCGCTGGGAGGCACGAATGACGGAGAACTCGGTGACAAGATCATTTTCACGGGTCTGGTCGATGGATTGGAATTGTGCGGGACTGGTATGGGTGAGATGATGAAAATCGAAGGGGTCAGATATGATGCTTTTCAGGCGGTCCTCTAGAGTTCAAGTTAGTAAATGGTGAGGTTGTCCAGGTGCATAAAACATTAACATTCCCGCCACGAGGTGAACAAGTCACGAGTCACCGGGTCACGGGTCACGGACCACCCAACCAGGGGCCACGAGGGAAGTTGTTGTTGTCAATATCATTGCTGATGATTATGGAACTTACGACTCTCCTGGTGTCTGGCACGGCGGCCAAACATGCCACCATTTCCATTGCCATTGCCATTGATATTTCCATCTCCTCGAGACTTATCCATCTCGTCTTCCTCGTCCAGCGTGGCGACGATATTGATCTTACTGCCTTGACGGCGGAGAATGCGGCTCCCACGAGCGAGAAATGAACGAGAAGAACGATCTGGCTTCTCGCGCATGCCCAGAGAAGAAGAAGTACGCTCGTCCTGAGAAGGCCCAGAGCTATCGACCGAAGTCATAGAGGAACCGGGGAGAGAGACGCGAAGAGGTGGAGGTGGTAGTGTTGCTTCTGGAGCGGCCGCTGAAGACTGATAAACGCTTTGGAGAATGGGTGTGGGCCGTAGAACGAGAACGGGCGTGAGCCATATGCTCTGGAGGGTCGTTAGAGGAGCGAGTGGACGGAGGATCACTGTGACCGTCGTCGTCCCAAGCCGGCGAGGCTTGGGGAAACATTTTGAAGCGGAAACGCCCCAAATAATGAGGCAAGAGGCTATAGCGATTGGGGATGTTTCATGGTAGTCGGGGAGGAGGGAATAAGCGCGAAACGAGGGTTAGAGGTTAGATGTTAGAGGGTGAGGACATATTTAGAAGAAGAGTACGGAGTAGAATAGAAGAGGATACTGTAAGTACTAGTAACCTTGGAACTAGTACTACTCAAGTAGGTGGATGTATGGTATTGGTGGTGTATGGCAGATGCATTGCGGGTCGTGTATTACCGGTGGACTCTCAGGGGTGTTGCACAGATGTTTAGCCATGGATTGGTTTATTTTGGGGATTCGGGCTCGGTATTTACGCAATCAATACTGATTATTTGTTATTTGTTATTTGCTAATTGTGTTGTCTTCAAGTTTGTGATGATTCCCATGTACAATTATCTACAAAGATCTATCAATTCTTCTCGTAGTATGCATCTATACTCAATTCCACTTCTTGTCCCGAGTACCCTGTCTATTATTTGCTCTTCGTCCCAGCAACACGGAGCCGAAACCAAGGATTGTCCTAGTGCGCTCTGAACGTGTTGGACCCGACCTAACTGTTCCAGGAAGGTATCAGCATGCCCGTACTGTATCATACCCTCAACTCCATTGGATCTATTTTATTTTATTTTATCTTTATTTTGGTATTTTTATTTCTTAATTCCTCTGTCTCCATACTCTTTATGGTTCATGGTTCGCGCCCATTCACCTATTCATTATGGTTATCTGCATTATTCTGCTTTTACATGATTGTACTCGTATATCACCCTGTCACACCGCATCATCGCATCGCATCGCATCACATCGCCCTCACGTATACTTCCGAGGGATGGAATGCTCATGCAGGCGCAGGCGCAGGTCTCACGCCTCGCATCTCCCCGATTCGCCCGAGGATGGAAAATTCCTGAGGCATGCGATTTTGTATTTCCCCGCGTCGCTAGCGCAGGCTCGGGCTTCCAACGGTTTTCGTCGGTATTAATCAATTTTACCCCCCCTCTCTGGGAATGGTGCGTAGGGCTTTGCGATCGTGTGGAGCGGATCGCACTGTAATTAATCGACTAGGCGACTGTTAGACTAAGCCATCCGATGGGACATGTGCTCGGCACTTCCTAGGCTCATCTGATAGAGCCTAGGCATTAATTTTGATCTGGCGGGCTTTTGCTAGGGCACTATGGAGTACATACTACCCGTATCTCATGCCAAATTTGACGCTTTTTTTGGGTTTATCCCTAGCACTAAATCCTAAGCACATCAAAACTCCAACCTTTTCTGATTCGATTCACGCGGAGTCGGCCGTGTCTTCCTGTGCTCCCCCGTACGGATCATCCTGCTCCAGTTTCTTCCGGTTGAACCATCCGGAATCATCCACCGGAATCCACCGCAACGGAGGTTTGCGTGAACAACTCTCGCTCTCGCCCACAGGGAACAGGGGTTACCCATATTTTGGTTTGGTTGGGTTTGGTTGGTGTTTTTTTTGTACCCCTGCTGCTGGGTTCTTGTTCCATGGTCCCCGGGCCACTCTCTCCCGTCTCTATCGTGCATCCTTGAGTTTAGGGCACGACCCCTCACTTGACGCCCTCCCCGGAAGGCATGGGGGTTATTGGGGGTGATTCGAGGTAATGGGGAGCGGCCATGGATTTTACTTGCCAGCTTCGGTATATGATCAGTAAGATACAGTGGGTAGCCCTACGGCAGACACCCGAGAACACCACAGTGCAGCGCACCACAGCACCGCAAATGCAGGACCAGCCGGGCCAACACCAAGGCAAGACCTGCAGCAGGAAGCAGAAAGCCGCGGTGGATCCGTCTGTAAGTTGCAGCTAAGTTTCAAAAACAAGGGCGAAGAACCCCAATGGAAAGAAAAAAGAAAAATCACAGGAAAATCTTCAAACTCAATGCATGCGGGAAGACGCCAGCGTCTCATCGGAAACTCTATCACCTTCTATCAGCACGAGGGCGAGGGAAAAAATAGCACAAACACCATGGTTCCCAGGATTGGCGCGCGCACACACACGCACACGAGGGATCATCATCCTTTCCCATCCCATCTCTGCCCAACCCAAACCAACCGCCCCTCCGGAGCCCGGAGGGGACCCCCCCTCATGAATCCCGCACCCGTTTGGTATCACTCCGATATCCACCGTAATCTTCAAAATGTGGACTCCTGACGATCCATCCTCCAGTCCGCAAGCGTGAACCGGAGTGGGCACTGGCCGATCGCAGTTCTGGATCGCAAAAGACCTGAACTTTTTTGAGAAACTCCGTAACAACTCCACTACACATCGTCATGGCTGGTCCAGAAGTGCTCGGCCGTGTCTTGCCCACATGCCGTCGGTGCCAGCCCGTGGATTGCTCTGCAGGCAAGCAGCGACTCGTGAGTTGCCAGCCTCACCTCTCCACTCTCCAGTCTCCAGTTTCCAGCCCCGGGCTCCCTGACTCGAACTCGACTCCCGTATTCCGTATACTCTGTACAACTCCATATATTCTGCAGCTTCCTTGTGATGATGCAACCACTGAGCTTAAGGATTCGGAAAAATTGCCCCTCCTATCTTCTATCGGGAATAACCAATCTCCCTCCCCCCATGGGGGCCAAGTCAAAGTTGCAGCCAGCCAGCCGCTCAAAGCATGATGGGCCGCCCCGGACGGATTCCGCATCCTTAATGCAATGAATTCCCAGGGTTTACTACAGCCACAGCCATGGCTACGACCATCTCAGCCATCAGGGATGGGGAAATAATGTAAATCACCCCCATCCCCCTCAGCTCCCCAGGGGTAAGCCCTCCCCGTTGGCGCATCATATCGCGGTATGGTACCTGATAATCAGGGGCAGCATCCCATCCAGCCCCTGACGCGAACCGAAACGGCCCATGCGGGAACAATACGCATGAATCCATGTTCCTTCGATAGCTTGTTCCGTTCCGCCCCCTGCACGGAGGAAAAATATCTAGTCTCAGGGATCCTAGTCTACCAAACATAACGTGGGAAGAGATGTTGGTTCTCGCAGTTGCGCCCCGTTCGCCAAGCCAACGCGGCTTTGTGCTCCAATCCAAGCTCCATCCAAGCCATTGAATCCATGAATTAGGTTGGATTGGATCGAATCCAACCAGGAGATTAAAACCGTAGCTCCATTTCCCAATTACAACGCGGAGCAGAAGGAGGAAGGCCCTGGAGGGAAGGGAACTCCCTCTCGCGCGCGCGCGCCCACACACGCCGTCTCAATTAATTTACCAAACCCGCTCGAACCACTTCCCCTCCAGCCGAACCGAACCATTCTCCAATTCCTGCGCACTCATCTGGTTGCGATCGACCTCAGAACACTGGGCTAGACACACAATGTGTCCCACTCGATCGCACAAGCGTAATCTGCTGAGCCCCAGAGCTTTGATCCCTACGGATATGATGGTTTGTTTTTGGCGCTTCTTCCGTGCTCGGGTTCTGGCGTCATTGTTTTTGCTACTCCGTACATACGATAGCTGACTACGGATTACTGTACGCGGTAACGCCTCCCGAGGTTGTCTTAGGCTCGGTGTCAACGTCAATGGCAACTGTCAGCGTGACGAGTGCAACCCTAGAACCGTTGGCCCCAGTGGGACTGCAAATGGGACTGTGGACTGTGGACTGTGGACTGTGGACTAGGCTAAATTACTCCGTACTCGTACACTGACAACTATCCCTTTCCGCACAGGTAGCCTGTGTCAAGAAGCTTAGGACTTAATTAGCAATGAGCGAGCTGCGCGTCTTTCTTTCCCTTTCTTTTTTTATCCGGCAAATCCACTCTTGCGGTCATTAGGCATCAGGGAAAGGGTGCCATACATACGTAGTGGTAAAGAAGAAGAAAAAGCAATTTACAGGGCAACAGGCAATAACAACGGGCAACGGGCAACCCACTAAAACAGGACTGGTCGAGTCCCGCGGTGGCCGCCATAGTGCCGCTAGTTGAAAATCGCTGGAGCTGGAGCGACAATGGTCCCATTGCTATGAGCGACTAGTCTGCTCCCCATACCCGGTCTGGTGGGAGATCTACACCGATAATTGGGTCGGAATCGGTCATGTGGGAGTAAAGTAAAGTACGGAGTATACAGAGCAGATCAGACGTTCATCTCACGAACTATTAATTTATTTTTCTTACTGTGCTCCGTGCTGTATCCCTGGGGAGAACTATGCATGGTATTATTCAGATACAGTCCAATATTTAATTAGCTTGTAAGATGGTAAGCACCTGGGCACGTACGGTGGGTAGTTTAGTTTTATGGAAAATCCCCATCAATTATGATTATCGTATTATATTAAGTATTGAGTCCAAACGCCAGACATTAGAAAGCAAAGATAAAAGGGAGAGAAATAAAAGAAACTCCCCTTCAAACCGTCACACTGCATTTCGGAGCGCATATCCTGGCAGAACACTTGACTCCGGAAATCATGACAAGCTCCTCGAATAACAAATCTCCCTGAGATGTAAACAATCAACCAAGTTTTATCATCACAATCTTAAAGAAAGAGGATTGGCAATACCAACGATAGGCGTGCCGATATCGACATCATCAGCCACACCAGCACCAGTGAGCAGATTCTCGCCATCAATACCGAGGTTCTCAGAGCGCTTGTCGTTGATATTGGCGCCATCAGTAGTATCATCATTAGCCTCGCGAAGGTCAATCAACGAACCGACAGTGTCAACGAGACCCTCAAAGTAACCAGGTTGACGCTTGGCGTTCTTCACGCCCGTAGCGGAACCGTCACCAGCAAGAACAGCCGTGACACCGACATCACCGACGATACCCTCAGAACGAGTCTTCAGGATGTTGGCGAAGCCGATGAGATCAGTCGAAAGAACCTCATCTTCACGCTTAGCGTTCTTGACACCGGTGGCATCACCATCACCGCCAACGACAGCTCCAGCACCAACGTCACCAATAACGCCCTCCTCGGAGCGCTTTAGGAGCCCGAGAACATCTTTAACAACATCACCAAGGGAATCTCCGACAAGGTCATCATCAGAGCGTTTTAGGACGTCGATATCACCAGCGCCAAGCAAGTGTCCATTGTTATAGTCGTTGCTTTCACCATCACTTCCAATCAGACCCTCGTCGTAGCGCTTCAATAGAAGACTGCCACCCCCACTGCTACTGCCGCCGCCGATGAGACCACCCAGAAGCTCGTCATCGCGCTTAGCGTTCTGCACGCCAGTGGCAGAACCGTCGCCGGCAGCAACAGCAGCGACGCCAACATCACCGACGAGGTCCCCCTCGGAGCGCTTTAGGATACCAGCAACACTACCGCCACCAATCAGGTCCTCGTCATCGCGCTTCAGGAGATCACCGAGGCCAAGCAGATCGTCATCGTCGTAGTCTTCATATCCATATCCATCGTTGTCATCGATCAAGCTCTCGTCGTCGCGCTTGGCGTTCTTGACACCAGTAGCATCGCCATTACCACCAAGAACAGCCCCGACGCCAATATCGCCAACTAGATCGCTGGAGCCATCGCTGCGCTTGGCGTACTCAAAAGGAGCGGCAATGACTGCGGCCGCGAAAAGTGCGGGGAATGTGTATGCGTAGCGCATTGTGAGGGTGGATTCGCGGGGAATCGAGACTGGTGAGTATTAGCCTTTGTTCTTTTTCATTGATACTGTTGCCTTTGCGGCAGATTTCTGCCTTGGAGAGATGATGGAGGAACTGAGAGGAAGATTGCAAAAGTGTTCATTGAAGTGCATGATATCTCACATTGGCAGCCAGTATTGCAATGATTTACTTACAGGATGGAGATTCGGACCGGTATGAAAAGAGACCAAGAAAGGGAAGAAAAAGAAAGGAAATGGTACACCAGGGCCTTGGGTCAGACAGGCCCTTAAGAACCAACGAGCAAAATCCATTCCATCAGCTACCTACTCATTTCCACGTTGTAAGTTCCATTTCCATCCTACCATGCTATGCTCCACCAGCACAGCACGCCATTGGATCAAATGGATTGAAAAGCGAATGAAAGGCATATCCGCCTATTCCGGGCTTGACTGAAATCTAGTCCTATGTTTACTCACGCGCACACCAGATGAAGAGAGATGGAGACTCCGGTTGCACCTAAATGCACAGGAAAACTTTTCCGGAGCGATGCTTCATTCTGTCGATGACATGATAGATAAGGTTAGAGCCGCAGCTGATGCAACCGAACATCAATAGCTTGTGTGGAGACCTAACCTGACCCGGCCCAGCGGGATCAACGGTTCACAAGCATTTGTAGAGTAAAGCAGCGAGTGTCCATGGAAAAGCTGGTGGGTTTGTTGACGATCTGCAACAATAAAGGGCAAGGGGGTCAGAGTCGTAGTATGACGACGTAGTCCGTCGGTGATATCATCGGTTTTTTTCACTTCAGCCCTGGGTGAGTATGATTCGAGACGCTGATGGGACGTCGGCTGAATGTGTTCCGATCGGCGGTCCTATAGCAGCCAGCTTTTAGGGTGGGACTAATGCCGAATATAATTTGTAGAAAATGACAACCGATACCGTACTAATTAGAATATACTGCAGTGGAATTGCCACTAGCTCTTCATGTACTATAATTAGGATACCACTGTTGTAGCTTTAGAAACATCCATCAGTCTGAGCAGACTCGGAGAAGGAGGTGATAGGGGGGGGTTATTTGGTGAGTCAGTTATTCTCATGTCTTAGTTGATGGTGAAGATAGCTAGATTCCATCTTAGTCTCCTTTCTAGGTGCAAAGTACGGAGTATAAAACCCCCATTCTGATAATCTCAGTCCAACGCCACTGCCGCAACCACGTCAAGTGAACACCAACAATCTTAACTCGAATAAAGTTGAAAGTGATCCGCCAGCTCCGTCAAAAATCAATGAGGTTACACTCTGCAATATTTTCGATGCCCCATAGGAGCATAGAGAGTAGCCTAAGTCTTCAGCGGTTCCTTGAACGGAAAAGCTTGTTCAATGTAGATCTCTCCCATCTTTGGACAATTCCAAAAAAGCATGAAGATTTTTCTTATTCGAGCCATTTTTCTTAGGTGCTGCAGGATCATGTCATCGAGCCTTGCGATCAAGTCCTCATTCACCGAAAGCCCTTTTGTCTGGCCGGGGTTGGGTCGTTGGAGTGACGATCTTTGGACTCTTTCCGCGTGCGGCGATCATCCATCCTCACTCAGCCCTACGTAGCGTAGGAGGCTGGAACATTGATACTGGAACCTGCCTATGATTTTCTTCTCATAGGTACAATAAAATTCGGGCGCAGTTATTTTCAGCATTGATTACGGTGATTATCTTTTCTGTGCTTAGTTTTCCTTGCTTGAGGATTCGCTGGTGGTGGGTGTGCATGTGTGAGACATTCCCATCACATTCTTGGATAGGACATGCAGCAAGTACTCCGTACATAGCGAAGATAAAATAAGGGAAAAAAATACACCAAGCATCAGGGGTGGTCTGTAAATTCAATTGTGAATTTATTATTGGATTTTTTACCTACGAAACATAGTAGTATTCAATGGGAAGCTATCTTCAAACCTTCTACTAGTAATTTTAGGTCCTAATCAGGTCTCGCTCAAGCTGCATACCTCCTACCTTATCTTATTTTCCCTCTATGTCAAGCCAAGGACGATATATTTTGTATCTGCTACTCATATAGAAACGGCATATAGTATCAATTTCTATGCATAAGGAGAAGCCAACTACCATTTACTTAGTAGTACTTTGTTGTACTCAGGTCGTTTTCTCGGAGACTTCCCCCATATAACAACTTGAACTACTACTAAGCGAAATAACAAATTAATTTACTGCTACCATTTATAACGAATTGGTCAGCGTGTGCTGACCGAAAATAATCGCACAAAAGAATTCTCACACTGTAGTGTGACCACTTACCATCTCAAACATAACCAACAGTAATCAACAGTACAATACCCCAATTACCAGAAATACAGCCCCCAGCTGCCCGTTGCTGCATGTTTCCCGCTCGTGCAGATGCAAGGCCCTCATGTAAGGTCAGCTCAGCTCGGGACGGATCGTACATTGCGTTAGGGTCGATCGGGGTAGACGCAGGCGCAGATGCAGATGCAGATTCAGTTACCATACGTGTATCCAGCCAAGTAATCATTTTTAGCCAATACGTATGTACTACTACTTTATCGTGACTCAGTCTCAATGGAAATATTACCCCTCGCCTGCTTCTTTTACTTAGACAAGGAGGGGGCGGGGCGAATGCAGGTGGTTCAAGTTAAAGTGGAGATTTAAATGGGGGTGGGAGAAGAGGAACATAGCCTATAGGAGAATAAATAAAAAGCAAAGGGGAAATAAACGGGCTCTCATATGCATGTGTCGGAGTTTTTTTTTCTTTTTTTCTTTTTTTCTTAGGCTTCATTGTCTTGTGCGAGGCAAGGCGGAGCGAGAACGAGCGAGGTGGTGACTATGGTATTGTGTGGTGTGGTGCAGGTCGAAAATTAATTAGATTGAAGATTGATTCTAGACCACCGTTATTGTGGTATGCCAGTGGCTATACCTAAGCTAACAGTATGGGAAAGAGGTCTGATCTCGCCGCAATGGGGCCAACTACTAGTAACTACTCGTAGTTAGCTCATGCCATGACATGCCATGCCATGTCCTCGGCAGGTGGGTATGAGGGTCACGGTTAATTTTAGAAAATACCTCGGCGATATCACTCTTCCTGTCTGTTTAGATTAACCTCCAGGGCTTGGAGGTCAGATCCGACAGATCTCGCGATACTGGAACGCGGAGTGTTGCGGGTTTATAACTTATCCCGCGCTTACGCTAGTATCTGGTGGCTTTCGTTACCAAGGTATGAGATGTATCTTTTACGGATGGGGATAGTGTACCATCTACTCCATGCATTTCCCAAGTATACACATACCCCGTGGCGGATTTGTAATGTGAGTTGGGGTCCGAGTCCAACTTGGATGGCACGGGCTGGAAGCCTGGGGGGGCAGGGGCTGTTAATCTATTTTGCGTGCCGCGGGCCTTTTTTTGGGGGGGGGGGGGGGCGGTTGTTTCGGAGAGGAGGCTTTGGTACTTTTGTCAGATCGAGGGTTCAATTGATCTGAATGTGATGATCTTGACTAGCAACATTGGGCAGATGATCGATCGGATCATGGGTTTTCCAAGGCAAAGGACATGTCTATGGAAGACCAAGGTTCTATTTGCTTGCAGATTGAATTTGAGTAGCATCTGCGGTGCAATCATAAGACTGCCAGTGCTACTGATTTTAATATGAAGGTTGTGAGATATACTATTTCAGACCACCTTACCTTGAATCATAGCCCTAGGCCGAAGATAGGAAATTTCAAGTATAACTTCCAATGGACAACACACTGACGAAACATTTCGTATATCCAGATAAACAGGAATACCTAATTGATGACTATAAAAGGCTAATGACACAAATGGATTCAAAAGGAACTTGAACCTTAGAAATACTAATTTTTTTGCAAAACAATCTGCTGCCGCAACAATTGCAAAATCTAAGCCTATGTCCCAGACGCCGAACGAACAAGAAAAAATGTAAAGGTGGGAGGTAATATGACAAATGACAACTCAACTCAGCTCAGCTCAACTCAGTCTTGCATCTCCGTATCCTGAGTCTGAGTCTTCTCCTCATCCCCGAAGAGGTCATCGTCATCATTGTCCTCGTTCGCTTTAGCCGGAGCCTGGTGACCTTCTTCCGCATCCTCATCCTCCTCATCATCATCATCGGCAATATGACGCGCCTTACCCCGACGACGAGGCGCAACATCTTCCTGTATTTGCTCATCATCGCCGAAAATATCTTCCTTATCCTCATCACCAGGTGTACCCGGCGCAGCCTCACCACCCGCCTCCTCATCCGAGTCATCCGAATCAACAATCCGCTCATCACTCTTGTACTTGCTAGAAGCCTTAGCAGCAGCAACCTTGCCACCAGACCTCCGCTCAAGACGACGACGTTTCTTAGGCGCAGCTTCGCCCTCACTCTCTCCTTCCCCACCACTGCGTTCCTGATCTTCACCACCACCAAGACCCTCCTCATCATCAGCAATAAAGTCATCACCACCCTTCTTCTTCCGCTTAGCCGCAGTCTTCTTCTTCCTCTTGACCCTCTCACCCTGCGACCCATCCGTAAGCTCCGCCTCCTCACGCGCACGATCAGCCTCCGCCCTTCTCGCCGCGCTCTGCTGCGTCTCCTCAGCCATCTGCGCGCGCTCCTCGGCAATTTTCCTCTTCCGCTCGATCTCAATTTCCTGCGCCTTTCGCAATTCCTCTTCACGCTTTGCTTGAGCCGCTTCACGTGCGTCGCGCGCTTGTTGTAATTTCGCCGCATTCTTCTCCTCATACTCCTTCTGACTCTGCATCGCGCGATCAAGCTGCTTGCTAATCGTGCGACCCATGTTTGCACGTTGCTCGAGTGCTTGGGCTGGGTAAGGGGGATTTTTCTCCTTCGAGATCTTCTCAAAGGTCTCGATTGCTTCTTTCAATCCGTCGGCAGCTTCCAGCACATCTTGGAGCGTCTTTTGCGTTGGTTGCAGACTGTATGCGAGGGAGGCGATTTGGTTTTGCACAAAGGCTACGTTGAATTGGAGGTGGAGTTGGTCGGGGGAGACGTCTCGGGCGCGGAGGGCGTAGTCCAGGGCTGTTTTCATTGCGACCAGGTTCATCTCTTGTTTGCCCTTGAGCCACCAGACTCGGCCTAGACAGGCTAGGATTTGCACGTCGCGGGCGCGATCCTTGGCGAGGGCCGCTTCGTAGTGTTCGATTGAGCGCGAGTATTGGCGCAATTCGGCGTAGACGTGGCCCAGGTTTAGGTAGACGCTCGGATCCTTGAGTGTGTCTCGGATCTTGGAGAAGAATGTCACGGCGGCGCTGTAGTTTTTCTTATCGTCGACTAGGGCGATGGCGATTCCCTGTGCAGCGTATGCGTTCCTGGGATCTAGCTGTAAGGCCTTGTCGAAGAACTCTACTGCGCGCTGGTAGACCTTGCGGCGCTTTTCTTTGTCGGCTTCGGTGTCGCGGCGCATATCGCGCGCAGCGAGGAGGTGGACGTTGCCCATCCCGGTTAGAGCGTAGCGGTCGTGCTTGTCGTAGTATTGTAGGGTGTGCTTGTGATGGCGCTGTTCCGAGTCCTCGGCCAAATTGGACACACGCTTTTTCGACTTGCTGAGATACCAGCCGAAGAGAGATCGGACTTCCAGGTTTGAGGAGTCGGTTTCGTAGAGCTTGGACATCTTCTTGGGTCCTTCCTCGGTTGGGCTTTGGCGGAGGGCGATATAGGTCAAACGTGCACTAGCTTCGGTGTAGTCGTTGTGTCGTTCGAGGAGTCCGTCGTAGACCTTCTTAGCTTCGTCCCACATGTCTGCTGCCTCATATGTGCGACCAAGATTGTAGCTGATAGTTGTGACGAGGGCATCGTTGTCGGAACCATCTTTTCTCTCTTGCGAATGTACGCAAGCATTGAGTGCGGATTGGAACATGCCACGCGCCAAAGCAATCTTCTCGTTTTGGTAGAGGAAGCATCCCATATTGTTAAGCAGCTGGGGAGGAAGACTCTCGCGGAGAGCAGCCTTCAGATCCTCCGGATCGTCAATATCAGGCCGAGAACTCTCGGGAATACCAGAAATCTGCAGCTCCTCTAGTTGGGCCAAGCACTGCATGGACTTTTCCGGAGAGGTGGTCTCGTACAGACGAGCCAGATAGACCAGGACAGATTCATCTGGAGTCAGCTTTTGCTTCTCATCCTTCCACATCGAGCGCACAGACTCTAGCAAATGGATAGCACGCTTCGTCTCATTCGACTTATCATCCTTGAGACCGGCCTTTAGTGAGGTAAAGACGTCTTCGGCGTGCAGCGCCGCGAGCAGAATCATAGCCTCGGCGTTCTTTGATTGTTGGACAATCTTCTCCAAGCGGAACTTGGCACCATCAAAGTCCTTGTTCGAGACGGATATTTGCACAGCACCGAATTTAGCAGGCAAGAAGCCCTTTTCACCACCACCACGAGCCTGGTCGGATTTGTTGTAGTACTCTGTAGCGCGAGCACCATCGCCCTCGTAGTGTGCCTTTCGGCCAAGCAGATACCAGCCGTCACTAGCAATGGGCATGACATCCGTCTTTTCGATCGCCTTGCGGGCGAGTGTCTCAACGGTCGGGTATTGTTTGCGGAGGAGGAAGTAGCTTCCGAATGAGGCGCAGGTCATGGGGTATTCTTTATCCAGCTTGAAAGCCTTCTGTGTGTATTGGGTCATGGCCATTTTGTACAAGGAGCCGAACATGGGGTCGGTAGTAGAGCGGCGGGAGCTGTCGTAAAGGTAGTACACGGCGAGGAGGATGTTCGCGACCTTGGACTCGGGATTCTATATCGTGATGCGCGGTCAGTCAATGTTTTCAAAGAGATGGGGAACAAGTGCCAGCGTTCTAGCTTACCAGAGCCAGTGATCGTTCCCATGCCACCTTCGCTTGGTCCTTGAAGCCCAGCTGCCAAAGACAGCATCCTAGACCGATACGAGGATCAGGGTCTGTCAGATTAGGTACCTTCATCAGGACCTTTTGATAGCCTTCGAGAGCCTCTGCGTATCTTCCCAACATGTATAGTGCGCGGGCACGGCCCAGGATAGCCATAATGTTACGACCGCCAAAGGCCTTGGAGGACTCGTCGAAACATTTCAGCGCTTGCCGCAGGGCTTCGACCCGCTCGGACGTGTCGATGGCACCGGGTCGAACCGCACGCGGAGGGTATAAGGAGGCACGGAGAAGACACAAGACGCCGCGAGCTAGGAAGAGAGGCGGGTACGCAGGGTTCAGACGCGATGCCTCGTTCAGAGTGGAAGTTGCTAGCTGCAGGTAGTGATCCTTGGTTTTGGCTTCTGAGTAAAGCTCTCCCTCTGGCGCGACACGAGGAGCCTGGCGACTCTTCAGCATGAGCAACCAGCAGATCCAGCCAAGAAGGCCGAGTTTCTCTTTGGTAGCGCCATGGGCGACGGAGGCCAGACCCTTGTTCAGGATGTCGATGGCATGGTCGATCTGCTTTCGTTTGGCGTAGGCCAATGCGATGATGACCCAGAAATTCTTGGCTGCCCGTTCGTTTTCCAGAAGGGTGCAGAGCTCGGTTGGGTCTTCGGGGAGATCGAGGAGACTGACTTCGACTTCGCTGTCGAAACTGGAGGCGGGAATATCGATGGCATCGGGGATATCAGAGAAACGTAGGTTAGGTAGGGAGCTTGCGGATGGTAGGGAATCGCCGATTAAGCCATTGGCATGGCCGTTTTCGAGAGACGCCATTGTTGCGACTGCGCTTGTCAAGGAAAGTGAGGGATAAGTAAAGCGAGGTCAGGAATGCGACTTGATGGGGAATCGTTGGCAGCTTCAACTCATGATCGAGCTTGACTGGCCATCAAGGGTAATGTGATAGGGATGAGCTTTGCGTCGAATAAGTGAGGCGTGGAGAAACCCCAAGGCTGAGAAAGACGCGCGAGTGACTTCGGGGGAGGCGGAGATCGCGCGGTGCTGTTCGGTTTGAGAATTGGATGTGTGGCTAGTGTGGCTGGCGGTGTGGCTGGCGGTGTGGCGGATGATGTAGTTCTTACTACTCTTCATCTTCATCCTCATCTTGAAACTGCATGTCCCATGCGAGTTCGGCAATGGCTTGCAGTTCCCCCGTGTCGATGGTGATGTCGGTTTCCCGAGAACTCTCAGTATCTCTCAGGAATATGTCCCTGAAAGGAATCATCAGATCCCCCCCGCGACTTGTCGTTTGACCTGTCTCGTTCCTCTCAAGGACGATACCCTGAACTTTGCTGGGTATGCGGTTCGTGGCGTCCCATACCCACTTTTCGATCGTCAACTTGCGTCGATTTCTCACCACTTTTATGGAGAGTGCCATCCTAACGTTCCCCTTGTGGGGGTTCAGCCAAGTCTCCATGTCGTGGAAGAGCCTCTTGTGGCTCTCCGAGACACCAGCTTCAAGCACTACCGTTGGTTTCTTGGGAGTCCCAGGAGAGCATCTTCGGGGTCCCCACCCCATGTCTGCTTGCTTCATCCGGCCACTACCCACGTCAACATTGACCGTTCCCCAGCTAAAGACCATGTTGTGAAGCCTCATAGGCACAAGGGCCGTTTTAATGGCGCCGTGGAGGGCTATGCCGACTTGGTTATGCACCGGGTTCGGCATCTTAATCACCAAACGGCTTTTCTGTGCGCTGTATTCGGATGATACTATGTGAGGAATATCGATTCCGTCATCGGCGAAATCCCGTTCGAATGTGCTTGCATCGATCGAAAGGACAAAGTATTCGTTGATCTCAGTCTCTGCCTGTACTTTCGTACTTAGGCTCCCAGTTGTCGTAACGGGGTTGGTGGGAGTTTCAACGGCATTGGGCATTGAACGTAGGCAACGATCTTTTTCAAGTCTAAAGATTCGAGAAAATTGATCTGGTCCTTCATAGACATAATGTTTCACGGATGGAGATAGTCCCTCTAAATCGGAGTCATCGAACTCGTTTTGAGGTAAATTGGACATTTTGTTAATTAGTATCTTGATACCAAGGGGGATGGAAGTGGATATCAAATATCAAGATAATTCCAAGACTGGCAGTGCCTATGGATGCCAACTTTGACACCCCATATAGTAGTAGGATTTAAATTTCAATATCATGGGTCGTCCAAGTTTGATCTTTCCATGTTTCTCTTGCGGAATTCAGATCCGAGAAAATCAATGCTGTTTGATTCCAAGGCTACCCTGCCTACCAGGAGAACGGGTATTTTAAATCGGTGAGACAACTATTATATAACTATTAGATAGAAGATCTACAGTCAAAGTTACTGTGGAGGCAGGACCATAGTAGATATTAAAATAGTAGTAGCTATAGGATTAAGATAGCTGTGGCACCGATACAGTAGTAGGGCAGGCCACTACTACAGCAGTCAGCCACCATTAACGGTAATCAGCCACCTCATATCCCCGCATGTCCAAATACTCCAAACACCAACTCACCATGCCCGAAAGTTCCTGGCAGCAAGTGCACACCTACAATGACCATCTGGGTCACCGCGTGGTGCTCGAGCAGTTCGTGGAGCCAGACTTCCCTCCAGACCCTAAGCACCTAATTCCCATTCAGGTCTACAGTCTTGTCCCTCTTGACGACGACCACCACCAAATGCTCCAGGAATACATGATGGGCTATTTTAATAATGAAGAGCTCAAGCCTTTGTTCGAGATTTATTCATACTTCCCACCCGACCAATTCCCCTGTTTAATCGTCTTGAAATCTCCCACCGCAAGCAGCAATACCGATCAGGGGTTGAGAATCCACTCCCGCTAATTCCGCGATTCCTCTATTATGGTGGTTCCAGTGATCCTGTTGGGTTTTGTGTCCTGGTACGATCGCATAGCTATCGACTGGGTGGTTGCGGAGACACAGATGAGCTTGATGAGGCGGGCGAAGGACCGGACCTTCTCTACTCAACCGCTCGTTTTCCAGTATACACCTCAGTGATGTTGATGAGAACCCGCTGACAACCCCATCCATCACCTAGGGTAACTTATCTATAACTCTCGCTCTAGCCATAGTTCTTCAAATCCGAAGAACGGCTGGGAAAGCTATCACATATATTCCTCCATTTATAATTTCACCTTCACCCTCACCTCTACCAAATTCATGCTATGTTGCTGGAGGTAGTAGCCAGATATGGACTGTCAAAAGCGCCTCGCTTGGTTCCTGGTGAGTCGACCCAATATGTCAGGGCCCACCCTCCAGGCGATCTTGCGACCCTACGTTTCTATTTCTATCCGAGCTAGGAATTTTCCGACCACTCATGAACATAGCTTTGACATCAATCTAGTATTTTCACTTTCGTTGTCTTGGCACACCTGGATCTTGTGGGGTTCGAAAACAGTAACTTGCTCTCTCCGGCCGAGTTCATTCTTTGGTAGTACCATTAAACGAGGTCCCTGCACCACCCCTTCCTGGATGAATATGATAGTGAGTCATGTGGGGCTGGTTCATGGCTCGCAGGGCTTGGCGATCCACTGGTAGTAGGAAGAGGGCAGAGGATCTGACCTTCGCAGTGCTGATCTAGTCAATTAGCGACCTAGTGGAAAACCTGACGACCCTATATCCAGGAGGATAACTAGAACACCATTCTAGTGTTTAGGGGTTTCGACTACTACTGCGGGAAAAAGGCAATTTGCGAAATATCTCGGAGAGGCCATGTCTCAGCATTTCCTGGGGTCCACATTGGAGCAAGACATTTGCTATGGCCTGCTCCGTCATCCAATGTCAAGCAATCCTAATAATATTCTCGAGAACAATTATTTTTACGCAATCTTTAGTATCACCTGAGAAGTAATTGATTGTCTCAAAATACCAGCTTGTGGGGGACATGTATGTAAATGGTTAAAAATAGTTACTTAAATTGTACTACATAAATAAGGGCAGTCTCTCTCATACTTATCTTCAATTACAATTCGATTTGTATGCGAGCTCTGAATAATCACTGAGACCAAAAACACCGCCCTCATGGTCCGTGTAAACATACTTTTGGCCTTGGCCATTACTTCTTTCAGTGCCACCATGGCAGCTCCTGGGGCTTCCACTTGTGACCTCAAGTACGATGCCTGCCGTGGTGCCCCTGGTGCGAATCTGTCGACCTGCGCCTCTGATAAGGCCGCGTGTGAGGCTGCTGGTTCGAGTTGCCAGGCCAAATACGATGCCTGCCGTGGTGCCCCTGGTGCGAATCTGTCGACTTGCGCCTCTGAGAAGGCCTCCTGCGACGGTAGCACCTCGACTACAACTGAGGCTCCTCAGCCAACCTCGTCGGGCACTAGCGACTGCCAGACTAAGTACGATACCTGCCGCGGTAAGCCCGGTGCGAACCTATCGACCTGCGCCTCTGACAAAGCCTCCTGTGAGGCTGCTGGTTCAAGTTGCCAGGCCAAGTACGATGCTTGCCGTGGTGCCCCTGGTGCAAACCTCTCGACCTGCGCTTCCGAGAAGGCTGCCTGTGACGCGAACGGCGGAAGCACCTCTACCACAACTGAGGCTCCTCAGCCAACCTCGTCGGGCACGAGCGACTGTCAGACTAAGTACGACACCTGCCGCGGTAAGCCCGGTGCGAACCTGTCGACCTGCGCCTCTGATAAGGCTGCATGTGAGGCTGCTGGTTCGAGCTGCCAGGCCAAGTACGATGCCTGCCGTGGTGCCCCTGGTGCAAACCTGTCGACCTGCGCTTCCGAGAAGGCTGCTTGCGATGCGGACAGCGGTAGCACCTCGACTACAACTGAGGCTCCTCAGCCCACCTCGTCGGGCACGAGCAACTGCCAGACTAAGTACGATACCTGCCGCGGTAAGCCCGGTGCGAACCTGTCGACCTGCGTCTCTGATAAGGCCGCGTGTGAGGCTGCTGGCTCGAGCTGCCAGGCCAAGTACGATGCCTGCCGTGGTGCCCCTGGTGCAAACCTTTCGACCTGCGCTTCCGAGAAGGCTGCCTGTGACTCGAACGGCGGAAGCATCTTGACTACAACTGAGGCTCCTCAGCCCACCTCGTCGGGCACGAGCAACTGCCAGGCCAAGTACGATGCTTGCCGTGGCGCCCCTGGTGCAAACCTGTCGACCTGCGCCTCTGAGAAGGCTGCTTGCGATGCGGACAGCGGTAGCACCTCTACTACGACCCAAGCTACTCCGACCTCGGGGCCTGCAGGCGACTGCCAGGCTAAATACGATGCCTGCCGTGGTGAGCCCGGAGCGAACCTGTCGACCTGCGTGTCTAAGAAGGCTGCATGTGACGCGAACAGAGGCGGCAGTTCCACCTCATCAGTTGGCTCTGCTTCAGCATCCCCTTCGGCGCCTGTCTTTAATGGTGCAAGCCGGCTCTCAGGCAATATTGCTGTCGTAGGTGTCTTGGCGCTCGGCCTGGCCATCTAAGTTGATTAAGTTGATTACTTTGGTGAATTTGTAAATCAGAATGTACGAGTGACATGAAGAGGCGTATATAGGAAAGATACAGAAAAGAAAATAAGAGACAAGGAATTGTCTCGAAGTGATACGATACATTCTAGGCAGTAAGGAGATTGTGAATAGGATAGAAGCCTTCCACGTGGCGGTCCCATTCTTCAAAGTGTAGAAATTTATATTCTTCATCAGGGCACTGTGCAGCTTATTGATAGGAGAACCAACCTCACCAGAAAGGAAGGGAAAATGTACCAGTTAGCGCTCACATAGTAATTAAGTATTAATCATTGCCTTATAAACCAATCATAAGCCCTACATCTCGAGCAAGTTTTTGTGCTACGTATTCGCTTAGCGCAAAATTTGAGATTGTTATCGAGAGATCCTGCAAGAAAGTACATATCTCGTACTGGCCACGGTCGTTCTCGAAGGCGGAGGTCTTTTACATGGCAAGTGTACCGAATGAGGAACATCGCCATTTTTAACTATAACTCTTAATATGATAAAGGAATACATTACGAAAGGCTCGATTTATGCTGAGACCTGAAAGGAAGTCACCTCGAGCAGCATTGGAACGATCGTTTGCAACTCTGTAATACAAAACGTCGATGCAATCACTTTCCTCACCTAGCTCGAAGAGTCTTGCAGATGCAAGAGCTATACCTGCGGATTGCGGTATGCCAACAGTCTGTGGTCTGAGATATAGCGATTGCAATTGTTCATAAAGGGTGTGAAGGGGAACTGAAAACACTGAGGCCCAGAAAATCCATACCGTTGCCGTAGGAATCTGCACAGAATATACTGTGTTCTTCGACATTGGGTGCCATGTTGGCTAGGAGTGGGCATAAGGGGGGGGTGGGTCGGATGTTTGTCGGCTGGACATTGGAGGTTCCATCGTGTTTTCGGACACTGACCACATATGCGCTGTATGACTGCATGGGCCGATGTAGTTGGAGAGTTTGGCTAAAGGATAGAGCATGCTGGAATATGAAGCTGCCATTGTCTGCAGCAGAATGTGACCAGGGAAAGTAGCTTGAGACTTTATTTCTCCACCATACTGACTTTCTACATGAATGGAACGTCTATGCTTGCCACAGTCAGAAATCAATTGCAAAGAAGGCATTTCAATGTAGTAAAATTAGACTATTTTACCGACTCATTTTCCCTTTCACTTCTTCAGCGAGTTGAACCTCAAGATCCTTGATTCTATGAGTCAACATCTCATTCCGCTGTTTTGCCGTCTCTTCCATATGTTGAATGCAATCTTCCTAATGGGCTTTGTCTTGTTCATAGAGCTGCAGCATGCTGGCTAAGTTATTTCTCTCGAACTGGAGCCACTTTACGTGCTAAAATATGGGATTTTATCCATGTATAAGCATATGTAACTAAGGCCAGGCTCAGGGAACCGATCGCTTCCCAGATTTGAAAGCATTTGGGAGAAGTGGTTTTTCCAAGCACATTAGAGATGTATCTAGTAGAGGCAGTGCGCAAAATTGAGATATTTTTATAGCTAGCAATGGGTTTTTCTGTCAACGGTCGCCGCCGCTTTATAAGATCCTTGACTGGCTTGGCTTGCACGGCGGTACGCGATTTATCGTTTCGTGGGGTACAAATGAGGAGAAAAGAAATAAGCACCGAGCCCAGTAAACCGGCAAATCTCTCAGAAAGTTCCAAATATTTGAACGGCCAGACAGTTTTCCCTATCCTGAAACTGACCGGATGCTGGTACTGTGAGCAGTTCTTTGTTTAAACCCAGAGGAGAGCATCGGGGTGGATTACTATTTAAAGCATAAGGCCGCATGCGAGACACCTGGGCAGACCAAACACAAATTGAGCCAATCGCCTTCAAGTCGCCAAGTCGCCTCTTAATCATCAAATGGAATTCGAGTACTCACCTCGCCTCGCATCCCCAATCAGTGGCACGACTCTGGTAGAATCTTTATACCGACTAGCTCACTTGAATAGCTCAAATGGCTCAGATGACTCAAACTCAAGACCAACCAGTCTCCAAAGTGAAGCGCATCTGTGGTAGCAAAGTGCGCACAGGTTGCATCACCTGCAAGTCAGTTCAAGTTTAAAGGGCGCCGCACCGACCGCGGGGTGCCATAACTAGAAAGATTACTCATAAAGTGTAGGGCTCGACGAGTTAAATGCGACGAAAAGAAACCAGCGTGTGCTAGGTACATTTCCAATTCGAAATTCGAGGGGATCCTCGTTGAATTAATCATGAAAAAAATAGATGTTCACTTTCCGGTCGCCTATGCCAGGGATATCAGCCACAAACGCCTATCGTGGTGACGCCTAGGACCCTGGCCCCCGCCGCTCGAGTCGACTCGCCTATTGAACCACGAGCCTTGGAATACTTTTTCCATAGGACAGCACCGCAGTTAGCGGGATTTTTTGATGGCGCATTCTTTCAAAGCAGTGTTCTCCACGCTAGCCTTGAAGAACCGGCCATCCGTCAGACCCTTGCTGCCATTGCCATCGTCCATGAGGAGAAGACCTTGAATCCAGTGGGGGGACAAAGTCTTGGCTCAACTTCTCCTATCCAGCTATATAACAGAGCCATCCGTGGCATTGTACAGAAAACTATGAAAGAACCGAATGCGGTTTCTTTGGTTGCTATGATCAGTATTTTATTCGCATGTCTGGAATATTTACGGGGCAATGCGGCAATGTCAAGGTCTCATATCACAAGTGGGATTCAAATCTTAAAATCCTGGATGGAAAACAACAAGTCTCAAAACAAATCATCGGGTCGAGATGATAAAACGATTGGATCGCACTTCATGGAGACAGAAATTGGACCGATTCTGTGCTCACTGCGCACCATTGTACTAGATAGGGAGACTGCTAAGAATCTTCGGCTTCTTATGAATCCTGTCAATGTTCAAGGCGATCTCACGCTAGGTGATCGATTCGATACGATCCAACAGGCTAGAGTTGGATTGGTAGACTTGATCGCCCACACAAATTGGCGCTTCGACAGGCTTGACAAATGTTTTCCGCTGGGACCCCGGTATAACGATGAAGCCTCCCTGATCCTTAATAGCGTTGAAAAAACTCTCGCTCAATGGGAGGCAAATTTTGATGATCTAGCCCGTCGGCGTGGTTCATCATGGGTCAAAAAGCAGAGGATTGCGACCAATGCCGTACGACTTATCAAGTTGGATATCGGCTTCGGAGTCCGTAACTATCTCGCTGACAGCGAGTGCGCATGGGATGCTGGACGAGCAGACTATGAAGAAGCGTTGAGTCTTATCGAAAATCTCATCGCAGATCGGGATCGCTTCAGTCCTGGAAATAACTTCAGGCCGTTGAGTTTGGATGTCGCTATCATATACTGCCTCCATACATTGTCTTGGAAGTGCCGATGGCCGCGTCTTCGTCGCTGGGGGCTCGACTTATTCAGAAGAATATGCGGTCGCGAGTGGCTTCTAGATGCAGAGAAGTATTTTATTATCTTCTCCCGCATTATGGAGATCGAGGAGGCAGGTACTAATAGTAACCAACTTGAATCACCCGATGAAGGCCCTCAGGGGAATATACTTCCTCATGAGCACCTACGAATCCACAACTTTTCGGTCGCAAACCAAACATCACCGTCACCAGCAGACTCAGAGCAGCCTACGAAATATTCAGTAACATTTTGGAGCAAGCCTTATGGTATAGACGGACCTTGGCACAAACTTACAGAGCCCCTGCAGCCAGGCGCTTCCGAAACCGAAGAATCCGCAATTCCGTCAAATCTGATCAACGAATTCTTCGCGAAACCTCCACGAATCAAGGAATTGGAGACGTTCGGTCAGGGAATAGATTTGGTTATTCGAGAAGGATCATGATCCATAGCAGCAAAAAGTAGCTATCGACACTTTCTAGTGAATTAGTATCTCCAGTCAGTATTTATGCTAAGAACCTATAAAATATCCAAATAATAGACTGGGGTTTTTTTAAGTCATTTATGTCTGGGAGAACTTTTCAGGTTATACGGATATATAGGAGATCTCAGAATCGGCTCAACTGTGACACATTGAGTAACTCTGCGAAGGTGTCCTTACCCCACGGGGATTATGTTACACCCTCCAAGTGAGCTCCCTGGAGCATAGAATTATCCACCATGAAGCTGTGCTCTTGGCAGGTTCGCACAACCACAGGTTGATTCGCCCCGAATTGAAATTGTTGGCCCGCATCCTTTCGACGGAGAGCCAAGAGAACGGTGGCTGCGAACCTGAGACTAGCTCGTAAACTAGGCGAATGAGAATCACGGCCCCCATATTCGTTCTGGAAAAGTTACCCCAGGACCAGCATGGAGTAATCTCAAGAAAAGGGTCCGAGCATGACTATAGCTCGCCAAGCAGAATGACCCCTCGGCATATTCGCCAAATGGTTTTATTCTGATTTCTCGTTCACCTTTGTCGTTTCTTGACATTAATGATCGGCAGACACGATGAGGTATTCGGTTAATGCTTTGGCAGTCGCCCTAGGCGTGTCCTCATTATGTCTTGGTACGCTTGTTTACTTCACTGATTGATTGTAAAAGCAACCGCTGAGTTCAACTAGGTGCCGAGACGAAGGAATGCAAAACGGACACCAGCGTGAATGAGGACACCGCGACAACCCTTCACCTACACAATTCTGAGAAACTAGATGCATTCGAGGGATGCACGACATTGAACGGACATATCGTCATTGAAGCCGACTATGAGGGTGATTTCGTCTTGAACGAAGTGACTAGCTTGCACGGAAACATTTCCACAGTCGAGAATGGTGCAGCAGGGTTGGGTCTATTCGAGCTGCGCGATCTCAACGAGATCGATCATATACACCTTCTTGGTCTTGTTGGCGATGTTAATTTACCGAAGCTCGAGAGCACGGGTGATATCGAGCTCGTGCAAATGTCGGCTAATGGGACAGTTGACTTGAGTTCTTTGGCCGAAGCTAATGATGTTTCAATTCGCGGGAGTTGGACAAGGTATAATACGATGCTCAGCCCTTTGGATTCGTATCAGAACTTGAACTTCTTCTCACACGTACTATAGTACAGAATTTGGCTCACTGAAAACAGTTACTCTGGGTACGCAATTTTGTGCTTCCCAGACATGTTCTATCTATGGGCCTGACAGAAAATTCCCTTACATTGATGTCGACCTACCTTCACTCGAGAAAACGGACTACTTCGAAGTTGCAGGAGCGGTGAGAAGGTTTGGCATCTTCTCCCCGAATATGAATTTCCTGCTGATATTTATGAATTCTCAGTGTATCCGTGCCGAAGCTGGAAGTAGTAGGATACATAATCAGACAACCGTCACTGTACTTTCCCAGGCAGGGCCTGCGCATCAATATCGAAAGCACAAATGAGACTCTTGATTTCAACGCTCCTAAGCTCCACACATTAAATGGGTCACTTGAGGCCTATGGCGGCTTATCAAGGTAAATTATCTTCCGTTCCATACCGACAAGCCGTCGATAATGTCTCATTCTAATAATTCTCTAGTCTAAGCCTTGGCTCTCTGGGCAAGACTACAGCACGCACCACGCTGAACACAGATACATCCCTCACTTTCTACTCGACTATACAGACAGCACAGTATTTCTATGTCTGGGGAAAACTACGCAGGTTTGTGAGCCATGCCCCGAATCCTGGAATTGCCCAGCTGACGAGCAACACAATTCAGTATTTACCTACCTGATATGAAAGATTTGGGATCAGTCGCGTTGTCATATTCACCAAGGCTTCCCTGCAACGATACGCTTTACTTATTGTGGGAGACGCAGCCAAGCTATTCGAGTGACTACGAAAATGGCAATTCCTGTTTGGACTACAACTTTCCGCAGGAGGATAAAGCGACGAACCAGGGAACTAGCACAATGACTGCCTCCCCTTCCAGCACAGAGAGTACGGGGAGCGTTATCTCCAGCAATGAGGCCATTCCATCAGACTCGCCCAGCCAGAGTTCTGAAACGAAGAGCTCCGCCAACGCTGACAGAACAGAGAGCTCGACTCCAGAGAGCGCGGCTCGCCTGGCATTCTCAATACCTTGGATGAGCTGCGGTGCATTGCTCACGATGGCTGTAATATTTCTTTCTTCCTTTTAGATAGCCGCGGGAATTGCAGTCTCTGGGCGATGCGCCAGAGTTGCAAGGAGATGAGAGATTGAGGCAGGAATTGGAAGGACAGGGAGTGAGTGACCAGCCGCCAGTTGAATTGGAGGCTAGTAACGGCCCCTCGGGTGATAAAGTTATGGGGAAGGATACGAAGAGCCATCACTTCGGGGAGATCCATGCTAAGATTCGAGGGGATAGTATAGACAGACAAATGGATGAGGACAGTACTGAGAGGGATACAAGGCAGGATAATACTCAGTAATCAACTTTGATACCTCGGTCGATATTTATATTTGTATTCATAATGGCATTGCCCTATATCTAATGAAAGTATTTCTAGGTCTTGTCGTCATATCTCATCCCATCCAGCCCATCCATCCAGCCCATCCATCCAGCCCATCCAAACCAGAACTAACATCAACGCTCAATAATCATAATCAACAATCAATAATCCACCCATGCCCTAATCACAACCAAACCAAACCGCACTGCACTATCCCTACTCACCCAAGAACAAGCCGACAAAGCAACGCCGCACCAACCAGCACCATAAAGATCAAACCAAGTTCAATCCAGTGGTGCAAGCGAACATGAGATTCCACAAATCCAGCCTCAAGAGCCACCTTCTGCTCGGCGGTGGGATTCTTAGCTTCGATCGTGCCAGCCAGCTCGGATGGAAATCTCCCAGTCTCGAAATACTGATCCATCAACGCATCCTTCTCGGCCCATCGGGCTCGGAGCCAGGCGTCGAACTCTTTCTGATCTTCGAGGGGGATGTCTGCTACTGCGAATCGTCGCCAGTGCACGTTCACAGAGGTTGGCGGTCTTCCTTGGAGATATGTTGTGCGGAGGGTGAAGTATTTATCGGGGTAGCTGCCGTTTCTGCAAAGGAGTTAGCATCAGTATACCTGGACTCGGCCCCCTGAAAGAAAAAAAGAAGGAAGGAATACATACGGTGGCCCTTCATAAGCAATAGTACTGTCATAAACCCAATCCACCGTCCCTTTCAACTGCTGCAAACAAAAGAACAAGCCCGTCGACCTGGGCAAAATCTGATGCTTAAAAGGAGGATAACCCTGCTTAGCGCCAAACTCATCACTCTTTCGCTTAGTATTATTCGAAAGATTCGTTCCCTCTGGAAAAATAAGCAACCACATCGGATCAAAATTCGGCTGACCAGACTGTGAACCCTGATGTTTGGACTTCAATTTCTGCAATCGATACTGCAATCTCGGTTTATCGGAGACCCATTTCCTGGCCATAAAGATAAAGCCGTAGAACATCATTCCCTGACCCACGACGGGGATATACTTGAGCGATTCCTTCATGATAATAAAAATACGTCCATGCATGGAATTCGTATAGGCAAACCACCACAGATATATCCAATCAGTGTAGACCTGGTGGTTGGCGATCATGACCAGTCGTTCTGGGAATTGAGTGCGTAGTAGACCGTCATCTGATAGATGGAGTTGGCCTCTTACGCTTGCGTCGCCGCTGACGCGGAATAGAGTCGGTGCTGCCCATTGTGTTAGGGCGGTGATTGCTAGTCCGAAACTTTGCTTTGTGTAGGCCATGTAGGTGTAGTAGTAATCTTTGTTGATTATGTAGAGCGGGGAGCCGATGAGTTGGGTTGCGAAGATGGCGAAGATGATGCATTCGAACCAGGCAGCCAGTAGGAGGGAGCGGATGATTTGCATGGAGATGCCATGTTTGAGGCCTGGGTCGGAGGGGGGGTTTGCTGGAGTGTTTTTGGAGTTCGGTGATGTCTTGCTCTGTGGGGGATGTGGCGGTGGGCTTGCGTTGGCGAACCTCGGAATCCATGATGGAGGGAGGGGAATGGCCCCGGGCAGGTTTGGAGGAGATATCAAGCTGTTGGAAGCTGGAGGGTGGTCTTTTGCTAGGAAGAGCGGCTATGAAAAAGCACCAGCCAGCACCAGCCAGTACCAGTACGGGGAAGAAGAGGTGAAGGTGAAGGTGAAGGTGCGCGCGGGATGTGGCGGATGGGGAAGATCGACGCGGCCTCGGCTGGTGGAAGAGCTCTACTGGAGAGCTTCACAACTGCTTGAATGGTAGGAAGGTAATGATAGTAATGATAGTAGTGATCGAGGGAGGATTGGGTGAGGAAGGTAAAGTTAAAGAGGGAGCCAACAAAGAACGCGGGGTGGTCTCGTGAACCGCAGACCGAACTTTAGCCTTGGGAAGAGCTGACCAGCAGTGCTAACTAATTCATAACGTCAGAGTTGAGCTGTGGGGCTCATTTTATTTACAACTCCGCACAGCTCAACATACACTTACGTTACTCATACTTTCGCTACTGCTGACTACTGTCCGTCACTATCACTCAAGGCTTATGGATGTGATAGTAGTCTGCGACACATGACCGAGGTCATCTCGTCATCTCGTCTCGTCTCGTCCTCAACTATGCAGTCCCTCCGTCGCATCCCCGGCCGATTCCTCTCACGAACGTTCTCCTCCTCTGCAACACGTCACGAGATTCGCGATGTTGCCTCCCTATCACAGCGACTGATTCCCAAATACCAAGGTACGCCAGGTGGTGCTGGTGCTGGTGATGCTGCCCAAGACGAGGCTGACTCCTGGTAGAATCCCAGGGCGAACTGCTTTCTCTCCAATGGCCAGCAGCTCCACGAAACATTCTGTTGGTCCGCAAGAACTGCGCGCCAGAGGTGACTGACTCGCTGGTCGAATTTGCCAAGTACGCTCTCTCTCACAAACACCCTCTCTCTCTCTCCCTCTCTACAGATTCAGTGCTAACTCTCTCTCCCTAGTCACATCACCTCGACATATCCCTCCGTCTCCGTCGTCCTCGAGTCAACAACAGCCGCCGAAGTCCACTCAACCCTCTCCTATCCCGTCTATTCAGCCTCGCTGGACGAGAAACCAACAGCATTCCATGACAAGGTCGACCTGACAGTCACACTCGGCGGAGATGGCACCATCCTACACGCATCATCACTCTTTGCTACGTGCTCGAATGTGCCCCCAGTCCTCTCATTCAGCATGGGCACACTCGGCTTCCTAAGCGAATGGAAATTCTCCGAATTCAAACGCGCCTTCCGAGAAGTCTACATGTCCGGAGCTGGCGCAGGAGACCGCACCGCAGTTCTCGAAGAGGCCCAACCTCCCGCAGCCACAGCCACAACGACGACCACAACTACACCAGGGGCGCCCGGCTCATCAGACATGGGTCCGACAGGTTGGTCCTCCGTCCGAGGCAAATCCATGGGCTGTACCCGCGGCGCACCCATCCTAATGCGCAACCGGCTCAAAGTCGGACTATTCACCGGGGACGGCGAAGAAACCACGCCCATCCGGGGCAAATCCGACCAAGGCGAAGGGGTCTACGTAATGAACGAGCTACTCATCCACCGAGGCAAAGAACCCCATCTAGCCGTGGTGGACATCTTCGTCGGCGGGCGATTTTTAACAGAGGCGGTGGTGGATGGAATTATCATCTCGACCCCGACCGGAAGTACAGCATACAGTCTTAGCAGTGGGGGCAGTATTGTGCACCCCTTGGTTCCCTCGATCCTTTTGACCCCGATCTGTGCGCGCAGTCTCAGTTTTCGACCCCTGGTCTTACCGTTGAGTACGCCTATCACGCTGCGGTTGAGTGAGAAGAATCGCGGGCGCGAGTTGGAAGTTAGTCTTGATGGGGTGAATCTTGGACAAGGGATGGCGGTTGGTATGGAGGTGCGAGTTTGGAATGAGGAGATGCGGCATGGTAAGAATGAATGGCAGGGCGGCGTGCCGAGTGTGATGCGGAGAAGCATGGGGGGGGAGGCGCACGAGGGATGGGTTGGAGGGTTGAATGGGCTGTTGAAGTTTAACTATCCATTTGGAGAGTGACAGCAGCAGTAGTCACAGTGGTCAACAGTACATCAGTGTACCATCAGTGTATACACAGTGTATACTTATCATATTATATCATGTCTATGTGAATAGACACCTGTACAATATAGTCATAACCACCACCACAATAACCACCACCACCACCATAACACAATCAATAAAATACTACTCCTCCATAATAACTCCAATTAATATACTTAGGTATACTACCGCCCCACATTTGTTTTCTGTAAATTGCTCTAAGTTCAGTTCCTGGCTCGACCCTCGGAACGCCTTGGCGGTCCGCTTTGCTTTACTTTGCTTGATCACCCCTTTCCCTTCCCTTTCTCCCTTTCCCCCCCACTATCTTTGATCTTTGTTATCCTCCCATCCACCCTCGATCGCGTTGCTTTTTTTATTCGAGCTATCCTCGCAGTGCGAGGTCCGCTCTTGATACCCTAGGTGTGCATCTGTTTGGCCCCCATCCCTGGAGAAACACTGACCGGACCCAGTTCAGTCTAGCCTCGAGGGGCCTCAGGAGGTCTCGGCGCACCCTTTGCTTCTTGTCCTTACGACTATATCTCTCGCCAAAATGGCTTCCTACCAGAATGGAAAGTGAGTGTCTCCGACACCCCTGCAGAATCTCCTCATACTCACCTCTTTCACTCTTTAGTCCCATGTACGCGCCGGATCAGTTCATGAATCCGGGGCCGGCTCCCCCCCCCCCTACTGATCGCCCAAAATTGACTCTCCCCACCAATAACACCAATAACAATGTGGCCACCTCCTTCAACCAAATGTCCCTCAATTCGCCCAGTACCCCCGGCGCCGGAAACCTCTCGCTCTTCCCCAACACCAGCACCCCATCTTTGACCCGGAGCCAGACCGGAGGCCAGGGTGGGGTCGCAATCGTGAAAGAAGGATTCGTGCGGTGTAAGGAGGACAAGTTCTTAGCCACCTGGAACCAGCGTTACTTGATCTTGCGCGAATCTCGCATCGAATTTATGAAAAATGAATCCGGCAAAATTGTCACCAACTTCCCCTTGACCACCGTCACCTCCGTTTCTCGTTCCGAAGATACCAAGATGGCCTTTGAAATCACCCGCCTAGCGAACCCCAAGGATGCGAACTCCAAGACGGCAATGATTACTCGAGATGTCGCGACCAAGACCATCACCTGCGAGGTGAGATCCGATGACGAGATCTATGAGTGGATCGACAAAATCTACGAGCGCTGCCCCGGCATGGGTGGTGTTAGTAACCCAACAAACTTCAGTCACCGCGTCCATGTCGGCTTTGATCCGCAAACCGGCGCCTTCGTAGGATTGCCCCCAGAGTGGGAGAAACTTCTCACGGCCTCGGCCATTACCAAGGAGGACTACAAGAAGAACCCCCAAGCGGTCATCGAAGTTCTAGAGTTCTACTCCGATATCAAGATGCGCGAGCAGAATCCTCAGTACTACGGTGGTATGAATGGACCAGCTGGCTCACAACCCAAGGCCCTCGGCAGCAACAACGTAGGCAGTTCCATTGCTCCTCCTCGACCTCCGCCACCAGGCCCTCTGCAACGTCTCGACAGCGGACAATCTAAAACTTCAATGGACAGCTCCATGCGCTCAAACACATCGTCACCTGGACAATCACAGGGTGGGGACCGTGCTATGGAGCAGCAGCAACAATTGGAGCGTATGAAGGAGATGGCCGACCAGGAGCGTCGCCGTGTGGAGGAAGAACAACGCCGCAAGGACGACGAAGCATACAACGCCTCCCTGCCCCAGTCGCGGCCTCCAATGGCCAAGCAAGAGCTTGGAGGCTATGGTGGAGAGCCCTCCCCCATGAACAGCCGCTACCAACCCAGTCGTCCTGCCCCTCAGGCCCCTGGCGCTGGTGCTCGAGCTCCAGGACAAGATCCTCGCCAACTCACCGCACAGCGTCCCGCCCCCCCCTCCTCCATCGCAGAGCCCCTATGGACAAGGTGCTCCCGCACCCCCGGTGGCTCCCGCAGCGAAGACCAGGGCTCGCCTAATCGTTATCCCGCTAATGATCCTCGGTCTCAGGCCGCCAACCGTCCTCAGAACGGTGGTAGCAAGGGCCAGCAGGCTCAGGGCCCCCCCTCCTACTCGTCTTCCCGCTCCAGTCCAGGCCGTGAAGCCGCTGAACATTGCCAACAAGCAGACTTCTACCAAACAAGCCGTTCCTGATAGTGTTCGTCAAGCGGAGGCTGCACTTTCTAAGAAGCCAGAGCCGCGACAAAAGGAGGTGCGCATGTCGGCAATGACGGAGAATGAAGTGATGGATCGATTGCGAACTGTTGTATCCAAGGACAACCCCAATGAATCGTACAGCAAGCAGCGCAAGATTGGCCAGGGTGCTTCCGGATCAGTCTACGTGGCGCGGGTTAAGGAGAATGCGCCATCGCCTGTGGCTCATGAGCTGTACAGACAGTATGGCCCACGCTGCCAGGTCGCTATCAAGCAGATGGATCTACGCAGCCAGCCGCGAAAGGAGCTGATTGTGAACGAGATTATCGTCATGAAGGACAGCCAACACCCCAACATTGTCAACTTCCTGGACTCATTCCTGCAAGAATCGAGCAACGAGCTCTGGGTGGTGATGGAATTTATGGAAGGTGGTGCATTGACAGACGTGATCGACAATAACCAAGTGATTTCCGAGCATCAAATCGCCACCATCTGCTCTGAGACTTGCAAGGGGCTGGCCCACCTGCACAGCCAGAACATCATTCACCGAGACATCAAGAGTGACAACGTTCTCCTTGACCGAGTCGGCCACGTCAAAATCACCGATTTCGGTTTCTGCGCTAAACTCACCGAGTCCAAGAGCAAGCGCGCCACAATGGTCGGAACTCCATACTGGATGGCGCCAGAGGTCGTCAAGCAAAAGGAGTACGGCCCCAAGGTCGACTGCTGGTCTCTGGGTATCATGGCCATTGAGATGATCGAGTCCGAGCCACCTTACCTGAACGAAGAGCCCCTGAAGGCTCTCTACCTAATCGCAACAAACGGAACCCCTCGCCTGAAGAAACCGGAGAAGCTTAGCAAGGAGCTCAAGGCTTTCCTCAGCGTTTGTCTGTGTGTCGATGTCCGCAGCCGTGCCACTGCGGATGAACTCCTCGCCCACGAATTCTTGCAGACTGGCTGCAGCCTCGCCAGTCTGGCTGAACTTCTTAGGTGGAAGAAGGCCAATGGCCAGTAACTAACCATTCGTCCGATATCAGCAATCGTGGTCGTGGTCGTGGTCGTGGTCTTCACCGCGACTGCGATTCTTTTCTTCTTACACGTTCCCCTCTGCTCTGCTCTGCTCTGCTCTGCTCTGCTCTGCTCTGCTCTGCCAAATACCACACCATACCACCACTTCTTTCGTCCTCTAAACTTGAACTTGCACTTAGCCTCTTTCACAATCGTCATCGCCATTCCATTCCATTCAAAATTGGAGCTGAACATTCTGGCCGCCCCAAACGACGCACACATATGGGTTTTTTTTTTATTTAACGCGCCTCCGGTAGAGATTCTTTGCTTTCTTGCCTTGTCTTGCTTTGCCTTGCCTTGCCTTGCCTTGCCTTGCTTTGCTTTGCCTACCTTGTCTGTCCTGTCCTGCCCTGTTTGTGTTTTGTTTTGCTTTACGTTATTTTACTTTTCTTTACCTTACTTTCCCCCTTTCACGAACGAATTCCGAACCCCGAATCAAATCCTGCATAAGGGCTATGGTCCATAATCATGAGCATGAACATGAATTTGAAAGTCCCGTTTTACGGTTTTACCTATCCCGAATCCAATCAATCAAAATCAAAGTCAAAGTCAAAATTCAATCAATCATACATACCTACTGAATGTTCTGTTGAATGTGCAATGCAAATGAATCTACTTCGAACTTGGAAGTTGAAAGTTGATTCTTCCTTCAAAAGTCCGAGTCCGAGTCTTCCTCCAGGGCTTCGGAACCAAAATTCAAATGGCCTGTCTTCCGCTGCGGAGTCGTATACTTGTTCTGTCTGCTGTGCTCTTTCTTCAATACTATACTAGGACAGAACCTGGGCCGGGCTGGGCGTGGATGTCCGAGTCAGCGTTCAAGATGTCTTTTCTTTCAAATTCCAACAACCTGTTTGAAGAGTTCGATTCAAAATTCGATTCGATTCGACTCGGATTCGCAAATATCCTATGGACCGGAGCGGATGGATGCAAATCCCATTCAAATTCAAATTTATACTAGACTTGCCAGTGTCGACATACATGGGTTCAACTTGAATTTCTCTTCAAGTTCCCTTCAGCCCTTCAGGGTTTGCGTCGATACGGGTGTCTTTATTTTCCCGTTCTATTATATGCTAGTCAGGCCTGTTATAGCATGGCATGACACTTCTAGTCCTTTTCGATTTCCTCCCTGCCCACTTTTTTCTTCAGGGCGTTTGTCTTCTAGCTGGGCATGTGGGCATGACCAGCTCGGGTGTTGAGTCGGGAGAGGGGAGACCTGGCTCAATCCCTCAAGGGGAATGGAATGGACTTGGTAGAATGTTCCCAGCAGACTCAAGACATGCATAAACATTCGTCCATATATGTTCATTTTCATGTTTATGTTCCTGTTCCTTTTCCTGTTTCCTTTCGTCATTGCGATGCCATGGCTGTGGTTTTCTTCTATTCTTACGATACTAGTAACCTGGACGATATGGCACCTATCATCCCATCTCATGACATGATTCTATGTGTTGCACCAAAAGCGTTAGTTGAATTGAAGGTTTTTTTCTATTGTCTATAATCTTGAAGTTGAAGGTCAAGGGATCAAGCATTGAGATCTTCCCTTAAAACCACGCCCCAGGTATCTTGCTAGACTGCCAGGCCTGGGGAGTCGAAGGAATCTTCTCCTACTCCTTCTGACGCTCCTGACGCTTTTTCTTCTTTCGAAGCGCCTGTCGCTCACGTTGCTTTTTATCATCAAGATATTTCGGCCACGCAAGTCGAATAAACCCCACCAAAGATTCTATATTTATCTCTGTTTCCAGCATATCTGTTTTCAGGGCCTCCTGTTTTTCCTTGGTATTTAAATAAGGTACACCAAGGTCCTCGATATCGGTCTCGCAGAGTAGTCATGGTGAGTTCCAGGCTTCTTCGGCTGTGTCTTCGAGTGTGTCCTGCTGGGCCTCTGTTGCTTTTCCTTTGCAGTATCTGAGAAAAAATATATCTTGCTCTTCGAGGTCTTCGAAATAACTTCTTGATTCTGCTTCTAGTATTTTTCGGATAGTTAGGCCGTCGGTTGCCTTTGCTTCGATATTGAATTCTTGCTCTTTTGTCATGTTGATTTGGGGAATATTGGACAAAAAGTGCTTCTGCGGTGTGGGTGCCTGCGTAGGGATAGGATCAAGTTGGAATATATAGGAGTGTTGGCATTTGGATGAAGAGAATGATAGGAGTTGGTAGAGCTATCAGAGGCAGTACTACCTTAATTCTTCTGCTAGAGCCTTAGGAAGCTCTGAAATCATAAGTCATTGTTAGAGGGTGAGTGGTATAACCTCACTAATGCCAATACTACTCGATCAGAGCTCGGGACGATTTTCAAAAGAGCGGTTACGGGAAGGTCTCCTGTGATATCTATACTTAGTGCAGGATAGTACTAAATTGGATATCAAGATAAACAGCTTAGAACTGAGTGACTCAAAAATACCCAGATTATCCTCTAGGGCTTGGAGTAGGGATGGCCCGGGATCTTCAGGCTCAAGAATTCAGTACTTACTACACCGAACTCGGATTTGCAAGAGATACTAGTACCTCAGCCTATATAGATACGCAGAAATAATTACCTGCCAGTGGGCATGTTCAACCTTTAGTGCTGAATAGGACTGCGTTTAAGTTCAAAAATCTATATACTGCCGGTTAACACTAGTACAACATAATATATAGTTATACGTAACAATTTGAACTTTAGAAGGGCTAGCAATTTTGAACCGGCCTCATGCGGCCCTAAAGCCTTGCTGTACCTAGAGCCTCTGAAGAATACACAAGGCTAAGATTATACCAAGATAAATTAGCCCAATCGGTAGAGGATACCTTGATGAAAGTTAGGAAGTAAGGCTTGGATGTTCGGGCACCTGCATACCCAGAGATAGCATGTGCGACAATATAAGTACGAGCCTGTACGCTCTAATTATTGGAAGTATAAGAGAACAAGCCACGGACAAGGAGTATATCTACGACTTAGATTTATCAAGAAGCAGCAGGCAACAAAAAATCAATTCATAGAAGCCAAAGACAAGGCGGAAGTGGAAAAGTAGGGCATGGAATTTTGAAGGGGTAGCAGAACAACAGAAAACTAGCGTTCCCGCAGGCGGAGAGAGCTCCAGGGGGCTACAACTGGCGGAGCAAAGCGGAACAGTATAAAGTTTCCGGGAATATGGTTCTATTCTGCCAGCATTTCTCCAACTAAGGCCTTGTGGCCGAGTGGAATGCAACTCCGCTAGCTCAATTGGTAATTTTCCCTCTCGCCTCCTTCTCTCATGTTCTCGGGCTTATTTTCTCTTCTCCCTTTGCTAGGCTAGAGCGTCCGACTTTTAATTCAAGGCTACGGCCAAGATCAAGAGCATCGGAAGGTTGGGGGTTCGACCCCCCCCGCGGAGTGTAACAAACTCATTTTTTGCAGTATTCTTGTCCTTTATCTTCAATTTTTCTTGGCCTGGGGGGATTGACCCCCCCCGCGGAGTATCTCAAACACAATTTTTTGCATTATTTTAGCCTCGCGCTCTTTTTTTCCCTTGACCTGAAAGTCCCGGGAAGCCAAGTTTCGCCCTCCTGAATTGTATAAAACTTATTTTTGCGTTATTCTTATATCGACTCGTGTTGGGGGTTTTTTTTTTCTTGATCTGTGTGTAATTTATTACTTAGCTAGAACATAATACATACGGATTTCTGCTGAAAGTGCTGGGAAAAAAAAATAGTTCAAAGCTGCGGGTTCAACACGGAGAAAGGGGAGAAAGACCTCCCAAAAAATTATTTTCGGCAGAAAAAAAAAATTCGGGAGCAGTTTTCTTTCATATAGAAAGCAGTATATTATATTCCCCTACATATATGTCCAGAAAAAAAATTATTGGTCGAGTATTTGGCTACTTTGCTATAGTATGTTCGAAGAGCAATAGGGCAGTCTTGCCCTAAGTATGGCACTCTCTGACCTTTCAAGGTTCGCAACGGGTCTCTCTAAGTCCTACTATTAGTATTAATTGAAATTGATATATTCCTTGTTTTAATTGTATCTTCTAAACTTTCTTTAATATATTTCTTGTGTTGGATCCTAGGTCGTTCGAAACTATATAACTGGGATCGCGGGCGGAAGCTTCAAGTTGGATGTGTATAATTACCAACTAGAAATCCTAGTTCCAAGTTATTACTAGTAGTAGTAGGTAGACTAGAAAAACCTACAAGATTTAAGTTCTTCTAAGATTCTTAATTTTTAGTTAAATTCTTATTTATTTATTTCTTTGCCATATGATTACTAACTAGAGATCCTAGTTCCATGTTATCAGTGGGTTAACCTAGAAAAACCTCCGGGATTTAAGTTCTCCAAGATCCTTAATTTCAGCTAAATTCTTGTTCATTTATTTCAAGTTCTTTGCTGCAGTAGTAAGCCCTCAATAAATCAATAAATACATAATCATATATAGAAAAAAAAAATCAAACATCAACCTCAACCTCCCAAGACCTATCTACTCAATCCAACCCAACCCAACTATAAACTATCCCTAACAACCCGTCCAATCCCACCACAAACCTCCCCAAACAAAACACCCTTTAGCACACTCTCCCCCTGATGCGCCGTCCACCTCCCCGCATCCGTAAGTTTCTTCTTCCAGAGATCCCGATCAGACTCACTCAATTCCTTCCAAGCGCGCAACTTCTCCATCTCAGAAACCTTCTCCGCATGCGTCGACGAAGCTGTTTCAACGAGAATGCTCGTCTCGGCATCATTGTGCTCGGTACAGCGGACAATGATGGAGACTTCGTGCGAGGAGATAGATTCGATATCAGCAGGTGCGGCGCCGGATGAGTGTACTCTGTCAAGGATATCTTTTAGACTGGATAATTCATGTTCGAGTTGGGTTTCTTCTTCGGGTGTGATTTGTGCTTTTGGGATAGGAGTTTTCGCGTTTATATTGGTATTGGCATCCGGACCGGAAACGAAGAAATTATCCAAAAACGAGCGCTGCTCGAATGGTGGGACGACGTATTCGTTTGCGATGGAGTTTTGCCAGGATACGGGTAACCAGCCCGTCGAGCCTAGGAAAGGCGGGACACCGCCGCGAATTTCCGCGTAGGCGTACAATGCAGTCATAATCGTGAGGAGAGAGATCAAACACATTGTCATGAAATACATGAGTTCCCAGAATTCGGCGGGGCCGGGGAGGACGAGGACGTAGCGGGCTGTTCTGGAGGATGGGGGGAAAGGGGAGAGAGGTAGTGTGTGAACGACGACTGTATTGCCCATGCTTATTGAGGCGAGTTTGACTCTTTGGGGGAGGACTTCTGGCGTTATGGGGTGTGCGGGTGGAGTGAAGGTTGAGAAGACGAGTTTCGTCATTGAGAAGGGGTGGACTTCGGTGAGGGTTGTGTAGGGTCTGAAGCGGGACCATCCTTTCGTTGAGCTGTTTTCTAGAGTCCAGATGTTGATTGAGTTGTCGCTTCCGCTGGCTGCGACGATGGTTTGTTGTTGGCCGACTGGATTTGTGCCGAGTGGGCAGACGTCGAGGCCAAGGCCGATCTTCACGCTTCGGGGCAGTTTGCGTCGGCGGAGGACGGCCGAGAGGTGGTTCTTGTCGTTAGGGACGCTTATGAGGATGAGCTCGCTTCCGCCACGGTCGGGGGCATTTTGGAGGAGCAGGATCGTGTTTGTTGAGATGAAGCGTAATGAGCGAATCTTGGGCCGCATGGCTTTAGCACCGCTGCTGGGGAGAGGAATTGTGTAGATACTATGGACATCTGGGGCAGCGTTGGAGCGGGTAGAAGATGAGATCTCTCCAACCATCACGTCCACGCCGTTGGTATACGCCATGCGATATTTCCCACGAGCATCTTTCTGCTCTGGGTCAAGCTCGAGGTCTGCGAAATCCACATCCTCAGCTTCCTCGTTGGAGCCGAGGCGAATACGGCCAATCACATCGGATTCGCTGGGAGAACCAGTCGCGCGGAAGAAAACAATCTCGCCAGACGAGGCCATGCCCGTTGCGATAGCTCCTATGCGGGTGTCCTTGCTCTTCTTGTCTGTGTCCTCGCCCTCGGACTGCTTCTTCCACGGCGACAGCCTCATGATACGCTGGTATGTATCATCTGAGCCAGGGCCCTTAGTGCGGAAGATAGAAGCACGAGAAACAGCTTCTGATGACCCAGGAATCACTTCCACCTTTTTCTTCTCCTCCTTCTCTTTGCTACCCTCGGTCGTTTGCTGGCCGCTCGCGCCCGCGCTGGTCACGGCCTGGTCTGTCTGTACCTTCCGTGGCGCCTCGAACCGGAATGCACGCATATGCTGGTTATTATTCTTCTTCTGCTCTGCGAGGGAGCTGTTGATACCAGCCAGGACAATAAGGGAATGGTCGTCATCGTCATTCTGCGGCGCCGCAGCTAGCGACGTCACGGAGTCTTCGTCGCGCGACAAGTTCAGTTCGACGGCTTCGGTGATCTCATCTCGACGCGACGTGTCAAGGAGGGACTATATTAAAGACTTAGAGTCAGAATAATGAGTAGCCAAGGCTCAGCTAGAACGCGCCACTTACGATCTTGTTCCCAACGCCGCTGCGACCTTCGCCGCCCCCGCCGCCGACAAACAGACGACCATTGTCGCGGGGGTCGAAATCGGCGGCGAAGAGAGGACACGAGAGTGTGATTTTCGCGGCGTAGATGTTGGGCGCCATTTTGGTTAGATTGTATCTCTCGCTGAGAGGAAGAGGACAGTTTGAAACCGAGGCGGAAGCTGGGAGTTGCCCCGGATTCTTGGCGCGGCCGGATTGGGTGATACCGCGGAGGTAAACTGCGGGCCGCACGCTTAGCAATATTTACAGTATTAGCACAAATGTACTACAACGGGGCGCAAATATATACCGGGCTCGGGCTATAAGGCAACCGAGGGGCCAAGGATGAATTTTATGGGGCCAAGGAAGATAGTGAACAGAAAAAAAAGGGGGTGTATATTTTATTTTGAATAGAGAGTCACAAATAGTCTATGAGAGGCTCCCAACATGACTATGCCCATCACTGCTCTCTCTCCTTCACCATGCTACTCATAAATCTACTCAACCTCCTGACCAGTGAACTCAGGAAGACGCTTGGCAATATCCTCCCAGGTCTCCTCGCCATCAGTGAGAGACTTGATGGCCTGGAGGATATCGTCCTCACTGGCACGGACCTGCTTGGTGGAGTCACGGTCGCGCAGGGTAAAGGTGTTGTCCTTGACGGACTGGAAGTCGACGGTGATACCGAAGGGAGTACCCAACTCATCGTTACGAGCGTAACGCTTGCCAATGCTGGCGGAAGAGTCATCCACGCGAGTGGAGACACCGAGACGGCGCAGCTTGGTGGTCAGGCTCAGGGTCAGAGGCTTGAAGGCAGGGTTGGTCGAGAGAGGGACCAGCAGAACCTTAGTGGGGGCGATAGCAGGAGGGAAAGAAAGGACCTGTTATATATAGTTAGAATCAGATAAACAAAGCAAGTGAAGATATGAGAGGGACACATACACCACGGGCCTCGTCACCAGCACGGGACCAGTAGACGTGCTCGATCATGCTGTACATGATACGGCCAATACCGAAAGAAGGCTCGATAACGTTGGGAGTGTACTCGCGGACATTCTCAACGCGGGTACGCTTCTCAATCTTGATCAACTCCTTGTCGAGCTCAACCTTGCCGGAGCCAACGCCCTCGACATCGATCTCGATCTTGCCCTGCTGCTCCAGCTCCAGAGACAGCTTCTCGCGCAGCTCCTGGGTCAGAGCCTCGACGGCATTCTCGACAGTCTTGGCGTCCTTCTTGAAGCGGGGACCGAACTTCTTCTTCTCGAGGTCGATCTGGTACTCCTCGATGCGGAGGGGCTCGGGGCGAGTCTCGCGCACCACAAGCGGGGCACCGGTCTTGTTCTTGTGCACAGTCAAATCGTAGGCGCTGCGGTCAGCACAGCCGACACATTCAATCCAGCCGTAGCTGGTCTGCAGCTCGGCGTCCCAGCAGTCAGCGGCGTAGTGAGCCATCTCGTTGGCCATGTGCTGACGGAAACGCAGCTTGGTCAAGTCAACACCAATCTTGGTCAGGAAAAGCTGGATACGGGCCAGGAAGTAGCCCAGAGTCTCGTTGTCGACGAGGCCGGTCTCGACGGCCTGGCCGATGGTCATCTTGGTGGTCTTGGTGCTACCAGACAGCTGGACGTTGCGGTCCAGCAGGGACATCTCAACATCCTTGACCTCAACGAAGCGGGGGTGCTTCTTGCCACCCTCAGGGTCGACGTAGTGCTCAATCTCAGCCATGAGGAACTCACGCACACGCAGCAGACCGGCACGGGGGGGAGATCTCGTTACGGAAGGACTTTCCAATGGAGGCCGAAGCGAAAGGCATAGCCTGCTGGTTGTATTCGAGCAGCTTCTGGAAGTTCAGGAACTGACCCTGAGCAGTCTCAGGACGAAGGTAACCGGGCATGTTGCTGCTGGGACCGATAGAGGTCTGGAACATGAGGTTGAAGGCGACGGGAGGCTGGACCTCGCCATCGGTAGCGGGGTTGCGGATGTTGTACTTCTTGATAATGTTCTCCAGATCGGGACCATCGAAGTTGTCAATCTGAGCCAGAGTCTCCTCGTACTCCTTGACGAGAGCATCGTCCAGCTTGACAGCCTGGGCGGCCTTGGACTTCTTCTTCTTCTTGGCCTCCTTCTCTGCGTCGACCTCGACCTTATGGCCACGGGCCTCCTTGTCACCCTTCAGGCGGTTCTCCAGCACCTCCTCCACCAAGTGATCGGCACGGAAGATCTCGCCAGTCTTGGGGTCCTTGCACATCCAATCGGCGAACTTGTCGACATGGCCACTGGTCTTGAGAATCTCATGCGGGGTGAGCATGGTGCAATCGACCTCGAGCATATCCTCCTCGAGCACGAAATGCTTGCGCCACGCGTCGGTCATGTTGGCGATCAAGGCGGTTCCGGGAGGGCCATAGTCATAGAGACCAGAGACACCACCATAAATTTCGAAGGAGGGAGTGTAGAACATGCGGCGCCGGAGCATGGAATCGAGAGTGAGGCGGTCGACCTCCTGGCCGGTCTTGGTGTTGACGGTGGCCATCTTGGGGTTCCTATGGGCTTTCGCTTTCTTCTGGAGTGCGGACGAGCAGGTGAATTGCCTGAAGGAGGAAGGTAGTGGGGGAGTGAGAACTTGAAGGGAACGAGAGCGGGGGAGAATTCGTGGGAGGAATTGACTCATCAGCCCCGGCGCAACACCACGACAAACCCGCACGCAGCTAGGGGTCAATGGTTAATACAAGAGATGAAACGAACGTGGACCGATTGGTTTTAGGCTTTTAAATAGTTCTTCCGCCTTTTCAAACTTGAGATTTCCCCTTGAAAACGCACGGGTGATCAACACTGGCCTTGCGATCCGGATTAACGTTGCTCCGTCATTTTTTTATTTCTCGCCGCGACTGCTCAGCAATTGTTAGAACTCTAAACCTCACTTTTGCGATTTACATTCTGCGACTACCACAATGGGTGTCAAAGGCTTGGGAAGACCCCCACCGGGGGCTACAGATGATCAAAAGCCTGCCAACAAATTGCGTCGCAAATTCCTCCACATCAAGCGGAAGAGAGAAAAGTCAGAGCAAGGTCTCAAGCGCCGATACACATTCAAGAAGGAAGAAGCCAGGAACCCCAAGTTGAAGGACGAACGTCTGCGTCGCAATATTCCTCTGACCCTCGACCGAAAGCGAGTCTGGGACGAGCCTGACAATGATACCGAGGAAACTGGACTCGGCTGGAGTGTCGACGTTGAGCGCATCAAAAGAGCCAAGAAAGAAGAAGACGATGAGCTCAACCGACCCTTAGAAGAAGGCGAGGATGACAGTGACGAAGGAGACTCCGACAACGAGTCAATTGACAGTATGATGGCGTCCAGTGACGAAGAGGAAGAGGAAAAAGACGACGACGACGAAGACTCTGGCCGTGGACGCAAAAGCTCCTCCCTCCCTACAGCCACCGAACGAGCCACGAGCCCTTCACAATCAACTCGCAGTACAAACCTGAGCCTGGCGCCCGAAGCCCTGGCCGAAAAATTCCCCTCGCTCTTCTCGCCAGAGTCGGACAAGCCACCCAAGGTGCTCATTACAACCGGCCTGCACTCAACACTGCACGACCAGGCCGATATCTTGACAGACCTGTTCCCGAACAGCGTGTACATCCGCCGCGCGGAGCACCGACACTCGCATAAGTTTTCTATCCGCGAGATCTCCAAGTTCGCCTCGAACCGCAACTTCACTACCCTGCTCGTGCTGAACGAGGACCAGAAGAAGCCCAGTGGCTTGACGATGGTGCACCTTCCCGTCGGGCCAACTTTCCACTTCACCATTAGTAACTGGATCGAGGGCAAGAGGCTACCGGGACACGGACGGGCGACGGACCACTGGCCCGAGCTGATTCTGAACAACTTCCGCACGCCACTGGGTATGCTCACGGCGCATCTATTCAAGAAGCTGTTCCCACCGCAGCCGGAGTTCGAGGGACGGCAGGTTGTTACGCTGCACAATCAGCGTGATTACATCTTTGTTCGTCGGCATCGGTATGTCTTCCGTGAGAAGCGGGATACAGAGAAGGCGGTTGTTGATGCGAATGGCAAGGAGATGGAGGGTGCGGAGGGGATTCGCACGGGTTTGCAAGAGCTGGGCCCGCGGTTTACGTTGAAGTTGCGCCGTGTTGATAAGGGGATTCAGCGGGCGAGTGGACAAGAGTGGGAGTGGAAGGGAGGAATGGAGAAGTCGAGGACCAAGTTCCAGCTCTAGTTTTACTCTTTTCATTTTGCTTGCATGGGGTTGGGAGTCTTAAAAGCTGTCACATGTATTATCGGATCCACATATTACTAGTACTTATTGATGAATATAGAACATGTCTACAAGTTCTCAGCATTGCCCAGGTGCTTATGGTAAGCGTGTCTAGTAATAAGTTTAGATATAAGGAAGTGTTCAAGAAACTCGAGGTCTGGCCGTACAGAATATCTTATCCAACTGAGTTTCAACTATGAAAAGCTATACCTGAAGACAGTAGCCTTGAACGTCTTTCCTTGCTGTTACCAACCCAGTAGGGATATCAACTTGAATGTGCAACGTGCAAATGCATTAAATAAAGGAAATGGGATATCAGCTTTTCAAAACGCTCGACAACCAGGCAAAGCACCCAGCTGCATGCATATAATACAAGACAAGAACCAAAAAGGAAGCCAAAACACCACCCATGTCTGTTCTCCAGCTCACCTCACCTCACCCATCACGATCCATCATGATGATCCTTCTCCCCAAAATCCCAATCAACACCCTCTCCATCCCCATCCCCGGGCACCGTCCCTTTCTCCCTAAAAAACCTCGCCCTAGCTCTAGCCCTTGCAAGAACATCCTTCCTCTTCTGCGCAAACGAAACAGGTTTTCTCCCCGTTACAACTCGAACTTTAACCCTCAGCCCATCAGCAGCGAGAACCTCGTCTTTCACCAATTCACAAAGCGCCCGCGCCTCGTCCAGACTCCATTTCCCGGACCCCGTCGTCAGCGGTCGTAAAGCGTACGCTTCCAGACCCTCCAGCAGCGCGATCAGGGTCATTTTGCCGAGCGTTTTCTCGCCGATGTCGCTTGGCCATAGGCCGATTGGGATACTTCTTTCTATGACACGGATGTCGACGAAGCCTGCGGCTGAGAGGGCGGTTGTGCGGAGGTGTTTCAGGTCTCGGGGGTATCCTGCTTCTTTTGCGGCGGTTCGGAGGGCGGCGGTGTATTTTTGGAGATTGGTTGGGGATGGGGATGGAGCTGGCTGTGATTCTGGCTCTGGTTCTGGTTCTGGCTCTGAGTCCGAATCGTCGTCGTCGTCCTCATCCGAGTCCAAATCTAGATCTCGCATACCCTCAACCTCAACCTCATCTCCATCCCCAGACCCCCTCTGAAAACAAATGGTATCACCCGCCGGATCCGTATCCGCAACCTCAATAAAACCCCCGGGTTTCAAATGCGCAAACGCTTGCTGATAAATCCTCCCCCAATCCCTAAACGCCCCAGAAAGACCACGCATATGCACCAAATCAAACGGTTCATGATAAGTCCACTCAGACTGCGCATCCGCAAGTTGAAAGTCCACATTCGGCAGCGCCAGTTGCCCAAGACCCGAATCAAAAACCCCTATATCCGACGCGATGATTTCCGCCTTGGGAAATTCAGCGCTCATTTCGATCGCCCAGTCTCCCGGGCCGGTACCGATGTCTAAGATTCGCGGGGATGATTGCGGGTTGGATCTGAAGGGCGCCGTCGTTAGGTGGCCGTCTAGTAGGATTAAGTAGATTTGGTGTAGAATGTTTAGTCTTGTTAGTTCTGTTTCGTCGTTTGGCATGAAGTAGGTTGAGTCGCAGTAGCGGCGGCCGTTTTCGTGGACGGGTTCGAGCATGTTATAGGAGGAGCAGGAGTGGGTGGATTTTCTGTAGTGAGTGATAAGTTCTAAGGTTAGTGGCGGTTTTTTCTTTTTTGTTTCTACGCCCGGGCTTCGTTGGACATAATGGTATGCGCGGGGTCAACTCACATTGAAGCTTCGTCGTCGGAGCTTTCCTCTGGTCCGGAGCTGTCGCGGGGGTCCGCTGGCTGAATATATGTGTCTTCCATGACATGACGATGTGAGGGAGTAGTCACAGTCGTAGTGGTAGTAGTCGCAGCGACCAGAACTGAATCAAGAACTCGAAATATGAGCCTGGGAGGAGGGGATAGGACTTCGTTACACGTGGGAGAGAAATAAGTGTAAACGAGAACTTGAACGGGTACTAATAGTAGACCAGGCTACGCGGGTCTAGGGCTTTTTTTGGCTTTTGAAATGGCAGGATTTAGAGTGGGTAAGGGAGAGCGGCGGGTCAATTGAGGAGAAATGAGGAGAAAAAGGAGCTGATCAGCTCGGGTGAGATGAAGCAACCGAGCGCAAGCAAAGTTTCTGACGGGGGAAGAGTGGGACCTGAGGGGGAGAGAAGAACAGGTCTGGCGAAGTAAACCCTAAGGAAGCAGTGGCACTAACAGAACAGGTCAAATAGGAAAAAGCAGAGAGGCAAACAAGGAAGCGAGAGGCAAAAGATGGAATAGCTCGTGAAAAAGCAAGAAAACCGACAGTTCGGATGGTAGAGAATATAAAATGAACCCGGCAGGATGGGAGAACCGGGGTGGAGCAGGGGGGTTGACATGGACTCGGAGGGTCCGAGAGCTTGGGCAGGTGGGGCGGTATACAACAGTACACATAGTTAGTATAGTATACATGCTCGTAGTTACAGGAGGATTCGAGTGCTAGAGTATATGCTAGTATTCTAGTAATGTAGAATATACTGTAGTAGCAGGGTACAAGAGTAGTACTATCTATGCAGTGTATATACCATTACTTCTCTGCTACATTAATGTATGCCCAAGTATACTAGTACTAGTAACATGCATATACTAGATACTAACACGTAAGACTCATACATACAGCGCACTGGCATCCAGCAGCCCGGGACCGGACGTACTTTGTTCGATGGCAGGCATCATTCATCTCGGGATCTACCCACTCTACCGGGATGTCATGCCATGCTTAGTACGGAGTACTCCGGATATACTACTTGGTATACTATATATCCTTAGACTGAAACCAACCCCGAGTAACACACCACATATAGACTATCTATAGTATATCCTCTACCCCTTATACCTACTATACCTTATTATCCCCTGTAGTCAACTCCTCCATACTGTCACTCCTGACTATGACTAATCCCGACCCGACACACCGGATTCCAACCCCAAATAGGCAATGATGAGCGGAACCTCCGAGTGGCCGTCACGAGGCGATCTCCCGTTCCTGATCCAAACTCCGACGCCGATGCATTATTACCCTTGCATCAACATTCACATTCAATTGACATTGACATACATTGCGCCTGCGATAATTCCAATCGCAACTACATCCCACCACTACACCCATTAATGACCACACAACAGCCACCAACGAAGAAAACCAAACCCCCAACAACCCTCGCCAAAGCGCAAACGCCAGCGCCAGCGCAATCTCTGCAACAACCACAGCCAGAACCACAACACCACACCCCCAAAACACCGACAGACACAACCACAACCACAATCACAACCATGACAACCCCCCGCCGCGCCCTCTTCATAGCCTCAATCGGCAACCAAAAACCCTACCGCTCAACCCGCCACAGCGCAGGCCACATCCTCCTCGACGCCCTAACACCCCTCCTCAACACCACGCCAGCCCCTCTGCCCTTCAATTACTACACAACATGGTACAGCCCCTCATTCATGAACGAGTCCGGCCCAAAACTCGTTCGACAGTTGCAGAGGTGGTTTGAGAAAATTGATACCCAGGGCCAGGGTTCGCAGTGGATTTCTTCATCTGGGGTTGCTTTGCCGTTGGGTGGAGATAAGACTCCAACTACGTCTATTGCTTCTGCTGGTGGCGGCATGCCCGCTACATTGGTAATCCTCCACGACGAACTCGAACAACCACTAGGCAAAATACGCGTGAAGCGCGGCGGACCTGAGGCATCGAGTCTTAGGGGTCATCGGGGGTTGATTAGTGTTTGTGAGAGTCTTCGGGGGAAGGGGTTATATCCTTCTAAGAGCGGGGTTGCTGGTAACGGCAACAACAACGGGAAGGGGAACGGGAAAGGTGGTGTTCGGCGGGATTTGTCGATTCTAAGGGTCGGTGTTGGTATTGGGAGGCCGGAGAGTCGGGGGAAGAATGCTGTTGCGGATTATGTTTTGACGGAGATGGACGGTAGGGAGATGGAGGCTGTAAGGAGGGCGGCTGGGCATGTTGTTGGTGTTTTGGAGGAGGAGATTGTTTTTGAGGGGTGAGATGGATGGTTGGAAGGAACTACTACATGCTATGTTATTGCTTCTTTTTAGGAAGTGGGCATGGCATGGTACTGGTAGTAGGATTGTATATTGGCATATTATAGATTCAGACTTGACACCACCACAGCTACCCTGGGTAGGCGGGGTGATGGTGATTGCTGTACGATAGGCTTGTTGATTGATTGATACCCCATCTGAATGAATGAACTCCTTTTGAGCGTGGCAGAGAGAAAGAGCCAAGTCCCGATCGTGTACAAGCTGTGGGATATGAACCAAAGAACCAGAAACAAGGTCATGTAGTCTTCATGAATGCAGAAAAAAACAGCAGCAGAGGAATCAGCGCGAACAATTAGAAATAAGAGAATAAATGAAATGAAAATAAGCCCAGCCAATGCCAGACCAGGCCATGCCAGCAGCTAAGCAGCCACCCACTAAACCGTCCCCGCAATACTCAAATCCCGAATCTCCTGCAACACCTCCTCAACGCGATTATCCAAATCACCACGCGCATACTGATCTCTCGTCTCAGCATCAAGATACTGCTGAACCTGTGCCATACGCGAATACGCCTCTGCGCAAAAGCGCAGCTGAATCTTGACCAGCGCCTCGAAGCTGGGATCCAGATATGGCACGCGCAGGTCGATGAGTTGGGGCAGTTCATTGAAGAGTTGCTCGTTGAGTTGTTCGTATGCTTGCTTTGCGATTTCGGCTTCGCGCTCGGTGCGAGGGAGTTTTGTCACGTCCTTGTCGGGTTTCTCGACGAGGCGCTTGACTTTGGCGCGCATGGCGTCGTAGTCGAGGAGTTTGTGGTTGCGCTTTTTGATGCATTCGTTCACGTCTGGGAAGTAGGCGCAGAAACGGGAGATGGGGTCTAGGACAGTTGCCCTATAACGGTGTTAGTTTAGTTGTTGTATGGCAACTAGCGTGTGGTCTGGTCCGTCTGGTCCAGTCCAATGCTGTTGTGCAGGGCAGGGCAGTAGTGCGCCGAGGAAGTCCTACCGGTATGGACCGTCCAAAGCCTTGATCGTTTCCGCATCCAAATCCTCCACTGCTTGCTTATAGCTTCTGCTAACGCCATCCTTAGTGCCCGCGTCACCGTAAAAAGCATCAATCGTCTCCGCAATGCGCATTTGTGATGCCGTCATGGCTGTAGTAAATCCTTGTCAACTCGGCCTGTGTTCAAACCAACTCTGCCAAATACCTACCTCGTAGCGAATCCAGGTATCCCTTTGCCTCTTTCTGTAGTCGATTGGCCGCGGCCTCCATAGTCCGGTATCGTCTGCATCAATTCGATCAGCCATGTCCGCAAGATCTGCAGTATCGGCGGCGGCACCACCACCAGCAACAACCATGATTAAGCGTACCGTTCTTCAATTTCATAATCGCGATCACTCGTCTTTTCAACATGACCTGCCCGCAAAAATATAAGCATATACAAAAATTCCTCAACCCCAAGCCAGTCATCAAGCCACCAAGCCGGAGTTGCGGGGTAACATTCCGGAACTCACCAGTCTTCATCATAACCTGCGTCGTAGCGCGGCCGACATTTTTCTTAAAGCCTAAAAGCGTATATCAGCATTGTATCGCATCGCATCGCATCGCATCGCGCGCCGTTTATCTCTTCGGGCCACGCCACGAGCTCGGTCTGCACGACCTGGCTCGGTCCGCCCGCAATGGGCTCAGGCAGCAAAAGGCGGAAAGGAAACCGGGGGACAAGGGACTTACCAGCCCACGACATTCTGGCGGGTTATTTCGATCTGGGGTGTGTGGGTGTGTGCTGTGTATAGGAGGGGGTATTGAGTCTTCAATGTGACCGACTCTGGTTGAGGTTGTGGTCGTGTATGCGCGAGTAGAGTAGAGCAGGGCAGACAAGGCAGTAGCCACTTCTCACTTCTCGCATCCGCCGCAGCCAAGTCAGCCTTAACGCTTGGCTGTGGCGGTGCAGTGATGACTCAGCCACTTTTGGGATTTCCGGATGCGGCTACGTCACTCTGGTTGCATTGTTATAAGAGGAGATTTACACTACTCCGTGAGATTATATTGGCTGATTGAACTGGATTGGAGTTTGTGAGGTCGTATTTGAATGGAGTGAGTCTGAAAAATTCAGATATAATACACATGTACAGAGTATACTGTGTATAGTATACACTGTATAGTTAGTTACTCTGTATACTATGTACTGCAAAAAAAGGAGAAAGATGTGTACTATGCGTACTAGTAATGGTAATTCAATTCTGGCGAGGCTATCAGTGTTACATTTTGCAGTTTTAACATTTTTGCATTTGACATTTTTGCACTTCCATTTACTGAACCTCTAATGACATTCGACTCCGCTCCTAGGCATCCGAATTGTGGCTGGTGGATTCACTTCTGGTATGGACTGGATTGGACTAGGCTGGGCTGGGCTGGGCTGCTTCACACTGCACTGCATGTGCTGCATGCGCTGCTTTACCCTAGATAGGGTGAAGCGCGGAGAGTATACTAGTATACTGTATCGGTAGCCACACCACTAAACCAAACTAGATTCGGCCGGCAAAACCGGGATCGGAACTTGTGCAGAACCGTTCCGCCCGGCTCGGATACTCTACATACCTAGTGCTAGTGTACTCCACGAGAAAGCGCAGTGCAGTGCGGTGCAGTGCAGCAGCAGACCCTTACCAAAAATCAAGAGTAGAAAAATGGGGACAGGGCGTCCCAGGTAGCGATAGGGCATAGGGCAGGCCATGTGCGCCCAGTAGAATGTCGAGGATGTCCAATCAGATCCTGGATCAGATCCGTTGGTGTCAGCCCCTCCGCCGAGGCTGGAGAATGGAATGCAGGTGCCTAATGACTGTTCAGTGTTTGACGGTATGTGCCAAGGATTTTAGTCCATGCCGGTGCTGCAGGTGAAGAAATGGAATACTTCGAGTTACGGATAGGATACTGGATACTGGATACTGGAAGTAGGGGATGGGTTTTACTAGCAGTTTGTTCCATAGTTAGGTGGTGTAGTCATACATAGCATACTCGTAGTTAGAGTACAGCTGAGGTATTAGTACTGTAGGTACGGGTTAGAGTGGAATTAGCATACAGATCGTACATACAGATACAGATGCAAATGTAAATGCAGGTATGTATAGATATCCCTTGTAGTAAACCGGTGCAAATATACAGAGCCCATAAGGAAGGTCTCCGAGTCTCCGAATCTCCAAGTAAGTTCACTGTGGAGAAGAACAGTTAGCCAAAGTGGAGGATTATGGAGTACCTATTAACTAATAGCTACGGCGCACTAACTTGAACAGCCTCCGAGTCATGAATTCCCCTTTCCTTGTAGGTAGTATATCCGTATCCGTCTATTGTGGAGAGTGAGAGTACATACGAGTAAAGCGTAAATGCAAAGCTTTCGAACCTGAACGATGATCCTATTCAAGATCCAGCAGGGTTCCGCTACGTATAAGATGAATTTGTCTTGATTGTCGCTGAGAATCCCATGCCATCATCAAGTCACGGTACATTAACTAGGTACTCCGAGTTTGTTTTTGTTTTTGTTTGTATTACCCCTCCAGACTCGGATCTGCAGATCTCCCAAAGCTACCCTTGCTAGCCCGGTGACAGCTCGCTCAGCCCATCCATCCATCGTCATGTCATCGACCCTACCCTAGTCACGAACCCCGATACTAATACGAGTAAACACGAACACTTTAGCCCCAACCTCAGCCACAGAAACCCCCAAACGCAAAAAAGCCAAGGGCGCCCAGTCCACTGGCAGTTAGTCGATCGACATCACATCACCTTGCAGCGCGTCAAAGCGGCAAGCCAAAACGTAAGCGGAGGAGATTCGGAGCAGAGCAATCCATAATGACATCGTATCGGGGGATGGATGTGGATGTGGATTAGTGCCAGTGGCTGATGTCATCGGGCTGGTGCCCAGCCTGAGGTGGCTGTTGGAGTGGATTTGAAATCAACGTTGGGAGAGAGGGGGGGGGAGGGGTTGCCAGTGGATTACTTATCAACTAGTACTAGTTAGTACTACATAGTACTAGTAGTAGTTAGTAGTTCAAGTGACTTGGCCTAACGACGAAAAGTAGTACTAGTACCTAGGTACTCGTAGTAGTAGATGGATGGCTTGCGAAATAATGTTCTTGACAGCGTAGTAGTACTCGTAGTATACAAGTTGGAAATAAATGGTTCTAAGTTCATTTTGGCAATAAACCAAGCCAGATTGAATTCGTCAGTCGTAAGTTACTATGTACAAATATATACTGAGGCATGGAATGGTGATGAATGAGAGTGGCTGACGCGGATGAAGGAAGGAAGATGAGAGGCAAGAAATGACTCGGAAAGAAAGGAAACTCCTGCGCCCACGCTCCCGCATAATAATACAAAAGAAATCCGTAGCCGTAGCCGTGATGCCGCCGTCGTCTCGTGTCGTTGTAAGTAGGTATCATGGAATGGGAATGGAATGGGTGGGGTGGGGAACGGTAGTGTCTGGTAAGTAAGGTAAAGTAAGGTAGGGTGGGGAATGTAAATGCAAATGCAAATGCAAATGCGTCCAGTAGAGAGCGGATAGCAGAGCAGAGGAGCAGCAGAGCAGAGAAGAGAATGTATAGCACCACCGCGCCGCGGCAAAAAGCAAAGGCATGACTCTTCGTTGCATTGACGTGACACATGACGTTGGCGTCGAAGCTAGTGACGGCCAAAAAAAAGGATATGGATATGATATGACAATGGCGCCGAACCACAAAAAACAAGTAAACAACCAAACCAAACACGCAGGGCGAAAAAAGACATGGACCTCGCTTGCATTCAAAGAATAGAGAAGAGAGACTGAGACTGTTGAACTCGGACGGAGAGAGAATAAATAGAAAAATGGAATGTTGGATCATAAAAAAAAGCTTGAACAAAACAAGTGCGCCTCCTGAACGGTGTCTAGAACAGGGTAAAGCCGCCCGATTGTGTATAAGGGAGAGAATTTGATTCAATACAAAATGGCCCTCCCGCCTAAACCAATGGCGTGTTGCTGGGAGTGGAGTGGAGTGGAATGGAAACCGAATAGACAGAGGCAGACCGAAGCCATAAGATATGTAGACAGGGTGTGATGGGTACTGAGAACATCGACATCGACACCGATACTGACACTTTCACTTTCACTTCAAGGCCTGCTCGGCAAATCACACAACCACGACCCGCGTTACAACTTTTATCATAATCCTTCCTCGCCAGCCTTGCACAGTTTGATTTGTCGCACCCACTCAGACTTGAGGACCTGCGAGGCATTGATTCGGCGGGAGGCGTTAGGATCTAAGATTGAGTATATCACGTTGCGACAGCGGGCCTGGTGAGGCGAGTTAGTCTTTGCTGGTGATAGTGGCGACGGCGGTGGGCCACGACTTACCCGATGCAACGTCTCAATAGGCGCATAACCATCCTCATGCTTGCGCCCTTGCAAATACCGCTGATAAAACTCATCCTCATCCTTACGAGCGACGCGCCACAAATGGCGCCCCGTCCGCATAGCCATGTAGATCACACCCGTCGCCCACAGATCCACAGCCCGAGGATCAAATTCCTTGTCTGTATATTCCTCCGGCGCAATGTAAGGGGCCGACCCGCACAGACCCGCCGTCATGTGCGCTTCTTTCTCCCACGCCATGCGGAAACACTCGCCGTTGCCAAAGTCGGTGATCTTCAGCGCGCCGTGCGTCGTGAGGAGGAGGTTCTCGGGCTTGAGATCGCGGTGAGCAACGCCCATCTCGTGCATGTATTCGACGCCGCGCATGAGCTGTTTGAAGAAACAGTCCGCCTCGGCGACTTCGAGTTTGCCCGCCGCGAGAACGAGGGTGTAGAGATCGCCACCGGCGCAGTATTCCATTACTTCGCAGTAGTCTCCCTTTGCGTCTTGGAGGAGGTCGAGAGTGTGGATGACGTTGGGGTGTCGGAGGGAGGAGGAGATGCAGAACTCGGAGGTTAGGCGTTTCTGGTACTTTTTCGCGGTTTCTTGGGGTCGGCGTCGGAATTCTTTTACGGCGTAGAGTTGTTCGCATTTAGAATCTGCGGGATCGACTTTGTGGGAGATTCGGACGATGCCGAAGGCGCCGCGGCCGACGATTTCCTGGCATTTGCCATATTTGTCGACCAGGGTTGCGGTGGCATTGGGACCGCCCTTCTTGTCGAGGGCGAGCTTGTCACGCTCATTCTTGAACTGGTCGATCCAGGTTGACATGAGAGAGAGCTGTGTTTCATCGACCTGGTCGTCGCCCTTTTTCCTGCTGCCGCCTAGCATGTCTCGGAGGAGGTCGGTCAGTTTCTCCTGTCGTCTGGCGCTGCGGAGATGGTGGGAGTGAGTGCCAGTGCCTTCAGGAAGAACCTCGAAGCGCTTGTTCAGGGGAACGCCATCTTTTGATTCTTTGTGACTGCCGGGCTTCTTCTTAGGACCGTCGATCGGCTCACTTTTTAATGACGCCTGGCGGGAGGGAGTTCGAGAAGGGGGTCTGGAGTTTGCTCTTGAGGAGGGCTTTGAAGTAGATTTCTCTTTGGTGGAGGAGGGCTTGTCTTTGCCGTTGGTCTGGTTGGGTTGCATATTGGCTTGGACGCTCTCCATGCTACTGTCGGATAAATCACGGTGGATATCATGTTCTTTGATCGGGTTTTGCTTTGAACCAGGAATGAACATTCGGGAAATGCGAGTGGCCATATTGGCAACTTTTGGTCGTTGGGGGGCGGGGGAGGCCGTTTCAGGGAGACTCGGAAGCTCCCCGT